GCATAAAAAGGTATGGCAAATTGATGTCCTAAAACAAGATGTCTAAATCACAGCTTTATTCCAATGTCAGAGGATATGAATCTTACCTAGTTAATTGAAATTATTACATTGGTTTTGAAACAAGCTACTGAACTATTGTAGAGATAGGAGAATCTTACTATATAAAAAAAAAGAACAGAACATAAACAAAAGACAAATACGTTTATAGTATCTTTGTTCTGAAAGAGTCCGTTGATGATGTTCCTAATCTTATTTGAAGGCTTCATACACTATCATTTCCTTGTTTGAGTACTAAAGAAGTAACAGTTTCTATTTTAAAATTGTTTAGATGAATTTCCTTTAGCTACATTAGTTTTCCGTTTGTTGTTTTCGTATTCAAGCTACTCTTTGATGTCCCAATTACCTTTATTTATTCTCAATATACAGTGCTTATTCTTTATGTGATTTGCAATTAGCTATCCTTACTCATCATAAAAACGGTATGTCTATTTTCCATCATTTAGGATTTTATAGACTAATGATAGTATTAATAGCGAAACATCTTCTGCTTCATTGTAATGAAATCTATTTGCTGACCATAATACAAGGCTTCGATAGTAAACCTTTAAGAATAGCAAATCAAGTAAAAAAAAAAAAGTATTTATATTACAGAGTCCCTATTGTGGTCATAGATAAGTTTTATTGCCGTAAGAGCCCATGACATTTTACAGTGAGTTGTTTAGTCCAACGATATGGTCTTGGGTTGACTACTGTCTTGAGGTTCTGCAGCTTGTAATCTCAATTTGGACAGTACAATGATGTCCTGCATTCATCAATCAAATACAGCGAAGAGCAATTTTTCTTCAACAAATCTATCAAGCTTTTGTTTCTTGTTGGCTCATGATATTTGGCATCTGGTACAAACTAGTTTTCAAGTATGAGTGCAGTATCACGACCGATTTTTTTTTTCAAGTCCTTTATTAAATTGTCATCGCTTTGGTCGCAATAGAGCTTCAACTTTCTAAAAAGTGAAACCTGTAACTTTTCCAGTAGTTTTTTTTGTCTCGACTTGATTATGCAAGGAGATAGTATCAGCAAGTTTAAACAACTTGTTCTATCTAGCCGTCTTAAGATATGAGTTTGCTCTAGTATTAACTTTAGATACTTAACGTATAACTTATCACCACAGCGCAAGCAATAGCAGAAATATGTACTCAGAGATGGAAGAAAAATACAATCGCTTATGCCGTGGTGTAAAGGGGAGGCAAACAAAACTCTGTTACCTTTCAGACTCACACAGATCTGAAATAAACTTAGTTTGATCATGTTAAAAAAGCAAAGGATTTGACGATCTATCTTGATAAAAAAGTGTATAAGAAAAACCAATAAGAAACCGAGCATCATCTTTATTTGTGAATAATCTATCAATTGAATCTATTAATCATAAGCTTTTTGGCGCAAATGAAGACGCCAATAAAGCCTGTTTCATAAAAGGTTTGAAGCGCAATAAAGACATGGCTTCTTCAAAGTCACACTAACAGAAACACCCATTAGTTTCAATCGAAATGACTCTAGACCTACCCATTTCCGTTGACGAAATCCTTTCTCTGGCCAATCATCCATGATTTGTTGTACTTCAAATTCAAAAAAGTGAACTTTTCCTTTAGGTTCTCCATAGACGTTATAGTCAACAAAACTACCAACAAAACCCTTAATGATTCCTCGTACACCACCTAAATTGCGAGTCAAAATCCTGGCGACATCAATTATATATTACCTTCTTCGTATGTTTCACGCTCGGCTGATTGTTCTATTGTCTCATCATTCTCCCAACCTCCTTTAGGCTATTTTTTTTTGAGGGGAAGGAGAGGAAGAGAATTTTTAACATTGCATCTTTCAAACAGAAAACAGGACTTACAAGAACCCAAACATTTTCGTATTTACTGCTTGAAATAATAAGCACTTTGTTGGTATTGGGGTCAATAGCAATAGTACCAGCAACCTAGACTTATTTTAGTTGATGCCTGTAGAAACACAAGTACCTGTCGAAGATGGTTATCGTATACTTGGTTTTCTCTTCCTATACGAGATTCAGCTGGAAATTCTTTCAAGTTCATAACAGAAAAAAAAGAGACGTGTATTTTCGAAAATAATACAAAAATGACAGATTAACTTTAATGCAAAAAAAAAAAATAGATAAAATGGAAATAGTAATAAATGTATATAATGCGTTTGTATATATATGTTTTTTTTTCTTTTATCGACGGTCTGTTGAACCCATGCCACGCTTGCCACTGAATAAATGTTTGGGCATCTTTGTTTGAATTTGTCTGTCTGATTCACCACGTTTACCGTGTTTAGATTGTTGCTTTTGAACGTTCTTCTTTTGTTTATCAGCTTCTAATTTCTGCTTGACATTACGGAAACCAAGGTTACTCATTTCTTCAGTCAAGGTTTCTTCACGATCATCCACTTGAACTTCTCTGACAGCCTGGTCAGGAATGGCTTCATGACGAGTACGCTTACGACCAGCAGCAGCATTCTTTGTACGTTCAGTAGCATCTGTACTATCAATGCCCATGCTTGTCAAATGTTGATCCATCTCACTCACAGTAGCATATTTAGCAGCTGTAGTCTTGGGTAATGCAGGTCTTGTTCTACCACGAGCAGCACGGTGTGCTTGTACAATCAATTTCTTGCGGTCACGAATAGCATCAGCAGCAGTACGAAGGGCTTCTTCTTCATCATCCAAGATATCTTCGTCTGATTGATAAAAGCCTTCAGCTTCCAAACGCTCTTCTTCTCTTTCCAAAGCTTCCAACTTCTCTTCAATTTCAGGATCAATAAAGTCAGCCACATTGTGGCCATTCAGGAACTCAGGAATGGTATCATATTTCCAGTCATCGTCAGCCAACATGTATTTCTTCTTGACGTCCACATTGTAGACACCAGCACCTCCATTCTCTTGTTCTAAATCCTTTTCAAGTCTACGACGATTGGGATCATTGGGATCATATTTCACTCGGGTTTGTACTTCGGTAGGGATATTGGGCAAACGAGCAATGTTGTCTCTTTGTTGAGGTTGAGCCAAGTGAATCTTGTTGATGACATCGTTGATCTTGTTGCCCTTCATCTTCATTTCAACACGGGCAGCTAATAATCGATCACAAGCACTGTTACGGACGTTCATGACACCTTCTTCATTATAACAAGACATGGTCAAGACAGTTGCGTTTTCTTCATTAGCAATGTCTTCAATCCATTGGCGTTGTTCGGGAGATAAGTCTTCAGGCTTGACTTGATCAATCTTGTTGATGACCAACACAATAGGCTTGTTGGCAAACAAAGGCTTGATGTTATGGAACAACTTGACTTGGTCTTCTACGCTGTAACCACATTGTTCAGAAAGATCCATAAAGTACATGATACAGGATCTCAAGTGAGCCATGGCTGTAATTGACTGCATTTCAATCGTATTGCGTTCTTCCAAAGGGTGGTCAAGAATACCAGGTGTATCAATAACTTGCCAGCGCATGTATTTATAGTCCATATGACCCACAAACAATGATTTGGTGGTAAAGGCATAAGGTTGCACATCGACATCAGCACGGGTGATCTTGTTAATAAAGGATGATTTGCCGACATTAGGGTAACCACAGATCAACAGTGTACGAGTGTTAGGATCAATGGAAGGCAAACGAGACAAGTGTTGACGGACTTGTTCGAGATAGGCTAAACTGTCCTTTTGACGTTTCATGACAGTAGCCATACGACCTAAAGCAGCCTTCTTGAGTTGTTTACAACGATAGAGTGAGTCACCGAATTTCAGGAGACGAACATAGTCCTTGGCAACTTGATCAATCAAGTGACGGGCAGTATTGACTTGACCTAAAGCAAGCTTGTAGTGGTCTTTATCGTACAAGACATTCATCAAATCAGCATAAAAGGGGTGAATGTCCTATATAGATATCAGCCTATGAGGCCATCTTCTTTCTCATTATGATTACCTCCATCTTGGGGAATTCATCCAAAATATTCTTGAACTTTTCATCAAAACTTTCTTGTGTGAATTTGACTTTACGCATATAGAATTGTCTGATACGACCAATGTTGTAATTTTTGTGGATAACAGTAGGTGTCTTTCTTTGAGTCTTTGATAAGATAATATCAATAAAGTCAGAAGAAGTAGGCACTGGCTCGATCTTCTTGAAGTTGTAGAGCGAAGTCATTTTTTTTTGTCTGGTTTCAGGAAAAAAGATAGAGGGCTTCTATCATTTCATAAAAATTCTTTTCAAGTTCCTTAAATTAACATGTACAGTCACGAAACCTAAAGAGAAGTCACGATACCTTTGTGGGGAATCCAAAGATAGTGCTACCAACAAACTGTAATGATCAACAATAGGTTTTTCTAGGTGTGAGGTCGATACAAACAGCAGAGAACAAGTCAGTCTCTAAATGAGACATATTGCAATGACCAATCATAGCATGGATCTTTCCCTATACTCGTTTTATATTTATGCATATCAGATAATACGTCCAAACTGTATTGGAAGCCAAACTTAATTGTAAACTCTACGTGCAGATATTTGTATAGTGACAACAGCTTTATCAGTGGCTGAAGAAATTTCTTTTCTTAAGCAAGTATATTTCTATAGCCATCATAAGCTGTTTTGTTTCTATACCTTCCACTTTTTAGAATACAGAACTTTTTAACTTTTGTTTTGGAAGACAGCCCCAAGGATTGAAGCCCAAATCAACAATTAGATGTCCGTTATTTTATGGCTCAGGAACATAACGATTACTTTTGATATTCTATCCAAGCAAGAAAAAAAGAAGAAAGAAAAAGATGCAATTGCTTGTTGTCTCTCTCTCTCTCTCTCTCTCTCTCTCTCTCTCTCTGTTTCTTTACTTTCTATAAAAAGAAATTAGTGAATTGTATTCTCAATAAACTTTGGCTATATTTGAAGCCCAGACATGCTGCTTGTGTCCATCCCAATTAATTCTATGGAGAAGCTGTACTTTGTTTTTATATAGACATTGCACATATTTTTTTCTGTTTAATAATCCTTTATTTGAATTCTATACTTTTTTCTTCTTTTTTACCCTCACACACACACACACACACACACACACACACACACACACACACACACACACATATATATATATATACACACACATACATACAGATACACACATAGACTTTTTCTTTCTTTCTTTCTTCGCTCTCTCTCACTCTCTTTCTCCTCTCCTTTCAATTAATATAGTTCTCTCCCTTCACTTCCTTTAATTTTTTTTTTTTTTTTTTTTTTTTTTTTTTTGCAAGTTTATTATGGCCCAAGCAGGAACACTGACGCAATCACTTACGACTGCATCATCTACAACAGCCTCCACAGTTACTTGCACTGCCTGTCATCAACAACTCGAAGGCAATTTTGCACGCGCCCTGGATGGTGCTTTTCATTGGGAATGTTTTCTTTGCATTGTAAGTATAAACCCCAGGCACCGAAAATAAAATATTCATCCTGACAGGACTGCAATGAACCCGTAGCAGAAAAATTCTTTCCTATCGAACTGGAAGAAGGCATACAAAAGCCGTTATGTGAACGGGATTATTTCAAACGACTCAACCTGACTTGTGATAATTGTGGAGAAGCCCTAAGAGGCTCTTATATTACAGCAGTGGGAAAAAAGTTTCATTTAGAACATTTTTGTTGTAGTATCTGTTCAGTCGTGTTTGGTCCTGATGATTCGTATTATGAGCATGGCGATAATGTCTATTGTCATTATCATTATTCAATACAGTTTGCCATCAAATGTATTGGCTGTGAAACTGCTATTCTTAAGCAATTTGTCGAGATCAATAGAAATAATGTGGATGAACATTGGCATCCGGAATGCTACATGATTCATAAAGTAAGTGAATAACGATTGGTGCATACCTTTTTCATATAAACACAATTCAGTTTTGGAACGTAAAACTAGCTCAATCATTTGCTGTGGATGATGAAGCACCTTCATACATAGGTAAGCAAAACACACAAGCCTTGATTTCTTTTTTGAACTGGTTTTCTATAGATCTCAGTAAAATCACTTCTGAAGAGCTTAAAGAGACGCAGACTATCATGGAAGATAAAGTATATAGAATTTGGACTGTATTATCTGCATTTGAAGGTAAAATAAAAAGTAAAAAGATTTGACATTTATGTATATATATATATTAGAATCGGCTGCTGGTTGTATATCCGACATGTTACTTCATGTCTCTGAAGGCAGTTATGCTGAAGGTGTCAAAATGGCAGACTATTTTGTGACTCATGTCGATGTCTTGTTTACAGCCATTGATGACTTAGCCTGTCATTACTACCAACAAACACACCAAGAATTACTCTATGATCGTGAATCCAGCATGCTCTGTAAAAAAGTGTCTAATTTCTTTTCCCTCTTGTCTCATACACAAGAAAGTGGACTTCGCAAGATTGGAATCACACAAGACTTGTTGTCTTTAGTGACAGGACTAGCTCATTACTTGAAAGTGTTGATCCGTATTGGTCTGACAGGTGCCTTGCAGTTGGAAAAAAAGCATGATACCAAATCAGTAGCTACCAGTCGTTTCTTAAGTCAATTGATGGAACTAGCCAATAAGAAGAGACAATTCCTGCATGAATCCGAATACAATGTATCCTCGGGTCTTTGTCAAGTCTGTCGTGAACAATGTGAAGATGCATGTTTTCGACACAAGCATACATTATGGCATAGTGCATGCTTTACCTGTACTCAATGTACTCGGTCACTTGGCAATGAGTACAGTGAGGTGTATGTTCAAGAGAACAACCTTGTCTGTCAAAGATGTATTGTCAGTAAAGAAGGATATGAACAAGGTGTGGAGCGTATCTCGAAATTGAAACAGTCTTCTTTCTTGTTAAGTGTGGCTTTACATAGACTCTATCGCTTATTGAATGTGCCTGGTATGTTAGTCTATATCATCACGCTTACTTTTGACACTAGGCTTAGATCCTACCAGTAGTTATTATGGTCATGCCAATGAACCCACACAGATCCAACAACAAATGCAAATACAACAACAACAAATGCAGCAAGTTCAAAAACAAAACTTTGCGCCTCCACCTATCCCTCCAGTCCCTGCTCATCATGAAGAGATCAACTTGAACGATATCAAACGCATGAAATCCACACATATGAACCGAAAGATCACCAATTCGCATCGTGTTGGCAAACGCTCCACTTTGATGGAAACACCTTTGCCTGCCACTGCCTTTGCTTCTACTGATGATCAGAACGAGAGTCGACCTACCAGTGTAGTCTCTGCTCATCAAGTCAAACGAGCCTCTCAACCAAACGAAATCGAAGGCAGCGACATGCCTGGTTCTCAACGTCAAACACGCCATAAATACACGAAATCAGTGCCTATGGCCAAAAGCTTTTATTTTGCTGAACTAGGCTCACTTCAACATTTCATGCTGAAGCATATCGCCGTCCTTTATTTAGAGGAAATGTTGCATGATCATTTTACGTTGGAAGAATTGGCTGACTTGATTGATGACCGCAAGAATTCTACCTTATGGGGTAAATTTGTCACCAGTTTAAAAGCGGGCGGCAACAAAAAAGTACCTCGTACAAAAGGTAAATGGCAGAGTCATCATGTCATGTATTCACCTATTTTTGTTTAGAGGGCACATTTGGTGTTGCTATTGATGTACTCGTGGACAAGAATGGTATTGAGTCTAATTTGGGTATTGGTCCAACCCGTATGATCAAAATCCCTTCTTTTATTGATGACTGTGTGTCTGCCATGAAACAAATGGACATGTCTGTCGAAGGTATCTTTCGAAAGAATGGTAACATTCGTCGCCTTAAAGAACTAAGCGAAGAAATTGACAAGAATCCTGCTTCTGTTCAATTGGCCAATGAAACACCTATTCAAGTGGCTGCCTTGATCAAAAAGTTCTTGCGAGAATTACCTGATCCTCTCTTGACATTCAAGTTACATAGACTGTTTATTACTGCACAAAGTAAGTGACTGTTTAAAAGGTGATTGATATTGATCCATCATGATGGTAGAATTGGATTCTGAAGCGGATCGTAAGCGTGTCACTCATTTAGCTTGTTGTTTATTGCCCAAAGCAAACCGTGATACAATGGAAGTCTTGTTTACTTTCATGAAATGGGTTTCTCAATTTGCAGAAGATCCTTCAGGAAGAGGAGGTGGTGGTAGCAAGATGGACATTACCAACCTGGCTACAGTGATTGCACCCAATATTCTGTATGCTAAAAGCAAAGATCCTATGAAGGACGAATCATTTTATGCGATTGAGACCATCAATATCATGTTACAAAATGCAGAAGAATTCGCCACTGTGCCTGAAGACTTTATTCCCTTATTGCAAAACTTGTCTTATGAAGAAGGCGATATGGACATGAATGTGCGACACATTTTGAAAAAGTGTGAAATGGTCATGAAAATGAAGCGATCTCAATCAGCAGGTGGTCCTATTCCACCTCAATTACCTAGACAGCACTCTTCACCTGCTGCTGTCTTATCTAATACTATGAATGAATACCCACCACCTTCTGAACCTCATTATTTGTCATCCTCTCCTCAAGAACATCCTTATTGGTTAGAAGAGACTCTATATCACCAAAAACCCATTGGTGCTGCTGTTACAGCTGCAAGTACATCTGCTATACCTATTGTGAGATCACAGTCTTCTTCTCAACTAAATGGTAATGAAGGAAATGATTTACTTGTCAATTAAAAAAGGAAAAAAAAAAAGATATTTTAAAGTTCTTCATGAATGGGTTTTTTGTTGTTGGTATGGGTTTCCATCTCTAGAGGTGGGCAGACTGCGGGTGATAATAAGCGGAAATGGTATTCACATTTCTCAGGTTCAGATACTTCAATAATCTCATTCTTGACACCACATTCAATAGTAGCCTTGACACTTCTTTCAGGGCCATTCCAGCAACGCGTACCGTGTGTATGAGCATGTACTTTATATACATTCTCTTCTGGACCATCAAATGTCTCGAATTTACTATTTGTTTTGTGGCATGAATAACTATAGACTGCATCATCTCACTTACCCTAAATAAGTACGAGTGCTGTCCTTGTTACTCTTTTGATGAGCTGAACCAAGGAAACAAAGGGAATATGTATATCTAGTCATCTCATTAGACTGACATTGACTAAACAATCTACTTACTCTCCTTCATCTTTTTCAATACAGACATCTTTAAGTTTCAACCATTCCTTGTCTTTTCCATAATCAAATGCTAAATCAGCCTTGACTTTCTCCAATTGAGTGTTGAGTTCATTCAATTCTTTTTCAGCATCTTGTACTTGTTGACGCGTCTTTTCCAATGCTAATGAAGAAATAGTTAGATGTTGTTGTAAGGTTCAATTGAATCAAATCAAAATGTATCAAAGCAATTCACACCTGCTTCTTTACTGCCACTGTTTGATGTTTCACGAGTCTTTGGTGACAGTCTATCCAACACATTAAATGTGTTTGGAAGCACTGAATCCAATGTCTCAAGAATAGAGTCCAAGAGAGTGTGCTTACCTACTATCATGTAAATAAATAAAAAAAAAAGGAGGGGATATTAATAAAGACTTGCCTTTGACTTCATTCTCATCCTTTTCTTTTTCTTTCTTTTCCTCTTCCTCTTCCTCTTCCTCTTCTTCTTCTTCCTCTTCTTTGACATCAACACTCTTAAGATCCTCTTCAATTTCAGGTTCAATAGCAGCATAACGAGTAACAAATTCATCATAACCAGCAATAGCGCTCTTTACAGCCATATCATGATAATTATGGTTATGATCTCGCTTCATGTCTCCCAAGATTTGACTCAAGATAGCCAACTCCTTTTGAAGAATCGTAATGTCGTGTTTGAGTGTGGCAATCTCAATCACACTGGATTGGCAGACACGCTTCTTGGTCTTATGGACACGTGATTCCAAAGTGTCTAATTCGCGTTGCATCTTGAGCACATTGGACTTCTTGAGCACAATTTCATCTTGCAGTCTTGTTTCGTCTTCTTCCCATGCGCGCACTTGTTTCTCTGCTTCGTCTATCAGTTGTTGTTTGGCCTTAAGACCAGCTTCAATCGATTGCTTAAGACTGGCTTGTTGTTTACGATAGACTTCACCCACGTGTTGACAACGGTTAGGGCAACTGATCAGATCCCCATTTTCGTCTGAACCATCACAACAGGCTTCATCACAGATACCATCATTGACAGTATACGATTTGATATAAGCAGGTATATGGCCCTCATTTGCACAATAAAAGAATGCGTTAGGACAAGCAGAGGTACCTGCACATGTTACTATCGTCCATTTTCCTTATTATTATTACCTGGCTCGTCTGAACCATCAGGACAATCACAATAATCATCATTAATGGCTGTATAAGGGATGATTTTTGAACCGTCTAGACAAGTCCAAGTGTTTTGAGCTGAAGGTTGATATACATCATATTCTATGTCCATCATCAGTACATGTATCTTGGTTTATTCTAGATTACTTTCTGGGGATAGACCCTTGATAATAGAAGCACGAACAAGCGAGATGGCAGTGAGAATACAAGGTAACTTGTACTTCATGATGAACAAAAAAGAAACCAAAAGGAAAAAGAATAAATGAGCCAATCAGTTTTTTTATTTTCCTGACACGTCAATGCAAGTCAAGAGAAGCGTGTCCGAACTTATCTGAATTTTCTTTTTTCTTTATTTGTAATGAATGAACTCAATTCTCAAAAAGAAGCTGCTGGACCTGGTAGAAGAAAGACAGTGCGTAAAGGCATGTTCTCCAAGGACTGTAAGTAATACAAGATGAGATATCACGACTCATAGTGTCTAGTAAAACTACTCATGTATGGTTTTGGTGATGTGATCAACCCAGCATCAGATTCAGTCGCTGTGATGGATGATTTAGTGATTGATTATATAACAGACATGTGTCAAAAGGCATCCATGGTGGGTGACAATCGAGGCAAAGTGCGTGTAGAAGACTTTAAATTCGTCCTAAGGAATGATCCTAAGAAACTGGCAAGAGTAGAAGAGCTGCTGTACATGTCTGAAGATATCAGAAGAGCTAAACAAGTGTTTGATGAGAAAGAGATGGAAGCAGATGATAACTAGTGCTTTATTCTATTTTTTCAATGTATGGATCAATCCCTGAGATTTTTTCACCACAGCGAAGACAAGGCCATTCATCACCAAAGACAGATAGTTTTGACTGTATACAATAATAACAATAAAGATGCCCACAAGGGGTGATGTATGGGTTATGGACTATCAGATTTTCTGTGTTTTCATTTGTATCATGACAAATGGCACATTGATGCGCAGGCAATTGATCATAGCCCTTAGAAGAGACCAAATAGGACTTAGGCAGTAGTGTACGCATAATTCTCATCTTTAGTTTTTCAATATTGATCAATGGCACTAGAAACAACAAGAATTCCTAAACACATACATAAGGTATCCACAGTGATTCTAACTTACTGTAAATGCATGCCACACCATTTGTCGATTCAGGAATTCAAAACTGACTTGTCTGTTCATGGATTTCTTTGAATAGACAAGACGCATTGACAAGATACGATCCACTAAAGTACGGTATTTACCATTCCATAAGAATACAAGGAAATTGACAAGGGAACATGCTTTCCAGTATTTCTCGCCTGCTTGTAATACACGATAGACTTTGTTACGACGATCTTCTTGATCCAGTTCACCCCATCCTTTGGCTGTTATGTATCGATGGATGCGTGTCCACATATACTGTCCAGCTACAGTCAAGATACCGTACGCTATTTTCTGTGTCTGTGTTAAGGGTCCATCTTGTGCTATGGATTCAAATACACCTTGATGGTTTCTTTCATTGCGATACTTTAGGTTTTGAAGTTGAGCTCCATAAGTTGCAGAAGAGTCATAGATGGATAATTTAAATAAAATCAAGTTCAAGATAGCCACACATTCAGGTTCAAAGGTTTCTTTGATAGTAGGCTATTCCCATGAGTAAGACTTACTTTGCATATCTTGTCTTACCTTGAATAAAGAAAGAGCACTCCAGAGTTGTTCTTTCAAGATATCAAATAATTCAATATCCAATATGTCTGAATCAAGTTGACTGACTCTCATGACTTTAAGAGAAGATGTTCTAAGTGAAGCCATAGAACGCCTTACTTGACGCAAAGCAGGCTGTATTTCTTTCCAAGTTGAATTCCATTCAGATGTGGGTGGTTGTGATGGTAAACGAAGCATAAAAAAAGAAATAAAAAAAAAAAAAAAAGACAATTCCCACAGTTACTTTCCAGTTTATGTAAGGTGAAATAAGACGCGTTATTCAGAGGAAATATATATATATATGTCATCAAAACACTGCCCCTTCTGCTCAAAACAAGCAGACCATTTTCATTTTCTTTCTTTTTTTAACTTGTTTTTTTTTGAAAGAAAAAAACAGGGTAAAAGAGGGTAGCCACCACAAAGAAACAACCCAGACAGAGGGAAGCACGGCAAACACCCTCCCAAAATTGCTTGTTCGCAGTGGAAGAAATTAGTAACTACTCATCGCTCCTGCTGCCCTTCAAACTACGCGACAACAGAGACAAAAAAAAAAGCTGCTAACTACAACAAGAGACAGAGACGATAGAAGGAAACTAGAAGATTTATGCATGCCTTTAAGGAGGATTCAACTGTCTTCACACATCAACCTTCCCAATGTTGTAGTAGCCAGTTCCAACCCAGGTTTGTTAGCATAGGCCTTTCCAAACGCAAAGAGACCAAAGCCTCTTCTTGTTGTACTCATCCTACACAAAGTCACCGCGAGCCTTTCCTGTTGCAAGAAGGAATAAAAAAAAAAAGAAGAGAAAAAGTAAGGAAAGGGATTTTATAGCTGTGGTTAAAGTCACGACGCCAAAAAGTCTAGGCTTGATTCAACCAACACAAGCCTTGTTAGACGTCTTAATTATAAATAGCTCCAGAACTTGAGTACATTATCTTTATTATTAAAGTCTAAAATGTCATGATAGCCATAGAAAAAGTTAACTGATACAGCTTTACAAAAAGTTATCCCTACGATATTAAGATATCTGAATTCCTATGATGATTTTTGATTGGTCAAATGCCTGCTTTTTTCAATTTTTTTTTTTTTTTTTTAGTTTTTTTTTTTTTTTTAAATAGTAAACAAGAGTCTTTAGTTTATTCCAAGATCGATTGATTAAAGACATGAGCCATAATCCTACTTCTATTGCTCCCTTATTGAGCTCAATTGCACCTAATCCTACGCCAACAACATCTTCTAATCCCAATATGAAGATGGTAATGAATCAAAGCCAAATACAACGCAGCAAGCTTCAGAATGTACCTGCCTTTCTAAACAAACTTTACAAGTAAGTCTATCCATGTAGAATCTATCTCACATAATATAGTATGGTAGACGATCATTCGACTAATGAACTCATTCGTTGGTCTGACGACGGTCTTTCTTTTCTTGTGATTCGTCATGAAGAATTCGCCAAAAAAGTATTGCCTCGATTCTTTAAACATAGCAACTTTTCATCCTTTGTTCGTCAACTCAACATGTATGGATTTCATAAGGTGCCTCACCTCCAAAACGGTGTCTTGGGCACAGAAGGAGAAACCGAACGATGGGAGTTTAGTAATCCTCATTTTCAGCGTAATCAGCCTGATCTCTTATTACTCGTTACTCGTAAAAAGGGACGTGATCCTGAAGAAAGAGAAGGAGGTGCAGTTGACATGCATCATATCTTGGATGAAATTGCAGCTATCAAAAGACATCAAATGTCCATCAGTAAAGAACTCAAAGTGGTCCAGACAGACAATCAAGTCCTTTGGAGAGAAAGTATGGCTTCAAGAGAAAGACATCATCGACACCAAGAGACGATCAACAAGATATTGCGATTCTTGGCTTCTGTGTTCTCGAGTGATAAGAACAAGCATGCTATTCCCCGTAAACGACAATATTTGTTAGGAGATGGTACACAACATCATGAACAAACAAATACACCATCTATTGGTAAGAAAAGAGAACATATCAAGATTGAAGATGTTGATGATGAGGATGAGGATGATGAACAGCAGCCTACAAAGCAAAAGAAGATATCGGCTCCATTTGATATTTCTGACTATGTTCATGAAGCCAATGCACTTGCTAAAGACATGTCATTGGCACCTTTACCTTCTCCTATTCCTAGTTTAACACCTGCTACAGCAGATCTTCAAGCAGCCATTGCACTGAATGACCAAACAAAAAAAGACACAGTTGCTTTTGGTAAGTCAAGCTTGTTTAGGAACCTATCACTGACCCCATATAGATTCTCCTGATTTATCTGCGTTACTGAATTTGCCACAATTTCAAGGCTTGATCAACTTGGCCCAGACGAATCCTGGGCTATTTAATCAATTGACAAACACACAGTATTTTGATGTACCTCCTCCTCCTCCTTCTCAAGACACATTTACTGATATATCGACACCTTCACTATCTCAAGTAGGCACACCTATGAGTTCACAACCTGTTGAGACACCTACAAATGTACACGATTTAGAGTCTAGTCTGAAATCATTGGCTACTGAACTTGGGTTTGAAAATGACAAGTTGGATTATGTAAATATGGATGATTTCTTGACAAATTATAGTGAGTATAAACATACCTTATTGATGTTTATGTAGTACTGACTCCTCCATTTAGCTTCACCTTCTTCCTCTACTAAATCCGATCATGAATAATAATATTATATATACACACATCTATTTTGCATTCTAACATGCCGCATATCACTGTTTCTCATTCTCTCATTTCAATAAATATCCAACTATAACAAATCTGGACTTTAGCAAAAATAAAAAAATCAGGGCTTAAATTAATTTTAATTAAATAAATAACCATATATATGCCAAAACGAGTCTTTTTTTAGGCTTGACACAGATTAGTAAGTTGTCCTTGGGAATCTAATTCTGATAGGCGATCATAACCACCTAAACTTTGACCTTGTTTAAAAAGGTTAGGAAAAGTGGCTCTGCCAGTCAGTTGATAAAGTGCTTGTTTGATTTCATGACCATCTCGTTCAAGATCAACTTCAATCACTTTAATATCTTGACAGTATTTAGAAATCAATTGTTTGGCTGCTCTACAATAAGGACTAAATCAGAAGCAGAAATCAGAAAATAAAATTAATTATATATCGAATGATCATGCTTACCAATATGTTTTACTGTACAGAACAACAGGGTATTGCCCTACAGTAGACTGGACCCATACTTTATGGGGTTGAGTGAGTTTAAGAAGATAGAGTTTAGGCGTTTGTCTGAATTGAATAGGAGACATGTTGAACTGAAGTACGGATGTCAGAGGTACAAATGTGACTTTATCTAGACCATAAATGACATCTAACACTTTGAATTTCGAATCAAATCTGTCTGGATGAGCAGTAATGAGATGTGTGTAGCGAGCCTCTATCATATCTTGTTGTGTTTGATGTGACTCATTCTTGGAATACACCCAATGCTTGTTGGTCTGGCCATACAGAGAGACGCCTGTCATGGCTGCCTCGACATCAATATGGACTGAAACGTGTCCTTCGTTTTTCTCAATCGTATGTAACCTCAACAAGGCTTCTCCTCCTGGATAATTTAAGCGAGATACCTGAAACATCAAGATAGAAATAATAAAAGACACGACTGTGCCTCCCAATAGAATCAGAAGCATACCCTTGTAGAACCGAGAACGACGTGCGGCTGTAACAACAGAATGAACCGTCACTGCAGACGAAGCAGTGAAGACAGGAATCGTGTACATGATAAAACGCCATTCTTTGTGTGGCAAACAAGAAAAGATAAGGATATAGACGAGCATGGGCATCAAAAGGCGGCGTACTCGGACATCTCGGACAAAAGCAACCATGGCCAGTGGGTAGGAGATCAATAACAAACGTGGCAAAAAAGATATAAAATAGGCATAAAAGGGTAATGTACCCCATGCAGCACTCTTGTTCAGAATCCCATTGAAATAAAAGACCATACCCTCAGGCCATAACCATGTCCCCCATAAATATGAGTCCAAGGGAACCGAAAAGGCAAGACTGAAGATAGCAGTGATAATCATTGGCTTGACCATAGCCATGATAGCCATCGTCTTGTATGCATACTCAAACCCAAGCAGGACAACAAGAAGTATGCCTGCCTCAAACCGAAAGACGATACCAGCAAAGGTCAAGTACCGAATCATCCATTTTAAGTGATACGTACGACGGCTTGTTTCAGACAAACTTGAGATCCAATGCGAGAGTCCCAGCTCAACCCACGGTAAGGCTAACGTATTTGGCAAAGTGCGCGATGACCAAAACACGAGGTGAAATTGGCAGAGCAAGAGTGCTATGGTAAAGGTGGCTGTGGTAGAACCAAACACGGCTCGGACACCAGACGCGAATTGACCGAGAGAGAAGACGACAAAAGCAGCTAGCACAAGACGGACCAATACCTGTTGATCCAAAAGGGATAAAGATGGAAATAACTGTAGCCATGGCCAAGTACACACACTCAAAAGCACAGCACCTACAAATGTACGCGGAACAACACCGGGAAAGTCAAGGTGATCATAACGATCAACACGATGGAGAAGATCATGAGTTGCTTGGAGATTGAAGCTTTCTTCTACTTTTGTAAATGGCGCCAAGTAGGCTTCTATTGCAATCAAGATGAATAGGGATCCTAACACGAGCTTCATGCTTCTTATTTGAACAAAAAAAGAGAAACTTTAAAATAGTAAAATTAATAAATTATAAAAAAAGTTAATGTTTGACGAAACTCGCAAGTGCAACAAACCCTTCTTTGTTCCCCAAAAATATACGCAGAACTCGGTTTATAAATACGCATTTTCTTCATTGTAAAACAGTTACTTTTCCTTTTTTTTTTCTTTCTTTCTTTTTTTTCTGGTGCCTGAAAAAAAGAAGCTATCATTCTACAATCAATAAAACTTAGATTTTCTACACCTATTCATAGCATGAAGGATGGCTTCAAGTCTATTGAGATAGAGCCAACTGAATGCTATCTTGACTTTATTGGACCTGCGAAACCAGACGACACAAACACACATGCTCTCAAGGGCAAAGTACGTCTTTCCCTTTACAAATCTGTAAAGATTCGCAACATGTCTATCAAGTTCAAAGGCCAGAGCACCATCACCCTTCAGCAACCCGCCAATTTAGAACTTACTTGTCCTCTTTTGCCCAAGCTAAAGCTTCCTCTGTTTGGAAGAACCACCTTACCAGCAGGTGATCATATCATTCCTTGGGAAATGGATATTCCCAACATTTATCCTCGCAGTATCATGATCAAACGCGCCAGCATAAACTACAAAGTCATTGTGTCCATCTCAACAGGAATTACACGGACATTGACTGCAGAATATCCAATTGTCATTCGACGTCATTTACTGCCCTACAAAGAATTGGCTCCATTGATTGAAACCAGGCTGTTTCGACGCACTATACCTGCTAAATTCCATTACGAGATTGATACTCCGCAGATCGTCTGTATTGAACAAGAACATATTCCTCTCGCCATCAAATACATCAGTTTTGCTAGTCAAAAGCCTGTCAAGACAATAAAAACACGACTTATTCAGATTGAATTGTATAGGTAACATGTCGTTATTTGAACTCCATTTGTATGCACCAATATTAATTTATTTTATTTTTTTTTATATAGGCGCCAATCGCTCTCCAAGACTGAATCTGATTTGTCTTGTAGTAACAAAGACTCTCATATCCTTGATCTAGATAAGAAAATCGCAGACTCAGTCAATTACAAAGATACCCATTTTAAATATATTAAACGAACAGTGCCAGCGCTTATACATATACCTAATGAATCCACCTCTGCTTGGAAACAACCTTACCTTATTCGACACCGTCTTCATCCTTACCTGTCATTTACTCTGGACTCACCCATGGTCACTATCTATCATCACCTCGAGATCACTTTTCAATTCGGCATGAAGCATGATGATATCAAATCGCGTATTCCAGTCATTATAGCTTCCATACCGAAAAAGGACTCGCTTCAATTATCAGACAAACCTTCTTTACCTGTAGAGCAAGACAACAGCATGATGATGAAATACGCTTTTGAAGAAGTGGCTCATGCGAACTTTTTGACTTATCGACTTGAGTCGAGAGCTTCTACTTTTATGACAGATGACGAAAGTGCTATCCAATACCACGAAGGAACATTTAGCAAGGTCAAGGATGCCAATCTATTGTCTTTGATGAGCTTTGATGAAGACATTCATACGACAGACAAACTTACGCCTGTGTCATTTGGCCCGAGTCGTACTACTTCCCCTACTTCACCCACACCTCCAATAAGGCCCCTTTTGTCTCAATTTGGTAATAGTCAGAGTGAACCAGATACATTGTTAAGTAGACGAGCCTTATCTCCTCCTCCTCTTCCTCCTCAAGAATTGACTTTTCCCCTTTACCAAAACTCAAAAGAGCTCAAAAAGTTTGCTTCTGCTGCAGATATCAGCTCATCTTCAGAGGCATCGTCACAACAAGAGACCGAACGCCCAAGAACAACCACACCTACCATGCGAAGACAAAACATGTACAGGAAGCCACAGTTACCGCCTATCAATGTTGATTTAGCAAATGGAAAAGATACCCGAGGTCTTACAGTTTTGCCTCTACCACGTCCACCTCAAGCTGGACTTCCATTACCTCCTTTGCCTACCACAACCTCGTCTGGCTCAGGTGTTTTGCCCATATTAGATCGCAATGAACAAAGTCGGTCCAATATCCATCTAGAATCAAGCAAGAGAAATCGCAACAATATGAGCATGGAGGACATGCAGTCGGTCTATTCAGAGGCTTCTGTGACAAGCATGAACAACGCGCCTAGTCTGAGCTCTTCTGCTTCTCTGTCCACCAACAAAAGCCAGCCTCAACTTCAATCCAGACCTCCTTCGCCTGTGTTTAGTCCAGCTCCTGGTTTGCCCGCCACCATTCCACTCAGACCTCAACAAGAAGATACTTCTCGTATTGAAGAAACGTTCCTTTCTGATGGCGCTGTCTCGCCTGCTATGAACACCGTGGCTTCCTCTGTCGTCCTTTCGCCTCGCACAATGTATTCTCTTCAACGCCGTATTGCACTCTCCACCATTTCCTCCTTAACTAATGATTCCTGGCGCATGGGTTCTTCTATTCTACCGAGAGGAGGACGGTATTCGACTCAGGCGGATTCAGACGTTCACTCACTCATGATGCAGAGTAGTCGTTACAGTAGTGAAAATAGTAGCCATCTGTATGAATCCACTTACCAACAATTGTACAGTCCACCACCGCCACCACCTAACCCATATATCAATGCCAGACTACCACCGGTACCAACTACCGAAACGACGAAATCAAAGTCGAATAAGCGGTCGACCATGATCTATCTTGAAGACAGTGACAATGAGGATGATGGGGATCATCGAAAGAGCGTACCTCCTTCACCTGTACCTCAGCTACCTCCCTTGGAGACTTTAGTGTTATCTGAACCCAGTACAAGTACAGCAGACAAAGAACAAGACTGTACACCTCCAAAATTACCTCGATTATCGTTTGGTAAAGATTTTGGTATCTCGCTAGGTCTTTAAACTTATTATGGATAATAAAACATGTCATATGATACTACACAATTTATTGATCTTTCTTTTCTTTCTCTTGATGCCTCTTTTCTTTTTGATCTCTAGCCATTTCTACACCATCGGCAATACGTTCTTTTGCCATTCGAGTAGCTTCACCTACAACAGCGGTGATGATGCGTTCAAGAGGTCCCCAGAGATTCAGAGCAAAAATGACATAGCCAAACGTGATCAACAAGACAAACAAGACCATATAGAGGGGGTTACGAATGATGGTCATGAATTCATTCCAACCAAGGAAGACCATGGCAGCAATGGCCCATGTGGGTATTTTAGCGGTTGTGGAGACAACCGAGCGTTTGGCTTCCAAGTAAAAAGCATCTGATTCACGCTTGAAACGGTTTGAGATATCTATCTGTTTGGCTTCACCAAGGACAATGAGTGATTGGTCAAAATCGAAATCTTCTGTTGATTCAAGCTTGAAATCGGGGTCTTCTTTCAAGTTGATTTTAGCAAACAAAGAAATGAGGGTCAAGGTCTAGCGTTTAGATAAGCTATCATGTTAGATACGCATCACCACTTACATCTTCTTTAGCACGTCTAAAGTAAGCATCAATATCATCTTCAGGCTTCCATACACGGGGAAGACCATGGTCATCATATCTAAACTTTTCTTCAAATCTAAACAAAAAGCATTAGGCGTCTACTTTAAAGAAGGATCGATGCTTACCTTGAACGCAACTTTAACAAGAGCATCGTATCAGCTAATTCTTCATCTACTTTTTTGCGAAGCACGGTCCATGCCTGAAGCTTGAGATCAGTAATGGATTCTTCCAATTCCTTTTCAGACGAATTGAAGCTTTTAGCAATCTTTTCCAACGTTGTTTGGCCATGCTCGACTGTCTTGAGATAGGTTTGAATGATCTCGTGCCAAACATCAGGTTTAGGATCATTCAATGCCAAAGTGACAGGCTCAGACAACTCATTTTCAACTTGTTTCTATTTCAAATACTATTAGACTCAAAAATGTCATGTAGGGTTCACTTTACAGTCAAAGACTTGGTCATCTTCTTGAATTCGTCTGTGCGTGCTTTTGTCGAGACTTGAGTGAATTCTTCTTCAAGTGAAGCATGTTCACTTGTGTAATTCCAGTCAGTTTCTGGCAAGACAATTTCTATATCAACGCGCATAAGAAACATAAGCCTAAAAAAACAGGACTTACCTTTAGCACCGTTCAAAAAGTAGTCATTGGCTTCTTTCAAGCAACCTTCAACAGCAGTAGCAAAGTTATAGTTGGGTTTCTTTAATTCAGCCTTCAAGTTTTCATCAAACATAGTGATTGCTTTCTTATGAAGGTTTTTCACTTGACCCACGAACAAGACATGTAACTGAGTATTCAATTTGACAAGCATATCGGATCTCTTTTTCTCATACACGCCTTGATGATAACGTGATGCATTCTTGTCAAATGAGTTGACTGCTTCTTGACGGATATCCAACATTTGTTTACCGAGATTGTCAATGATTTGAGCTTTTTCAAGAATGGGTTGTCTGAGTGGAGCAAGGTGTTTAGAAAAGATGTCAAATGCAGCCTACACCATTAAACTAAGCCCAAGGTCAAATGAGTTGAGAGGACTTACATTAGAAATTTCATCACATCTGTATTGAGCAAGTAATTCTTGTTGAGTAGGTAAATCCAAATCTTTGTTTGTAAGGACCTTATCCCAAATACCAGAGGCATAGATATGATAACCATCAGCAGGAATACGCTTATGGTATTCAGGCTTAAAGACAAAGTTAGGGTTCTCAGGGTTATTAAATCTATGATCATGTTGTTGGTTTTTTTTTGTGTTTTTTATAATAAGTTACCTCTTGCGAAGATCGGCAACTTCTTCATTGAACTTCTCAGGCAAAAGTACCTTGTGAGGCAATCCAGTGTACATGAAATCAAAGTAATCATGGATCTTACAATCTTCGAGACCTTCAGGCTACAATGCACTTTTTAGATATACTTTTGCTGCCAATCGGTGCTTTTTACCTTTGATAAGCCAGTCCAGATCTTTTCTAGATCAGATTGAAGTGTTCTAGCCAAGTTTTCTAGTGGTGTTGAACCAACATGATCTCTGATAACAATCAACAAAAGCGTCTTTTCCTTGCTATAGAAGCATATCAGTTTATGAAGACAGACCACATTCGTACCTTTTTTGAGTTTGAAACAGTTGCAAATTGACTTCAAACACAGTCTTTAACAAACCCATATTAGCGCCTTGATAAAGACCTACTTGATGTTCCCATAAGTTGAGAATGATAACTTCACTGGTTGCCATAGAAAACAAGGCAGATTTGCGCTCAAAATCTTGATCTTCACCACGTTCACGACCATCTGTGCCTTCTACATCCATGACAAGTACATGCATGCCTCTACCTCTGGACATCCAAATACCCTTTGTTGTCTGACTTCTTTGATTTTCATTCATGACATCAAATGATGTACCAAAAAGACCGTTCAACAAAGTACCTAAATCGACGCGTTTAAACATCACTCAAAAACACAGAAAGAATCATACATACTTTTACCAGTACTTTGAGAACCAAAGACCGCAACCACATTATATTTAAATCCAGCATCACCTAAATGCCACTTTTCAAGATAGGCGGGCAAGTCTTCACTAGAATACAGTTAAGATAGTTACAAAAACATAGATCAAACTTACGTAAATTTTTGATTTTCATCAATGATCTGAAGACGTGGAATAGGTTCTGTGTCTTTATCCCACTCTGTTGTAGAGATGGAACCTTGTGCTAGATGATCAGTTGAAGATGTTTCTTCGGCAACGGTCCTAACAAGAAAAATATAACTTGTTTATCACGTGTCTTTGTCAAGGAGGCTTACATTTTGTTTATTCGATAACTAAAAAAGAAACGAGAAAAAAAAAGAGAGAAAGAAAGAAAAAGGGGTAATTTATTGACGACGACCCTCTTTGTTGTGACGACACTTCATGTGAAGAGGTGGTTGTACTACGAACTCGGGAACGGATAGGTAAACAAGAGTTCCGATTCAAAACAAGTTATTATGCAAACAGTATGACTAATTTACGAAAGAAAACATAAAAACAGAAAAGAAGGTACTGATAGGGTAAATATGTATACTTTGACAATGAAACCATGGTAACCATTGAGCTTAGCAACCGTATTTGAGTTACCCTAGCAACCATACAACCAATGGTTTGTAACAAAGATTTCCTTTACTATTTTTGAATTTCAAGAATCGATTTTGTGGTCCGCTTTGAAAATTAAAAAAATAAGCTTATGCCAAGAAAGGCTTTATTGTGCCTTCTTTTCTTCTTCTTCTTTGTATTTTGATATGGCAACTGAGGACCATTCTGAAGATAAAAAGCCTTTACTTGAAGAACATAACGCTTCTGAAACGACCAACTCGTTTCCTCCCTTGACTAAGCAAACTACTGCTGCAGTCTCGACCGAGCAAGTAACAGCAGAAATAAGGAGCGAAACAACAGAAAGTGAATATTACTGATTCATATGTAGAACTCAAACTGACTTTTTTACTTTCTAGATACAACAACTATCTTTGAAGCTGCTCAACGAGGCTCTTTTCAAACAATTCGATACTTGCTTGATAACAAACTAGCGACAGTCTATGATATTGACGCTCAAGGTGCTACAGCTTTGCACTATGCCACACTAGCCAACAACGACGTATGTGCTAAATACCTGATTGACAAGGGAGCCGTGGTTGATGCTCCAGCAGGCGATCTGCAAGCAACTCCTTTGCACTGGGCTAGCAGGCAAGTAACAAACATGTAGATAAAACACGCGTTGCTGATAGTCAAACAGACAAGGTCGACTAGGTGCAGTACACAGACTTATCAAAGAAGGGGCTAATCCTTCTCTTAAAGACGGACAAGGCTTCAACGCACTTCATTTAGCCGTTCATTCTTCGCACGCTATGCTTGTGCTCTACTTGTTATATCTTGACATTGAAATTGATACATCAGACAATGTAGGTGGCCATACACCTTTGATGTGGGCAGCCTATCAAGGTCATGCTCATTCAGTCGATTTGTTGCTCAAGTTTGGGGCAAGTGTAAGAGCCACAGACCATTCTCAGCTTACACCGCTTCATTGGGCAGCTGTGACAGGCAACAAGATGTGTATTCGAAAAATGTTAGAGTACGATGCTGATGTAAATGCTCGGGATCAGAATGGCAAGTCTGTGATGGATTTCATCAAGGAGAAGAAATACGAAAGGATTTGGGATAGAGCTGTGTTAGAATTCGATGTATTAGCTGAAGGAAATCCTGCTCAACAAGATCGCATTGGTAAATATCCTGGATCCCATGGAAAACCAATGTCAAAGGTAAGAAAGAGAGAGAAGGGTGAATGAGCCAAGCTCATGATACTAACAATGGCGTAGCGTACAGTGAACACAGTGGCTTATATTGCACCTTTTTTCTCCCTGGGATTTGCATTAAAATGCTTAGCCATGTTTCCGTGGTACGGTGGATTACCACTGGCCATCATGTGCTTTGCTTTGACACATATTGGTATTGTGAAATATCTTATTCAGGTACCAAGCAATGATGCAGTATGGAAAACACCTTATTTCTCGAGTATTTTTCAATCCTCTGCTTTTTGGGTTGTGGTCACTTGGATGTGGGTACTTGTGCCTTCTACTTCTCATTTGTTGTTCACCAATTTGATCTTTTTGGTGACGTTCTTTACTGCCATGTTTGCGTTCTTTAAAGCAGTAGCTGCTGACCCTGGGTTTATCAAAAAAGATCTTTCAAGAGAAAAGCAGCGATTGGCTGTAGAAGAGTTGGCTAATGAAAATCAATTGGACATTCGACACTTTTGCTTGACTTGTTTGGTAAGAATTAGCGGCTAAAAGGGAAGTCATGTTTCTTATTGGATTTATATTTAGATTAAGAAACCATTGCGTTCAAAACATTGCAAGATTTGTAATCGTTGTGTAGCCAGATTTGATCAGTAAGTGATAGTTTAGATAATCTAAACATGTCTAATTTCTTGTTAGTCATTGCCCTTGGATCTTCAACTGCATTGGTGTTCGAAACCATAGACCATTTATGATCTTTTTGATCAACATGGTCATTGCCATTATTTCGTTTGCATTATTATCCATGAATTGTAAGTTGTTTGTTGTTGTAATGTATAGCTTATCTTTCTTCTTGTAATAGACATATCCATTACAGCACCTATTTATGACCGAGGTCCTGACAGTACTTGTCTTTTGGGCTCTACAGTATGCAGTTACTTTGACTATGATACCTGGACATTATCATTAACACTTTGGGTCTTGATTCAACTGACTTGGTCCATGTTCTTATTGGGCGTTCAACTCTATCAAATTGCAGTAGCCATAACTACAAATGAAAGTGCCAACGTCAGCCGTTATTCTTATATGAATGCTAGTCCAGCTAATCTTGTGTCTACTTTACCTGTGGGTGTTGCTACTGGCACAGAAGGAAGTGATGGTCCTTCTACGCTATCCACCCATGAAGTCCATCGCCATCATCATCATGGTGGATTTTGTCCTTGTCTTCAATTAGTTGCTGGTGCCCGTGCTTTGCATAAGGCCCGTAACCGTCCTGGTAACACGATCAAAAGCAATGCATTCGATCATGGATGTTGGAACAATTGTTTGGATTTCTGGTCTGATTCGACTGAAGGAAAGAATGGCAGTGTAAATTATTATGAACTGTATGATATTCATCAAATGGACTATTACAAAAAACCATTGGCCATGAATGTATAAATATCAAAGATAGCTTTAATTTGGAATGTACAAAGATATTACTAAAGTAGCATACCCATTTTTTTTTCTTTAGAGAAATAAAACTGTTATTATCGTGGTGAATAAATAGGGGCATAGTTGGTTTTATAGACGCCATGTTCAGGTCGATAAGGTCTTTTGGGAGCAATGAGTGTAGGATCATTGTCGAGATAAGCTGGTGGCTCTTGGTTGTGTCGATGCCGTGTATGTTGTGCCTTGGCCCATTTGCTATATTGCGTGCCAAACGAGTCAGACATATGTGTAAACTCATCATCAATCATCATAGAATAATGGTCTATTTGAGTATATGAATTCATCGTTGGTTCATGACAAACATCGTCTATGTCCATGCCCTATAGATTTGTATAAGTCCTGAATTGGCTTGTTATTCTATTGCAGTTTACATGATCTTCCATTGTGTTGGCTGGTATTTCTGGTGGATAGTAATGTGGTTTATGATGCTGTATTGTATGGCTGTATTTTGATGCAAGCGTTGTGTCTCTCTTGCCTGCAATACGGTTTAATAATGCTTCCATTTTATGTGTAGATTCGGCAGAGATAGAATCAATGTCATGCACCATTACTTTAATACATAAATTTCTGTCATTTGAAAGCAATGTTACTTTTCTTTGAGTTGCTTGTTGAAAGTACCTAAATATACCAATAAGTCTTTGTATATGTTGATGTCTATTTACATGCAGCAATCCAAAATGCGATCATCCCCTTTAGCATTGCCTGCCTATAATAAAGTATAAATGTTTGTTGATCAAACTTTTTTTTCTTCCTTACATGTATTATTTGTTTGTCAAAAACTTCATTCATTTTTTGCCCTCGAAGAGAAACCATCTTATCTCTCAAACGCAATTCCAAGAAACGCATCGCTTTCCTTGCACTTGTACACACATCTGTATCATTTCTGGAGCCTTTTAAGCCGTCTAATTCTCGAATAACTACCCAAGGCAGTAATACGAGCAGACTACCTGGGTATTTATTAGCAATGTCTAATAAAGCATCCAAGAAACCCAATTTGGACAGTAAAAAGTTAGTATCTAATACAGCTATCTCTGCAAAAGAAGCTTAAAAAAAACAAAGTGAGTTATTAAAGAGGAACAAGTTGCACTTACGAGTTTGTTGATCAAACTGCTCAAACATAGCTGTGTTGGTGTTATCTATTTGGTCATAACGGGACGTAGCACGAATATTAGCAATTTGATTATTCACGTCGTTGAGGAACTCAGGTCCGTCAATATCCATAAACTCCATATCTTCTTGATTCATTTTTTCTTTTATATAAAAGTAAAGAAAGAAAGAAATATAAAAAAGTTGGCGGACAATAAAAAAACGCGTCTCTGTTTTTTCAAGAGGATGTATGAGATACTTTATTATGAAAGAAAAGAATATAATACACTTTAGAGTAAATGACAGATGATAATTATATAAATAAAGAAAAGAAAGACAGCAGTGTATTTTGTATAAGCGCGGGAACGAAAAAAGAAAGGGGGACGAGATATGTATATATAAAGAAGAAAAGCGGATTTAGCTCATGTACAATTCACAGGCAATAGGCTCAGCACTTGTTTGACTTGGCCAATACATGGGGTTTAGACCAGTGTTTGCAGCAGACTGCATCAGTAAACTGTCTTCGGTTGCTGAAATAAGGGGATGCTGTTGTTGATGAAAAAGATGTGTATGAGGATGATGTGATTGGTCTACTATTAAGGGTTGGTACATAGTAGGGTTGTATGGATGAACTACAACAGGTGCAGCAGGCTCAATAAAATGAACAAGGCGTCTTGTTTCTTCATGGTTATTTATCAAAGCCAACAATTCTTGTTTCATGTGATGTGCAACTCCCTTGAGTGTGTGTCTAAAGAAACGAGAAGCTTGCTTGCCTTCTGTGAAATCAGAACATTGAACCCATATTGGTGATAGTGTAGGTTCTTCAGTAGGTGTGCTTTCTCCTCCTTCAGACTGTTCTTCACCTGTGAGCGATTTCTTCTTTTTCTTGACGTCTAGGTGAGGTGCTGTGGACTCCATGTAGAAGAGGGGAGGCTCACTGATATCAAAGTGGACATCTGCTAAAGCTTCATGTTCATCAAGAATAAACTCAATACTTGAGACGGCTTTTTGAGCAACTTCCATTTTAAAGTGGCAACCGCCATCGACAATGTGCCATGCAAAGATGCGTGTATCAGGGCGGTAGACACAAACAAGGTCTGTCTCTTGCATCTTGAGACGGTGCCAGGTACCGATAGTCAATGTAGTGGCAGAGAGATACAAATCTTTAGGTTCTTCATCATCATCTTCAGGCAATACAACGACTGCGTCTTCTTTTTCATTATTTGTTGTCTTTTTATCATCTTTCTTAGTGTCTGTATTATCTTTACTATCAGAGGAAGGGGTCATTATTAAACTGGAGGGATCAATGGTAGATACAGGTTCAGCTGTAATTTCTGTTTAAAGTCAATATCATGTTTAACTATAGCTTCTTTGGTCTTACCTGGGGAAAGAGAATTTTTGGAAGGGGAGGGACTGTTATCGGAAGAGGTGGATCTTAAACTGGTAGCCAAAACGGCAGTTGGGCCAGCATCAGGAACTGATACCAAAGTTGGCATGGTAGTATTGACGGATTTAGCATTTAAAGGACTTAGAGAAGGAGACACCTGACCATGTATGTATTCAGGGAAATCTAAACCTGTTACAGGTTCAACAGAGTTGTTTAGATCGTAGGGATATACTTGGGGTGGCATGCTTTGTCTCATCAGTGGGATATCATCTTGTACAGAAGAAAGCCATGTGGTAGAAAGTTGTTGTTGGTGGCCATAGTATTGAGGATAAGACATGGGTGGTGGAGTGGTACTAAATGAGGAATTTCCGCCAACAGCTGTAGGCAAAGGAGGTGGAGGGACAGAAGAAGCAGGTGTAAACAACACTTCCGCTTGAGAAGTAGGGATTCTGTTGCCATTATTATAATGAAATTGAACAGCATCTACACTCTGAGCACGGGGAGGGATAGCTAAACGAGCAGCAGCTGGGTTGTAATAGTAAGGTTGTTGGGATTGCTGATAAGGTTGCATTGGTAAAAGTGGTTGACCAAACTGTTGTTGCTGTTGCTGTTGCTGTTGCTGTTGTTGTTGTTGCTGTTGTTGTTGGTGATATTGATACAACTGAGCACGAATAGAAGCTTGATGCATTTGCATCTGAGCTCTTTTCTGCATGTGTTTTACTTTGGCTCTTCTGTTCTGAAACCAAATCTGAATTGATCTTTCACTCATCTGAAGCTGTTCAGCCAACTGTTTTCTCAGCTTAGAGTTAGGGCTGACATTGACGGCAAATGTGTCTTCCAATACAGATAATTGGTCTGCAGTTGCTCTTGTTCTTTTGCGAACAGGCGGAGCTGAAGAAGCACCAGTTGTATCTTCTTCTTCTTCATTAGGTACCGAATTTAAGCTATTTTTGTTATTATCTTCAGATAATTGTTGGGACCAGTTTTGTTGTGGTTGTTTGTTTAATAAATATGACATTTTTTTTCTTTCTGTTTAAATTAATGAAATGTAGAGAATATTATAATGAAAGGATAAGAAAGAAAGTAAGGAGGGTAAAGAGGCTTCGTGAATAAGAAAAAGAGTGGCTCTTTTTTTTTATTGAAAGAAAGAATAAAGAGATGAGAAAAAAAAGCTTAACTAATTTAAGGCGAGACAAAGAAACAGTAACGAAGCAACGATAGGAGTTTTGATAAAGGTACAAGAAAAAGCTTTTTTTTTTTTGTTTCCGCAAATTACGATGCTATGTCACTTGCAAGTTAAAAAGGTAAGATTATTTTTTACAACTCCCTACAATCAGTTTTACTCCGCAGCGTATCTGCGTACTTCTTTGTCTGTCTTTGTCTTTTTTCACTTTCTTTTCTTTGTACTTGTATGCAATCAAGACATGCAAAAGACCATCTAAAAAGATTTTGTTTCGATGGAGGAATGCATTCAAGATTTGTACTAAAAATTTCAACCCAGAAAAAGTCTGTCTGCTGACTTTTTTTTGTAACTAAAAAAAAGTAAATATAGATATTCAAGTAACAATAATTTTCTACAGTTTATTATTTGTTTGTACGTACGCTCGAGCAAAGAAGTATGCGCAACATGTCAAGATGTGATCTTGTCAATTCCCTTGATCGACGCGTTTAAACCACTGTGTTAATTAAAATCTCATCTGAAATACAGAGAACTCATTCTTTTTTGCAAGAAATGCAGCTTATTGTTTTTTGTTTCTAAAAAATCATTTCTTCTTTTTATCCAAGTCCTTCACACGCGCATAAAGAAGGTCACAAGCACACAGGCTTCTCAAGTTTAGTATCCGAACACGTTTCAATACTACGTATTCAAAACTTTATTTTCACTTTCAGCTGCTGTTTGTAAGACGTTTTCACTTTCTTACTGGGAAGATCTTTTCCATAAATAGACTTTGAGTCAATTTTGGTATGCCGTTCATAAGAACATAAAGGAGTTTTTTTTCTGACTCCTGAATTATTGACAGGATATCTTGCATTCTCGACTCCTTTCTATTTTTTTTCTTGTTCTTTTTACGAGTCGCGCCTTTTTTTTTCAGGAAAGACAGGAGGAGGACCAAATGAGGTTGCATATTTAGTACAAGCTGATTGGATACTTAAAATACATGATATTTATAAAAGGCAAGTAATTATCAACCATATAATTTTTTGTTTTTTTTTGGATATATGTTCAGCACAGACTTGTGAAAAGATGACCGCTGGATATGACAAAGTACTTGCCAATTATGTAACAAGGAATGTCTCGACCTCTTTTTTTTTTTTTTTTTTTTTTTTTTTTTTTGCTTTTTTATATGCATATCGGATTACTATCCGCATAGATGCCTTTCCTTTATACTCCGAAATGACATGGATAATGCAAAATCACGACATCATTGTTCCAATTGTCAAATTAATTTTCTGGTTGTGCCTGGTTTTTTTTTCTTCTTGTCGCATATACTGACATGCATAAATCACTTGTCATGTTTTTAACGGGTTTTTCGCTCGCAATTTCTGATTACTAAATACATTTCATGAACAATCAGATTAGAACATCAATTGAACTTGTCTATTAATTTGGAAAACAAACAGCATGAAATACTATGTTTCCCTATTTGGTTTTCGTTTTTCTTTTAGTGAATTTATAACATCCATTTTGATACATAAGACACGTTCAAAGAAATGGCATGCTTTCCAGGGAAAAGTTGACGAGTTTCAATTAAAAAGCTGTTTTTTTTAAAGAAAAAATAACAGTTTACTCTCACGATAAAGTAAGAAAAAAACACATATGTTATTATTATTATTATAGATACGCATAAGAAGGAATAGGTGGAGGTTGAGTTTTTGGTGGAGGCAATTGGGGAGGTAGCACGGCTGGAATATGGGAGTTAGAGTGATTACTTGTTCTTAGTGATGAATGTCTCCGTGGTGGATCATAGCTATGTTGTCGCTCTATGGAATATTCTGAGGAAAAGCCAACAGATGAGGGGTATGAATAAAGTGACTCGTTCTCATTAATGGGTGAGGATAAAATAGGTGATGAGGGTTGACTTATTGCTTGTCCAATGGATGATGAATGAGAGGATTGAAGCCAAATAGAATCATTCTCGGGTTGCTCGAGTGATATATTGCTCTGACTGGATGTAGAAATACTTGGTCTTGCTGCGATGAGTGAATATTCTTGTTCTTCAGTTGTGATGTGTGATAGGTCTCTGCTTGTGATTGTGGTGGCGTGATCAGCACGAATTAAGGCAATTGTACGCTTGATTTTATCTAGCCACATCTTCATTGATTCAGCATCTTCTACTTGCAGAAACCAGCTTGAGGAGTCCTCATGACCCATCTTTTTGATTTCGATACAAAACAATGCACCTGTAAACTTGTCTGTTGCAAACGCATGCGTGTTTTTTGTCAGCTCAAGGAACTCCCTGTATGTTTCTGGTGTTTCTGTCTTGAACGAATAGAGAAAACGATCGACAAGTACAACATAACGTTTCTTGATTGTCTTTATAAACGAGAAAGTGGGTGCACGATGCTTAGTCAGCCACCCAGTACAATTTGCATGTTGAAGAATAAGGTTGACATGAATGCCACTTGGTCTTGGTCGAAAGGTCTTGGGGTCGTTAATGTCCAACATACTTTCGTTTGTTTTTACTCGTCGAACTGGTACTTCGTCAATTGGAAAAGGCAAAGAACTTGTAATAGGATGAGTGGTGGAAACGGAGACAAGAGCATTAGTCAAGATTTTCATTGGTTTTATAGAATTTTCTTCTGGCTGCTTTTGTGACTGAGAACGACTACTGAAAATCATGTTTATGTACTACGGGAAAGAAGGGAAAAAGGAGGAAAAAATGTATATATAAAAAGTGAAAGGAAAAGAAAGGGCTTTGTTTGCCTGCTCGCTTTCACTTACTATTGTCGTGATTCCTTGGTTGTGAAACGGTACCCCGTAGCCCTTTGAAATTAAAATAGGATGAAACACAACCTGTCATAGCTACTTTTTTGCACAACTTTTCACACGATTTCACCAGCTTAACGGATTCTCTGATCTTCTCAATTAACCGTATTAAGTAAAAGGCATTTTAAAAGTGCTTAAATCCTACATTGAGACGCCGATTCGTAACTTCAAAACGAGAAAGGGATTGGTTCATTTAAGGACAAAAGAAAAACAATAGACTTCTTGCACTACGGGAAGGTAGATAAAAAGAAAAAATCGCATAAAACCAGCTTGATTAAACCAAAAAGAGAAAGGGAGCGAAGACAATGTTTTAAATTGTCAAGTACTGATTATTTGCTGCAATGTTTTTTTAGAATAAGAAGATTTAGCGATAGGGATGCCATGTGATAACAAGTGTTCTTAAGTGCTACAACTTTGTGTGCCTTGATATTACTGATCAATTGATAAACACCTTATTTGTATGCTCGAAACAAACACTTTCTTTTTTTAAGTTTATTGTTATTTTATTGTTGCTTGCATATATGTACGTATGTGTTTAGATATAACGAATGAATAAGATGAATAAATGGAATGATAAATGAATAAAAAAAGAAAAAGAAAAGGAAATATGAGAGAGTGAGAGAGTGAGAGAGGAAGGAAGAGAAGGAAATAGAAAATAGAGCGAGTTACATAAGAAAAGCAATACTATAGATCAACCAATAGACAGGCTTTTTTTCTTTACTCGATGTTGACAAATCTGGATTGGTTCTTGTTGCTCTTGGGAATAATTACCTTGAGAATACCGTCTTGGTAGGAGGCCTTGATTTGTTCAGCATCAATGGGGTTGGGGAAATTGAAGGATCGTGTAAATGAACCAGCAACACGTTCATTGACCCACCATTTAGGACTGTTGTTATACTGAGCCACTTGGCTGTCTTGGTCCTTCTTTTGTACAACTTGCTGACCCTCAGCAGTGGCACCATCAGCACCAGAGGCAGTAGAGGAGGCCTTGTTCTCTTGTGCTTTTTGCTCCTCTTCCAAAGCAGGGCCTTCATGGTGTTCCTTCTTCATCGTGCCGCTCAAAATCAGAGTACGGCCATCGTTCACTTCAATCTTGATATCCTTCTTGTCATAACCAGGAATCTCAGCATGCAACTCGTAGAACTCGGGCTTCTCAATAATGTCGGTGGCAGGGTAGCGACCAAAGACACTGTTGTTATTGCTGTTGTGACCACGGTTGCCTTGGTTACCGAAGAATGGACTGACTTCGCTGTTGAACATAGGGCTAAATAAGGGCTGGTCAAAGACAGCCATAGCACGTTGCATATCACGTAAAGCGTCAGAGAATAAGCGTTGAGAAAGAGCCATTTTTGTTTCTTGTTTCTTGGACTTTATAACTTGAATATGATGATGAGACACAAAAGTGCCAGGAAACAATGAGTCTTTATATATCTTTTTCGAAGGGTTTGTGGTGAAAGATCTAGAAAAGACCTACTTCCATTTTTGGCATTTTCTACAATTTTCTGGAGCACTCTTTTTTTTTTTTTTTTTTTTTTTTTTTTTTTTTTTTTTTTTTTTTTTTTTTAATTATGCAATTCTAACCGTTATAATCACAAGACCTCTTGCTCGAAAGTTGTAGAAAATACCACAAGAGCCAAGAACGCCCTCAGTGACTGCACTTCGATCTTCTTCACTCTAGACCATGGCGTCTCTAATATTACACAATACCCTCTTGTTGTGTATATGCGCATAAGAGTATATGCATGGTTTTTCTTTTTCTTTTTTAAAAGAAAAAAATAAAAAATAAACCAGTAGTACATATGAAAATGCGATTATGTCAAAGTCTTGTTACCGAAATTCATTGTAAAAAAATCATGCAACGGAAGAATGTAATGCCTTTTCGAGTTCAGTCAAGGATGGAAAAGGAAGTTGCATGATTTTTTTACAATGAATTTCGGTAACAAGACTTTGACATAATCGCATTTTCATATGTACTACTGGTTTATTTTTTATTTTTTTCTTTTAAAAAAGAAAAAGAAAAACCATGCATATACTCTTATGCGCATATACACAACAAGAGGGTATTGTGTAATATTAGAGACGCCATGGTCTAGAGTGAAGAAGATCGAAGTGCAGTCACTGAGGGCGTTCTTGGCTCTTGTGGTATTTTCTACAACTTTCGAGCAAGAGGTCTTGTGATTATAACGGTTAGAATTGCATAATTAAAAAAAAAAAAAAAAAAAAAAAAAAAAAAAAAAAAAAAAAAAAAAAAAAGAGTGCTCCAGAAAATTGTAGAAAATGCCAAAAATGGAAGTAGGTCTTTTCTAGATCTTTCACCACAAACCCTTCGAAAAAGATATATAAAGACTCATTGTTTCCTGGCACTTTTGTGTCTCATCATCATATTCAAGTTATAAAGTCCAAGAAACAAGAAACAAAAATGGCTCTTTCTCAACGCTTATTCTCTGACGCTTTACGTGATATGCAACGTGCTATGGCTGTCTTTGACCAGCCCTTATTTAGCCCTATGTTCAACAGCGAAGTCAGTCCATTCTTCGGTAACCAAGGCAACCGTGGTCACAACAGCAATAACAACAGTGTCTTTGGTCGCTACCCTGCCACCGACATTATTGAGAAGCCCGAGTTCTACGAGTTGCATGCTGAGATTCCTGGTTATGACAAGAAGGATATCAAGATTGAAGTGAACGATGGCCGTACTCTGATTTTGAGCGGCACGATGAAGAAGGAACACCATGAAGGCCCTGCTTTGGAAGAGGAGCAAAAAGCACAAGAGAACAAGGCCTCCTCTACTGCCTCTGGTGCTGATGGTGCCACTGCTGAGGGTCAGCAAGTTGTACAAAAGAAGGACCAAGACAGCCAAGTGGCTCAGTATAACAACAGTCCTAAATGGTGGGTCAATGAACGTGTTGCTGGTTCATTTACACGATCCTTCAATTTCCCCAACCCCATTGATGCTGAACAAATCAAGGCCTCCTACCAAGACGGTATTCTCAAGGTAATTATTCCCAAGAGCAACAAGAACCAATCCAGATTTGTCAACATCGAGTAAAGAAAAAAAGCCTGTCTATTGGTTGATCTATAGTATTGCTTTTCTTATGTAACTCGCTCTATTTTCTATTTCCTTCTCTTCCTTCCTCTCTCACTCTCTCACTCTCTCATATTTCCTTTTCTTTTTCTTTTTTTATTCATTTATCATTCCATTTATTCATCTTATTCATTCGTTATATCTAAACACATACGTACATATATGCAAGCAACAATAAAATAACAATAAACTTAAAAAAAGAAAGTGTTTGTTTCGAGCATACAAATAAGGTGTTTATCACTACTGAATATTGTTGGTTTTCTTTCATGTGCATCTTTAACAAAAAAAAAAAAAAAAGCGCCGTTTAATTATATTGTATTTCATGTCATTTTGTTCTGATGTCTCGTACGCACACATATCAACAGTTAAATATAAACGCGCCTATGCAGCATTGCCTAAAACTTTTATATTTTCTTTTGACATTCTATTCCCTAATAAATAGTTTGAGCTTCTTAAGGTATCTAAAAAGTTTTAAACGCTGTCAAGTATCACATGCATCAAGTTCCGTTTATCATTGTTCTAGTCAATAAGCTTTCTTTCTTTTTTTCCTGCAAAAGAATAAAGTCCGTAATCCTTATTCTCGTTTCCTTTAATTGCTTTTATTCTTTATTGAATGCGAAAAAAGAAAACTTAGAGATTACAAGAATTTGGACGCAACTTAGTGGGCTGTATTGATTTAGGGAGACTCGAATAGAGATGCATACAAGACATAAGTTGGGATTTTTTAGTGTTCAAATTTATCACATCTGTGCTGTAATACTTTATCTACAGTTGCTTAAAAGTTCTTTTCTTCTTCTATTCTTGGTCTTTTTATTTTTACTCTATTTACTTCTGCTTAAGGCCTCGAATAACTTTTTGATCAAGTCCACAAAAAACCAAGTTGCTTCCTTTTGGTATTTAGGCGTGATTTTTAAATAAACAAGTCCAGACCTAAAGAAGCAAAGGTTGGGGTCAAAGTTTTTTGTGTAACTTTTTCAGACCAATAACACGAGGATCTATACAAAAATCGATAAATTGACCATTTTTTAACAATTAAAAGCTTCTTTTTTGGTGTTTGCCGACGTGCTTGAACAAAAAATATAAAAAAAGAGATTAAAATAGGAAATAATAACTTTTTAAAGCAAATTTTTTAAAAAAATTTCTTTTTTCTCTTGCTTATTTCTTTTTCGTTATTTGATGGACTTGGTCAAGCGATTCTATTCCAGCAAGCTATCGTCAAAGAAGTCAACTGTTTGTGCTAATAAATCAATTTTGCTGGGACGAAGAAAGAGTAAACGGTCAAACAAAAGCAGTAGTAGTATATTATCTTCAGCCACCTCAGAATATAGTGAAGACAATAATGAGTGCGGCCATGACGACGATGATCCTAGCAGTAATATGATGAATCTGTACAAAAAAAAGCACCAGCACAAAATAAAAGCAGTCGAAAGCTACCATGATATGCATCAAAAGCTTAGTACAACAGAACATTTCATTGATATGACAGCAAGCAGTAGTAGCAATAATGAAATATATCACCATCTCAGTTATAGTATACCAAACCAAAAAAGTCATATATCATCACCGATAAGTAAAGCGTCTGTCCTTCAAATAAAAGATAATAAGATAACGTCTGATTATGCAGATAAAAAACATAGTTCTTGTAGTAAAGTAAGTGTCAATATGAAAAACTAAGATATAGTTACTAACACTATTTTTTGTTAGCTGTAAGTACATTATTTATTTAGTTCAACTGATTCATTTTAAACAGAGTCAAAAAAGAAGACTCCACCATGTACTCTCCTTTTACTAAACGGCCTGAAATAATTGACAGTAATTACATACCCCTACCAACAGTAACAAGAAAATACATCGATCCTCCTCCTGATGTTATCTTGGACGCCATACCATCTTTGTCTCTTACCGCTAAGAATCGACAGATGGCTGATTCTCAAGACAAGGATCAAAAGATGAAAAATTCATCTGATCCTGTTAGAAATAACACCCCTTCAACTTCTTTATCAGTAAGCAAAAAAGAAAAACAAAGAAGGAAATTAAAGATTGACACAAAGAGACAGAGTCTCGGAAGCAATCAAATAGACCCAATGATTGTTACAGCTTTGAATAGTGAAGAACAAGTGTTGATGCCGGACATTAGCACTTGGTTGTCTCAAACAGTAGGCAACGCTTGATACCTTTTTTTTTTTTGCTAGGAGCCCCCTAATTTTCAAATAATAAAGAAAGCAGATCATAACCGTAAAATTCAAGCATTTCTTAACAATCATAATCATATTTACTGGAGCACTGTACATGATCTCACACTTGAGGTAGTCTTGGCAGTTGTTGTGTTTGCTTAAGAATCGATGTAAAACAAAGACAGTGAATTACAGCACCAAACAAATTGTGATTGAAACTTTTATTGCCTAATCTTTGCAATGAATCCAAAAGGACTCCCAATGACCATTTTATTTTTACGAAACTATTACAGTGAAAGTAAATGAAGTTTACATATCATTTTAATAAACGAACAAACATGTCTTTTTTTTTTAAAAAAAATGTCCAGCATTTTCCTAGCAGAAGCAACAAAACTATAGCGGTTTGATAAAAGATAAACGCTAAGAAATAAGCCAAATATTTTATCAAGATACACAAACTCTTTATTTCCTATTTTACTGGTGATAGTATTTGTTTTACCTTGAGAAAGCAGGCCTTTATTCATTAGAAAAGAGTTTTTTATCTCTTAACGAAGTATATCTAAAAATCTCGAGAATTAACATCATTTTGTATAAAATTGTTTCTTGACCCGGAAAGCTCAATAAATGCGTGTTTGAAGTATTCTTAATAAACTGTTTAATCATTTTTTTTTTAGAAAAGACCAGCTTAATCACTAACATAAGTTTCTTTATGAAAAGCCTGTATTGCTCCTTTGTAGTGTATTGAATGTAGCTTTTCTTATAATAATAAAGAAATATTTAATATTTGTCTTTTTTTTTTTTTTTTTTTTTTTTTTTTTTTTTTTTTTTTTTTTTTTGCCTTCTATGTTTTTAAATAATTTGATTGACAAATATAAGCTTCCTTTAACTTGTACCTTTAAAAAAGCTATAGTTGTGATTCGCGATAGCTTATTCCGTAAAAGTTAGGCCTTGAAGCCCTCTTTCAATGTCACAAGTTTACCTCTAAAAAATCAAGATCATTTGATTCACACATTGCCGTTACAAATGCTACACAGTTTCCAGATTTAATTACTGAAAACATGCGAATATCACATAACAAGCATCAACAAAAAAACAAATCAACTTGTATTTGTCAAAGTCTAACTCTCTGGTCTACAATGAGAACATTCATAATCCAGTAAGTATATACAAATGAGTAAATTGATGTACGCACATAATTGTTTTAACTACATGTATTACAATAGCCCTTGTGCCAACCGATAAAAGTGCCACAGCAGGAATAGTGATACATTAGCTCTGGCGTTTAAAAATGGCTTAGTTTGGAGATTTGTTCTGAATTAAATCAGCACTCTTTTTTTTTGAGATTATTCTTGGCTATGAAACTTGATTTTCATCGATATGCATTTCATGTATCCAAATACATGTAAGCATACTGTTTAGGTCTATAATTAAGCAAATAAACCGCTTGTATAAGACTGCGCAATTCATTTTACACAAATACAAAAACTTTTCTATGCTGTGAATGGTTTTTGAGAAGATGACACAAACCCCAATTTCCCAATTCTGCAATTCGTGTTCCTGAAAAAAGAAAAGTAGCTGACAATGTCTCTTTATTCTACTATATTGAGCAAGAAGAAAAGATTCACTTACTATTAGACAAGCTTATTCATGTGGTATTCACACAGTTAATAAACACAGGTAAATCGTAAAATAACAAACCCAAAGTACACAGGTTTCTTTACAAAGAAGATGTAATACCTTCATAATCACAAAAATTTCCCAAGATCAAGTCAATTGCGAAAAAGTATTACGTGTATGGTGCTTTGAATACAATACATTGTAATTTTGACATTGTTTTTTTTTTTACCTTTTCAAGAAAAAAAGAGAAGTAGACCACTTAGAAGATGAGAAGCATTGAGAACAGAAAGATTTAGGAGAATGGTAAGCATTAAATTACGTAATTCAATAGTGTTTTACTAGTGACTTTAGCAACCATTTTTCTTTTAAAGATTAGATGAATGCATTAATGTTAAATTTTTGTAACTGAGTTCTAAAGTGCATTGACCAGTCATTACTATGCATTCATTTGAAATCGACAATATGTAGAGGTGAATGTCGAGGCAAAAGAGCTATATGTATTTCAATCGAAAAAATTGACTTGGTTCTCTTGCAGAAGAATAAGTGATATTAACATACTTTTGTGTTCATGAATTGTACATCATTCTCCTTAAAGTGAAACCAAGTGAGTTTACCATTGAAAATATCAGGTGAACACTATGTAAACGAAACACATGTGAATTCTCCATAGAGAATTAAAGAGAGAGAGAGAGAGAGAGAGAGAGAGAGAGAGAGAGAGTGTGTGTGTGTGTGTGTGGAGAGAAAAAGACAGGCAAAGAAAGAGTTTTCTCAAGCACAAAGCAGGGATTCAATTAACCAAGTACAATCTAACTTGTTGTACTTCATATGCTAGGGAAAGAATTACTTAACGGCGTACACATTGGCGGCGTACACATTGGTCTTGAAGCCAAAAAAAAGTTATGTTTTTTATATAAATAAGTGCCTTGTTTTTCTGTCAAGAGTATTTTATTCATCAAATCAAACCAATTTTAACAATGCGTGCCTTCTCTATTCTCTCTATTGCTCTTGCCCTCTTTGCTTCTGGTAAGTACCAAGAAACTCGCAACAATGGTTGTACTCAATCATTTGTCGATTAGCCAATGCTGCTGCTGTTGACAAGCGTGCCATCTCTTCTAATGTTCAAACCTGTGTCAACGACATTACTGCTGCCGGTACTCAACTTACCGCTGTCAAATCTGATGTAAGTTTTTTTCTTCTAAAGACTGAGACTCATATATCATCATAGGTTGCTGGCTTCACCAGTGCTGCTGGTTACAGTGGTGCCCTTGCTATCCACACCAAGGAACAGGCCCTTGAAAATCTTTTGAAGACTGCCACTACCAGCTGTTGTGTTCAAAAGACCACTGTCACTGATGAAGAAGCTGCTGCTGTCCTTAATGTCATCTCTACCTTGGTTCCCAACATTGAAACCACCTTGTCTTCCCTTGTCAGCAAGAAGTCTCAATTCGATACTATCTTGTTGGCTACCACTCTTGTCAAGACTGACATTAAGAACTTGAAGACCCAAACTAGTGCTTTGGACACCTGTTTGGTTGCTGTCACTCCCTCTGCTTACACTACTGATGCTAATGGTTATGTCACCAGAGTCAATGCCGCTTTTACTTCTGCTAGCACTGCTTATGGTATCTAATTATTTATTGAATAAAACCTCTTAAATCATGATTTTCATCATGATATACTTTATTATATGAAACTATTTGGCTGGAGGATTTTCTTGATTTGAAATCATTTCTGAAATGTTCTTTTGTAACAGACTCCAATCTTCGGGCTTAGGAATTGCCATCTATTTTGAAACTGTAAATAACAACAACAGTAATAAATAAACTTTACCTCGCCGATATCATAAACATAGACATGTCCATCACTTGAGCCAATAGCAGTCTTTTTACCTTCTTTATCCCAAGCAATCTTGTTAAGTGCCTTACCAGAACCAACTTGGGTACTAACAAATGGCTCTTCGGTATCTGCATTCAAGTTCCACAAGTCAAATTGACCTGTACCATCAACTGTACCAAACAAAGCAGGATGTGTAGGTGACCATTTAACGTCATACACGTAATCGTCTGCGTGTTCAAACGAGTACAAGGGAGTAATGCTAGAAGGTTGAGTGGATGTCTTTGAGATAGACTATAGACTATGTCAACATCATCTGATTATACACAGGTTGCTTTGTCTTTTACCTTGGCTCTCCAAAGCTTCACAGTCCAGTCAACAGATGAGGTAAGGTATAAATCTGAGAAATCAACAGGGCCATGCAGAGGATGGAAATTTAAACCAGTAACCATACCATGATGACCGCGGTAGGTGTCGTATTGATTAATGCCCGCTTTACTAATTAAACACTGTCAGTCACTCATACAAAAGCAAACCATAACACTTTTTACCTTCCAGCACGATCATAACGGTTTGCTTGATAGATGTTACCTTCTTCTGTACCAGCCCAAAATGCGGTTGTTTCATTATCAGGAAATCCCATGCATGTCACGGAGACTTCGTCTGTCTTGTTATGAGCAGGATGAAGCAGCTCCAAATAGTCTTGAGGTTGAGCCAACATATCCAGCTGCCATGAACAAATGAAACCATCCGTACTGGCAGAAATCAAGTTATGGGCATTTTGAGTGCCCACCATTTCAATCGAATAAACAGGATGTGTATGGCCACCAGCAGACAAAGGTGTCTTGAGAACAGGCAGTGATTTAGCACGCGTGTCCCACAGGACAATTTGACCAGAATAAGTACCACCAATGATATAATTTGGGTGGAATTTACTAAACATAACACTGAGCACATCAGATTGTGAATGGAACACGAATTCAGGGCGATCCAACAAATGTTCATTCCAGACAAGAGCAACACCATCAGGCTCATTAGGCGCAAGAGGATTTTTGTTGTAAGAAGAGACAACCAATTCAGGGTACTAAAAGGCTTAGTCACTGCTGTCTAATCTCTCAACTTACTTTTAAGGACCAATTCACATCTGTAACTGATCTGTTTTTGCACCATTTTTCGTCCCAAAACTTGCAGACAAATTTGACATGTTTTCCAGAGTTCTCATCGCTACAAGAATGAATATTTTTGTATATAGACAAACACTTACTTTTCAACATCAATGCCAAGGGTATAATCTTTCATAAAGTCATATTTCTCATTTAAAGCTCTTTCAACAAGCTTAGTTGAAATATCAACAAATTCAGCAAATTCTTGAGACTTTTGAATGGTCTTTGCTTCTTCTTCAGTTAATTCTATTTTTTTTTCTCTTGGTTTAGCATTTGAACTTGATGACTCAACACTTTTTGTTTACCTCGAATTTCTTCTTGTTTTTCTTGTTCTGCTTTTCGAATTTCTTCTTCTAGTTGAGCTATCTTCTGCTTTTCTCTCAACTCAAATTCCTCAGTGATTTGTTTTCTGATTTCTTCTTCAGAAATCTCTGGGGCTTCCAATGATCCATCTGTTGTTTGAATTTCCTTGCTGTAGACAACTTGTTCCTGTCTTATGTTAACTATGTATTATGAGTTGTCTCAACTTACAAGGGGAGGAATGTCAGCAACAAAAGTTTGTGCTTCAGTGAGTTCTGCTACATAGTGAGGGGTTGTCTGAGCAGGCTGAGAAGTAGTTGAGAGCATAGAAAGTCTTGCATCTGATCTATGTATTCACTCAATACACACTGTTATATCATAATATAAGTCTTACTGGCTCATAGGAGTTCCAGGTGAGGAATAGCCAAAGTTAGCTGAAGTTGGGCGTGAATTAGAAAACTCGGATCCTGCATCTGACCCACGATCACTGCCTGCAGTTGTAGTAGCAGCACTAGGTGTGGAAGGGCGCTCTCCTAAAACAAGGGCGACCAAGTCATCAATAGCCTTTCGGTCTCTTCCAGTTGTAGAGCTAGTTGTAGACTTGCAAAACAGTTAGAAACCTTGCCTCATCAATACTACTTACAGAAGACTGTGTAGACTGGCTTTCAAGTAAAGCTCGTCTTTCTTCTCGAGCACGTCGAAGTTCAGCTAGCTTTTGTCTTTTTTTCTCTAATTCTTCTTTTCTGCGATCCATCTTTTGAGTAATCTGTCTTAATAGAAAAAGAAAACGATACAAGAAAAAAAAAAAAAGAGAAGAGTTTTTACCCCTTTATCTGTTTTTAACGGTTCACTCTCAACGCGCAAAAACAGTCTCTGACTTTGAACTACTTTATTATTCTCTGCATCCTATTGGCTCGAAAGATTATTGCTCAAGAAGCATACTTTTGACAGCTCGTTTAATGTGTAGTTTGACACTTTTCGTATCAGATCAAAGAAGAGATTTAATAAAAAAGAGATGGAGCTCCCTAAAAAACAACATAAAAGCCTTGTAGCTCAACTGAATTCTAAAAAACACATATTTCGCTTGTTCTTGCAATCAGAATTATTTCTAGGTAATGAACCCGGAAAGAATGATAGCAGGCCAATGTCATGATCTTCTTTCATCTTTAATTGACTGGTCAACCATAGTCCCTCATCACAAAAAGAAACAATACAAAAAAGCTTTACAAATACTTTGTTACTACTAAAAGAAAAACGTTTGATATGATTTAGAATGTGTAGAAATCAATTGTGCACACTATCTACTTAGTAAGATTTCAGCCCTCAATATGAACCTTTTTAAACATTACGTTCATTATAAAATCTTGAGCTGTAAACCAAGTTCCTTTACAATTCGCTTTGAGTAAATCGGACAAGATAATGACACCAATAGCAGATTAGCAACCCGCTGCAGGTGCGACTGTTTCTCAAAATAAACTATCATTTCTGCCTTCCAATTCCCTTCTATATTTCAGTATACATAAAGGAACATATTTATGCAAAAACATAGCAAGTTTAGAAAAAGTGAAAAAATCATTAATTTGTCCGTGTGATAGCCGCTAAAAGTTTATATTTATTTGAAAGGTTTTGAAGACTGGGCCCTATGGAGTAAATGTCTAATCATCAGTTCAAAAAAAGAAAAGCACAAAAAAAACTATAGAGTGATAAATATAGGAAAAAAAAAGACAGGAAGCATAGACGATGATGTACTATAGTGTATAGAGGTAAGAAGAAATAAGAAAGGAGAAAATAAAAGGAAAAGACAGGTGCATAATGGAAGTATAAACACCACAGGACGGAGGAGAGAATTAGCTGTCGATTTGTACTGGATATGGCGAGGGTATCAACCAAAGGAGAAAAGTCAAACCAGAGGTATCTTTTTCTTCGCTTGAGAAGGTCTTGTCGGGAAGATCCATACTCTCAATTTCAAGAAGTAGTTGGCAAATGATTGGCTACCAATTTGACCATCGTGTGCAACAGTCAGATCTTTGAGCTTGTAGGCTTGGAGGGCGTAATATTCTAGGCAACAGATTCAAGACATAATCAATTGGATTAGGCTGTATATCAGCTGGTAACCTCAAGCGTTCAGCGGCGCGCAGACAACCGAGTACATGTTTTCTTCTGATAGGTGATGAGCCACATGAGCAAGTAGAGGTGTACTTTGGAATCCACCCAAGGCGCCAACGGAGGATACTTTGACGGTCATAGATCAACATAAGCAGCAAGGTAGGATCAATCCTACCAACAAAGGGCCTGCAGGTAGAGATGAGGACAGAGGCATTTGTTTGTGCACAAAGAGCATCCAAGTTACGCTGACGAAGTCCCAAGAGTTGCTTCTTTGCGTTTCCATCGGCTTCAACACAGCCGGAAAGCGTATTATAACTATCGCTAAGACGCAACCAGATGTGGCTCTTGTTTGATACTTGTGACTAGAGAAAGATCTGCTGTTGCCGAGCAAAGGGATACGTATCAATGTGTGCCATTAGTTGCATTATTAGTGTGTCTTCTGGGAGCGTTGCGAAACGGATCATTATCTTGAAGACGAGGTGCTCTTTACATTTGGCCATGGAAGGAAGGTTGGTCATCAGTTTAAATGATCCGGTTGTTCCCTTTGAATGGCTATTGACACAGAGTCGCAGGCAAGTATCTTGTGCATGTTCTAGAGTTCCAAAATCGGATTTTCGGTAAAGACCAAGAAAAATACCATACTCCAATTTCGGACGTATAAAGGTACTCCATCGCTGCTGCTAATACTGCCTGCTGTTGCTACCAAAAGCACATACAACTTTTTCTAGCTGTCGTAAACACAGGAGCTCGCTAGCTCTGCTGGCCATTCTTGTTGTTTTACAGTCACCCCCGTTCACAGATTGTTGTCAGGAAACGATTTAAAGGCATCCGCAAAATAGCTTCTTGGCATTTTTTTTCGCTCTTGGTCACTCCTCATTATTCCTCAACATTATCTTTGTTTATCATTCAAAGCTTTAAGGAGTTTAATAGTATAAAGAACTGCATTGTGCATTTGAAGTGTTATGTTTTCGTCAAAGGCAAATTATAGAGTTTATACGTAGCTCAAATTCGACAGCTACAAGAACAACATTAAAGAGATCAGAACACCACAAGCAGTATAGAAAAGTATGAGAGAAAAAGGAAAAAACTCTACTTATTATATCTAAAAGGGAAATTATTCATAGCTAGGAACGCATACGCTACATCGAAGGTCAAATTCGATTTAACAGCAACTATTTTAGGTGCTGTTTTGTACCAAGATCAATTCGATTAAATCTGTTTCTGTGTGTTTTTGTGATCATCTTCTTGGAATAATCCGCAAAATATATAAAATCAATTAGTCACTTATTTTATATTCTATTAAAGTGATTCGAACATAACAGTAGAGGCATTTTCCAGCTGTTTAATATCTTTTGCTTGATGAAACTAGATTTTTCATAGCAATGTGTTTTACAAAACTCTATATCAGTAGCAGTTTGAAAATCTTTGGCTTAGAAGTCTTTGGATTTGATGCTTGGCTGTTTGATCTCATAAACATAAAGGGGTATATCCATGAGTGTTATGCCACCGTCAGCTTTTTTTTTTTGCATACGGTCTTTTACTTCTTGTTCTTTTCTAAGATACGAAAAGTGTTTCTATACAAATCCGATCTGACATTTCATTAGATATATATTAGCACCGACACTGCATTGTATTAACATATTAGTTTACCCTTGAATGTTGACCCTAGCGTTAGATGTGCTTTTTGCATACTCTTTAAGCTGATAATCTATGCTAATGCTATGTAAAGAATCGATAAGATTACGGCAAAAGGACGCTTCATTAACCTCGTCCAGTTTCCGATTTCCAATGAAATAGAAGTCGTATCTATAAGTTTGTTCAGTCTGTTGTGTTGCGTATACAAGCTTATTGGTTTACATGATTTTGAGGAATTTTGCTAAAATAGTATCTTCTTTGATACGAGCAATAAAATGCCTCTTGTTGTTCTATGATATAAGACATAAAAAATTGTTAGTTGTTTAAGAATTAGGTTGATGAGATACACAAGGGGTATTGGAGGCGATACATACCGAAGAGCAAAATAAATCAATTACTTCCAGATCCATACTGTTCTCCATGCTATTTCTCCAGTACTCAGAAACTACTGTAAAATACACTTTTTTTTTTTTTTTTTTTTTTTTTTTTTGGAAAGTTCTAAAAGTTCACAAGCATTTAGACTGAGTTGGCTATCTATTAAAGATCAATTTACTTTACATATCTAATTTGGGTGATCTAAAGCCTCTTAGGGTAATTCTAGGTTCGCTTTCTTGTAAAATGAAGCAATCATAATCATTAGGAGTAACTTTCCAAAACTAAACTCATGTTAAAAACAAGCAGGCAACTTTCACTTCACTTTTACCTCAGCTTTCATCTCATTGGCTTTAGTTTTTGAAATTGAGAGCAATCCTCTCTGCAGATGTTAAAAGAACAGTTAGTAAAACTTATTTTAGGGTGCGTTATGGTCAATATATTCTATGATACATCTCTGTTATATATGTCGTCTTTCATAATATCCCAAAAAATTTCTACAGTATCCAAACGAGCAGCGATCAGTTTAGAGAAACGAATTTGGTTAAAGAATCCCAGAGAAGAGAACCCAGCACGCATAGCTATGAGAGCAGACTGTGTGTTTTGACGAATCAGAAAGGAGACATCAATTTGAGCCTTAGTATTGAACGAAATGCCTAGATATTCAAAAGACGACGCTGTTGGTATTGGCGTATCATAGATCGAGTATGGCTGGCTAGGAGCAGGGAGACCGGTGACGATAACACATTATAGTGGATTCCAACGATATTCAAGGCTTAGAGAGTGGCGCTGTGCACGGTTAAGTAATGATTGCATAGTGAACGGCGTGCCATAATCACAACATCATCTGCATATAGTAAACTATTGATCCAAAGGCCGTTATGGAGTCTCTTAGGATTGATTCTTCTGTTTTGCCTTACTGCTGGTAGGAGGTGCATGCCACGAAATATTTTCGGAAGAGAGTCAATATACAAAGAGTATAGGAAGGGGGACAGTATGGAGCCTTGTAACACACCAGTAGAAGGATGGAAGGCAGTGGAGTTAAAACCTGAGATAATCACTTCAGTTTCAACCTGATCAAAAAGGCATTGTAAAATACCCAAAAAAGGCGGGGAAATACTAAGCAGAAGAAATAGGTATTGCATATGTGTGATATTGCTGTCAGTATGTATGATATTGAAGTGGAGGCAATAGCCATGTTTCAGTAGTAAATAAGAGTAAGCTCGACTTTAATGCGTTGGTAACTGCAGATATTGTCGGACGAGGGAGACCAGTAGAGTTCCATATAGTGAAGGTTAAAGGAGTGAAAGTTGGATCATAGGTAGAAGCGTAATTAGAGTCATAATTCGTAGGTGAGTGCATAGAGGTATTTGAATCGATGGTGACCATTTTGTTAATCACTGTCTGGTGCGTCACCAGGTTGATCTTGCATTAGGTCGTCAGCGTCAGATTCCTTATTCAGAAAGGATTTTATGTGGAATGTGTCATCTGGGAAAGTAGACTGAGCCTACTCGTAGTAAGCCATCCGCGATGTACAAAATCACGGGCCACTGGCCGGTGAACATGTACACGCATGTATTCCAAGGCATGGACCAGGCGTTGTTGATGAATTTTCTTCAGCTTTGTTATACGCTCTTCGTCATTGGTCAGAGTCTCAAGGAGCTTGGGATCGCGAAGGTGTTGGGGATCGAAAGAATTGAAATCCTGGACAGGCACAATCTTCCATTTTTCTAGAATAACTTTGAGCTCCTCATAATATCCAATATGAATAAGCACAGCAACAGCTCCTCTTGCTGGACAATGGATATCCAAAACGCGGCCAGAAGCAGCACCTAGCTTGTGAAGCTTGTTGCGCATTTTGCATTTCTCTGATGGCTCTCCGTTTTTAGATACTTTTAGCCCATCATTTCTTTTGAATTTCTAATTTCTTCATTTTTTTGGATTCTACTTTTTGACATGAAAACAGTAATTTAAACCCATCCATTTTTTTAGAAGAAAACTCTGCCAATGTTCATGTCAAGCTTTAAAACATAACAACAATTTGTCATTACATTCTACAATGTTTTTTCCTGCTGTATTAAGAAAGATTACAGCTTGGATTGACTAGATAAGACTTATTAACCATTTATATAGTAAAGAATAAAGAAAAAAAAAAGAGAAATCCAATGCCTTAATCTAGTAATGTTATGAGCATCCTTGATGGTCAGAAAGATGCTTTCCAAGAGAAGCAAGCTAAAATCAAGACAATTGAAAAAGAAGATACCCAAATGCAATACACTATTCTAGCAGAATGAGGTGGAGACTAAGCAAGCTATTTAAAGCCACCATTATCAGTTGTATCTGCTGAACAAAGATCTTTAAATAGAAGGTTAATGCGCAGTGAACATCCACGCGTCTCTTGTTCCAGACAGTCACATTGTCATCATCTTTTTTCTTTTTCTTATTTTTCAACTCGACCCGAAAGTAGCTCTCTATGACACAACTGCACTGGGACTCTTCATTTTATCTTGTCATAAACCATAAAATGGAATCAAATGATATCAACAAAACAAATCGCTTAAAGAGATCTATATCAACAGAATCACTTGAAAGAGCCTTGAAGCGATCAAGACCTTTTCGGAACGATTCGCCCAAGTAGGTTTCTTATGGATTTGTCATTATTCTGATTCTGTATAGTCCCTCGACAGAAGAGAAGAAAACCCTATACCCCAATACATCACAAGTGCTAAAGCCTGTATCCATTTCAACAAGAACATCAAATGAAGAATACCGAAAAATGAATGATATTCTGTACACAATTCACAAAGAACGATTTGGTGACCCAGAACAAAGAGAAAGTTGGTGGAATAAACAAGAAGATGTAGATATGATAGAAGAAGACAATCACCAATATAATGCCATGAATTCTGTACTCAAAGAAGCTTTCTTACAACGAAGAAATGCTTACTAAATCTGGTCTTTTTCGCCTTACAAAATAACCCTTTTCCTTTTTTCGTAATACCCGTGCACAAGCTCATTTTCTCATTCACAATAAAAAAGTAACAAAAAGCCCTTTTTTCTTCTTTTTTTTTATATATTTCTATTCTTTATGTCAAGTGCAGATCTACTTCAATATACTAGCTTTGAAAGCATTGAAGACTATGTCAGTCACGCTCGACAAATATTCTTGACGGGAAAATCTCGAGACATGAATAGACGCAAACAGCAGATTCAACAACTTTACAATCTTGTTCATGACAATGAACAGAAGCTTTGCGAAGCCCTGGTCAAGGACATGAATAGGCCTCAAACAGAAGCTTTGACTGGTGATATTGCACCTGTATTGGATGAATGTCTTTATTTTCTAGATGTAAATCATAACAAGTGATAAAAATCCAGCAACTGATAAAAGAAAAATTAGAATCTTGATAAACTGGCTCAAGATGAAAAAATCAAACCAAGATCTGGCATCAATTCTTTAGCTAAAGTAGTTGTTCGTCGTGATCCTCTTGGTGTGGTTCTTATTTTAGGTAAGAAAAAAAATAAAGCCAATAGGCTACTGACTAACTTGTGTTTATTATGCGCATAGGCAGTTGGAATTATCCTGTTCAGGTAAGCATTTAATGAGCAATACGTGACTTAACAAAAAATAGCTTTCTCTGGTTCCTTTGGTGGGTGCTATTGCTGCTGGTAATACTGTGATTTTAAAGGCAGGTGAAATAGATATAACCAATATGGTCTCTTACTTTGTATCTAGCTCTCTGAAGTCTCTGTTCATACAGCTGCTTTGATTACTAAGCTGTTTCCTAAATATATGGATACGAGTTGCTATCGTATTGTCAATGGTGGTGTACCAGAAACAACTGAGCTTTTGAAATACAAGTTCGATCATATTTTCTACACTGGTAATCATACTGTAGCCAAAATTATCATGACTGCAGCAGCCAAGCACTTGACACCTGTTACTCTTGAATTAGGTGGTAAATCGTAAGTAAGATGTCCTTCAACAATAGACTCATAGCTTGGAAATGCTAGTCCTGCCGTCATTTTAGACGATACAGACATCCAATTGACAGCCAATCGCATTGCTTGGGGCAAATTCTACAATGCCGGTCAAATTTGCATTGCAGTTGATTATGTTTTGTGTCCCCAATCTAAATTAGATGCATTTGTCTCTGCATTTAAAAACACGCTAGAACAATGGTATGGTTCTGATCCACAACAATCGAAAGATTATGGTCGTATTGTGTCTGAAAGACATGCTCAGCGTATCTCTGATATATTGACACAACGTCAAAGTGGTGATATTGTCATAGGTGGTCAAGTAGATATTCAGGATCGTTATATTGCACCTACTTTAGTTGTAAACGTAAAGCCGAATGATCCTTCTTTGATGCGCGATGAAATCTTTGGTCCTGTTTTGCCTGTTATCACTTATAACCATTTGGATGAAGTGATTGGTCTTATTAACCAAAAGTAAAGTACGCTAGAATATCATTACAGAATACTTATGCTTCTTAGGAATCCTCCCCTTGCTCTCTATATCTTTTCTCAAAAGGAAAAGCTTGCTGAAAAAGGTATGTATATATATATATGTGTGTGTGCGTGTATAACCTTGTAATACATTCCTAGTTTTAAAGAATACACAATCTGGCGGTGTCTGTATCAATGATTGTTTGACACACCAAGCAGGTAAACTTTAATTAAGATCAGATAAGCGAAAATGACTGTTATTAATCTTTTTATGGCTGCACCACAGAGTACGCTGTTCCATTTGGCGGTGTAGGTACATCCGGCATGGGTAATTATCACGGAATTAAGTCCTATCAGACATTTACCCATGAAAGATCCATGTTGATTAAGAAACAAGCGATGGAAAAGGCAAACAACGTGCGCTATCCTCCTTATACTGAGCGTAAATACGATGTTTTACGTCTTATTTTGGTAAAGCATCCTTTCTTGTTGAAACTTAAGGCATACAAGTCTCCCTTAAAGTTACTCCTTAGTTTGATTGCCTTGCTTGTTTTTTATTTGAAACGAAAATAAATTGTGCTGTCCTCTACGTCAAGCATGTGACCGTGCCTTATTTTCTCACGGTCTAATTGGTGAGCTTAACTTGAAATGAAGGGCAAACAGTGAAAGGACAAAGTATAAATTGAGAGCTGTGTTTTTCTTTCTTTCTCTCTTTTGTTTCTGTATTAAAATTTTTTATAAAATGTCACAAAATAAGTTCCTCAAGTCCAAGGATATTTCTGTTATCGGTGTTCCTTTCAATGGCGGTCAGCCTCGTACAGGTGTTGAAGATGGACCTATTCGCCTTGTTGAATTTGGTTTATTGAACCAATTGGAAGAAATGGGTTATTCTGTAAGTTATGAAGCCAATGAAAAAATTGAAGAATTGCGTCCTGCTGAAGACCCCGATGTGCAAAACTTGAAACAACCCAAGTACGTCTCTACTGTCACTCAAGCAGTTTCAAAGCAAATCTTGACTGCTGCTCAACAAGGTAAATTTGTATTAACTTTGGGTGGTGATCATTCAGTGGCTTTGGCTACTGTTACTGGTGTGTTTGGTACTTACCCTGATGCTTGTCTTGTTTGGGTTGATGCTCATGCTGTAAGTTATACACCTTTGTATGTATCAAGATACTCATCAAATTAGGATATCAATACCCCTGCTACCACTGATTCTGGTAATATCCATGGTTGTCCTCTCAGTTTCTTAACTGGCATTGCTGAAGAACATCCTGACTTCCTTTGGGTTAAGCCTTTGTTGAAGACTAACCGTTTGACTTATATTGGTTTGCGTGATGTAGATGAAGGAGAAAAGAAGATTATCAAGGATTTAGGCATCAAAGCATTCTCTATGCATCATGTTGATCGTTATGGCATTGGAAAGGTGGTTGAGATGGCATTGGATCATGTTAACCCTAACCGTGATTTACCTATTCACTTATCATTTGATGTGGATGCCTTAGACCCCTCAGTGGCACCCTCTACTGGTACACCTGTTCGTGGTGGTTTGACTTTCCGTGAAGGTCACTATATCTGTGAAGCCATTGCTGAAACTGGTTTGCTTGTGGCCGCTGATATCATGGAAGTCAATCCTTCTCTCGGTGAAGATTCACAATCTGTGTTCCAAACTGTCCAAGTGGGCTGCTCACTTGCTCGTTGTTGTTTGGGCGAGAGCTTGTTATAGAGAACTTCATGTAATTAATACTCTTTGTTTATACTGCTTTATACATATTTAAATAAAATTTACCTTGCTATTATGATGCTTACCCCTTAAAATGATTTATCAAATAGATAAGATAATTAAATTCTTAAATTCGCACGATCTTTTCTTAATCAGGTAATATTTTGGATACCGCGGGACACGCCGGGAAGTAGCGAATGATATGCAGACTGGCGTCATTTTCAAATGGCTGGTGATGTTATACAGATTCTGATTGGCTGTATATTATACATTCATTTACTCTGTTTACAATCGTGAGTACTGATATGTCTAAAGATAATGAATTATTGGTTCTCACATTCAATTGACATTATTTCCCACTGTCCAGAATTGTCTTTACAACTTGAGATCACACTACGATTGAACTATAATTTTACTTTTTTAAAATTAAAAATGACCAATGAACACGTAGCATTTTAAAAAAAAGAAGTCAATTCAGTATCATTGAAGAATGCTATCCAATTTGAAGTTTACTAGAATCTATACCAGTGTACTCGTTAAGAGAGTTCATTTGTTTTCGTTCTCGAGACTTTCAAAGCTAGTATTCACGCCTGGTCCTATATATAATTAAGAAAAACAAACAATTGTCCTCTTTTTTTTTTTTTTTTAGGAAACACTCCATCCACTCCAAAAATAATCATTTTTTTGGAAATAAACTGCATTAGAAATAGTCATTGAAGGAAGCATTTTGTAAAAGATAGTTTTATTTATCAAAGATGTTTTATCATTGGCCATATTTATAGCAATACGCAGGTCTTTCATTCTTTTTTTTTTAAAAAAGAAATCCGTAATTTATCAAATGCATGTGAACTGAAAGAGATATTTATCGCTGTAGCTATTATTAGACCTAATCCTATTTCTATACGGAGTACTATGAACTGTTTTTGATACTTAATACATAGAAACACCAGAAGCAGATTAGTAGCCCGCCGCAGGCACTGGCTGAATGTCCCCAAAAAATGCAGATTAAGACTTTTTTTTAAGTACAACCGTGAGAACTCTATAGCGTGCATATGTGTATGTCGCAGTTTATAGCCAAAGAACAAGTATCGATGTCTTTGCAATGCTGCATAAAAATCAACTTATTCACTAAAGCATAAAATACAACTGACGTCTGTGTGAAGTGAGCAATGACGATATCCAAGTTAATAGTCACTTGGGCTTTTTTTTTTCGAAAAATAATAATAATTCCTGTGATGCTTTCTCGTCTCTATCAAACACGTTCTTATTTCACCACTATGTTGATAAAACCTGTCAAGTGTCTCAAAGACAAGTGAAGTATTCAGCTCTTTTTTTTTCTGTTTAGTATACTGACCTTTGTATTCTTCTACACGCTTTAGTTATGCTTATATCTTACTCGACCAAAAGTCAAAGAAGGGTAAGAAAATGTATTTTGCATAACTCTTTTACACATTTTATTAAGCTGCTGCTGTTGACCCTGTTGAACCCGAACATATCTTAAAGGCTTTAGAAGACTACCCAGACTACACATTTTCCATGTAACCTATCACTACACGAAAAAAAAAAAAAAAATAATATCATAAAATAGGATCCTCACCACACACCACCATTGGGACCATGCTAGTGGTAATAAGAAATTGCTAGAAAAACCTTTTGCAAAAGATGTTGTTTGCTATGGTGGCTCAGAACAAGTGGAAGGTGTTCAGAAAATCTTGAAAGATAATGATACTGTCCAATTGGGTGATTTGACTATCCGTGCCCTCACTACCACAGGCCATACAATGGATCATCTCTGCTATTATGTTGAACGTGGTAATGATCGCGCTGTATTCACAGGTGATTGTCTCTTTTCTTCTGGTTGCGGTCGTTTCTTTGAAGGAACTCCTAAAGATATGTGGACAGCTCTTTCTAAACTCATGAAATTGCCTGATGATACAAAAGTCTACTTTGGCCATGAATATACATCATCTAACCTCAAGTTTGCTCAACACATTGAGCCGGATAACAAGCACATTCAAGAAAAGATTAATTGGGCCAAGCAAGTTGGCTGTACTACACCCTCTACTATTCAAAATGAGAAATTGACGAACCCCTTTATGCGTGTACAAGAATCTGAAGTCATTCATCGAGTGATCAAGAACCCAACTTCAGACACTCATCCTTATGATGTCTTGGGTGAAATTCGTAAAATGAAGGACAACTTTTAAATAAAATAAAATGATGTATGTTTATTTAGGTGTATTTTCAGCGGTATTAAGTATGTCATCTTGCTTGTCATTAGACAAGCTGGTATTTGTAGCAAGCTTCTTCTTTCTTCGTGCCATTCTTCTTTTGGTATAATCATTCATATTACTACTACTTGTGCTACTGTTATTTGCCGTTGTTGTGCTATTATTTGTACTGCTACTACTGCTTGCATTCATAAAATTCATGGCTGCTCGTCGCATCTTGACCTCCAATTGGTTTCCATGCTGGTCTACAGCAATAAACTTGTCGCCATCCTTGTATCCTGGTGTATGATGAGATGTCGTTGTGCTTGCTGAATGACTGGGAGATCCGGTCACAGGCTGTTGTTGTTGTTGTTGTTGCAATGTGTTGGGTGATACACTGCGATGATGACGAAGAGGTTGTGCACGATGCGTCTCAATAAAACCTTCTTGAATCGTTGGTGATTTGGGTTCTTCGTCTTCTTCGGGTATCATATTTCTATTGCCCTTGGTAACTGCATTGATGTTACTCAAGACTCGGTTTTGGCGTGGAATAAAGTCGCCTTCAAGCAAAGCATGGTCTCTCAAGAACTGTGAAAGTTCTGTCCATCCACCACCGACACGTACCATGACCATCTTGCTCTTCAGTACACGACAATAAGCAAGCTTAGGATTTGCATCACCAAACCAATAACGACCTACTTCACCTGGTACCATCTTGACCTTGACACGATAGGGCGTCTCATTCACAATACGGCCAATTTCCATATCCAAATCATTATCTGGGTCAGCAACGTATGAGTTCAATGGGGGTTTAGGCTGTTGAGGTTGACTTGATGTGCGCGACTTGAGACTTGTGGCAGATTTAGAAGGTTGATGTTGTTGAATAGTAGGTGGAGCCAAGTATCTGGACCGATTGGCACCTTGTGGCACAAGTGATATTCGACTGCTGCTTGTAGTGCGTGTCGAAGAAGAGGTGGAGGACGTACTGCTCATAGTGGGTGATAGCCTTTGATGCTGCTGTCTCAAAAGAGATACATCTGCTCGTTCACGAAGCAAAGAAGATGCTTTACGAGTTGGCAAAGATGATTTACGAATACGAGATTGTTGATCCTTGTTACTGTCAGCAGCTGTATCAATAGTACGGCTCAATTCAATCTTTCTCGTCTTGAATTGTTTCTTAATGCGCTCCCACTTGTGTTCCATTTGTTTAAAGTGCTCGTTGACATGGACACCACCCTTAGGTGACAATCGAGTCACTTCTCTTATCTGATCTTTAGCTGTTCCCATGCTCCGCACAATCTTGCGCTCATAATACTTGAAGCGAGCATCTAATTCAATCAACTTGGCTTGTAAATCAGTACGACTGAAAGTTGTGCTGCTGGCAATCAATGTATGATGAGGTGCTGATTGACTCACTGCTTCTTCCAAGGAGCTTTGCAAGATCTCTAAATCGTCCACCATGGCTAAATATTTGCCAATCGATAACGACTTCTTCAAAGTGACATGCGTCTTATTGAGCAAGTCCATCAAACTCTGAACTGATTCCTTGACTTGTTTATGTTGCTGCTTGAATGTAAGATCCATGTCATGACTAGCCATTATGGCATTTAGTTCCTTGAGTTCTTGTTTGATTTGAGGCTTCATTTCAAATTCAAGCGCCTTCAAGTTGACTTGTATGATTTCAATATCCCGTTGACGAGGCATGGACATAATGGGTGGGATTCGAGAAGTGTCTTTCTTTTCATCTTGTTCTGCATAAAAAGAAAGATCTTGATCGTTCGAAACAGACTCGCCTTGCTCACCCACACTAAGATCCTCCAGCTTGTTCTCTTGGATCTCTTCATGAACAATGATACTACTCTCTTCAATCATATCTTGATCATCCATTATGGGCATGCCAATAGTGCTCGAAAGATCATAATCAAACAGTTGAATGCTGTGCACAAACTCTCTTGTTTCACCCACAAGAGCCATCAAATGCTTCATCTTGCGAGCAATAGCAACACCACGAGTTGTCTTTTCCACCTGAACTTCTACTTCTTTCAATGCATCTTGTGTTGCTTTCCATTGAGCTTCCACCTTATCTGTGATAGGAAGAATAACTCTTTCCTTGAGAGCAGAAACAACCTTTTGCATCTCGTTTTTATCATTGTCTTCTTTGATTGCAAGCAGTTCTTGTTCTATGTCGCGGAATGACTGCATCACCTTCTCAAAATCAGTCATCTTTTGAGACAACGTGGCCAATTCAAGCGCAATTACGGACTCGCCTTCTTCTTGAGGTGATAATTGAGACAGATGATCAATCGCTTGAGAGCAATTCGTGAGCCATGATTGAATATTATCTGAACTTTTTCCAAGTCCAACTACGCGACGGATCATGTCATTGACAATACACATATCTGCTGCAGTATCTTCCACATCAGCCAGTGCTTCCTCTAATTCAGTCTTGAGCTCAGGTACTGACATATTTTCTAAAGCCTCAATACGTGCATTAAGTACAGCAAATTGTTGAGAGAGGTCCTTTTGTTTTGATTCAGAAACAGCATAATTTGTTACTGCTTGACGATACATGACTTCCAATGCCTTGGTATCCATATCATCAACCACATGAGAGGCCAAGATATCCATGCCGTCTTCAAGCGACTCAATTTCTTGCTCTACAGACAAAGCAAATGACTTTACACCTTGTTGACAATTCAACCAATCTACTTGTTGCTGAGCAGCATGCTTTGTATCATTTAAGCGTGCTTCTGTGTCCTTGATCTGTTGATCCAGGGCATCATAACATTCTCGGAAACAAGTCAAGTTTTGGTCTGTATCAGAAAGATCTTGAGCAACGTCCCAGCAAGCTGTCATACGGTGCTTGAGTAGATTCAAAAGAGCTGTATCTTGTTCCAAGAAAATAGGTAGAGTAGCCGTTTCTTGTTCATCCAGACAAATGGTGGCTATGTCCATTTGCTCAAGGCGGCCTATGATACCAGCTAAAGAATCATGCTGCATTTCATTCAGTTTTTGATGCAAGTCATACCATTGAGCTATTTGACCGACCCACTGATGCTTATCTTGCGTCAGATCTGTTTTGATTTGTTTCCAGTGTCGTTCCAAATCAGTGTGTCTTTGATCAATGGCTTCCAAGTCAGAGACCTTGTTCAACTGTAAAAATCGATAAAGAGAACGCTGTTCATCATACTTTTCGTGAAGCTCGTTATCAAATGTTTGGCAGAGTCGATTGTAGCGTTCTGTCAATTGATCCAAAAAGGCTTTGTCTTGCACCAAATCAAGTCCACGAATCACCACAGGAGGATTAGTTACAAGTTCAGCAAGTGATATTTCGGTTTCTGTCAAAAGGTTGCTCAGTGTATCAGCACCGATAACATATTCTGCTTTGAGACGGTGATGGTTTGCTTCTGTGAATCGTTCTTGAGCCAAGACACGGGCCGCATCGTATTGTTGAACACATTCATCAAGACAGGCTTGCATGATGGAAGTAGAAGGATCTTGTTGACCCAACAACACAACTTCCTCACGAACGCGCGACTTTATTGCTTCAAGTGATTTGTTATCTAGTGTCTGTATCTCTTTTTGCCATTGATTCACTACATCTTCTGACATTTCTTCCAAGGACATACTTGTTATGGTGGTAGTCAATTGTTCACATGATGCTTTGAAATTGTCTGCCAAATGAATAAATTCAACATAACGAAGATCCTTGGAGAATTCATGTTGCTTTTTGGCTGCATTGTCAGTTAATGTCTTCCAGGCCGTGTTGATCTCTGACTGCATAAATTGAATTAATTCTACACTTGCTTTGACTTGCTCCGTATCATCTTCGTCAGCTTGAAGTTGTTGTTGAATGACAGAAACGTATTTAGTGGCTGCTTCTCCAAGACCATGTACTGAAGTAGCATAAGCAGTAATGGCAGAAGACAGTCCATTTATAGCACTTACAGCAGATCTCAAGCTTTCCGTGTCTTGAGAAGGCTTGTGTTGTTCATCCAAAGCTTGTTGCTTTGCAGCAATCCATTCACGTACCACCTCAGCTTCTGCCTTGTACGATGCTTCAGCTGCTTGTCGACGAGATAAACGCTCCTTTGACTTGAGAATAGAACTCAAGGTGTGACCAAGTTCAACAAGTCGAGATTGGCGAGCAGAAATCATTTCAGCAACAGAGGCATTATGCGTCATGTCCTCATCTTTGGCTTGTGCATCATGGTCAAGGAACTGACGGACAGGGTACTTCATGGCTGTCTGGATATGGATATGGACTTCATGTACGCGTTGTTTATAACTCTCTAGATCCTCATTTTCAGCAAGATCATCTGCAGGTGCAAGCGACAAGAATCGAGTTCGGGTAAGTTCAGCCAATTGTTCAATCTCGTTCACTTTATCAAGGCAAGTGTGAATAAGATGATGCTGTGCAACTACTTCGTTCATAAACGCATGGTGTTGCTGAATGCGTTCCTGGGCTGTTTCCAGTCCTGATATGCGTCGAGTAACAGGTTCTGTAGATTGTTTAAGTTGTTCAGACGCATGTAAGAGGTTGCGGATAGCATTGACTTGTTCAGTTGTAGCTTGATCCATGACTGCCAATCCTTCTTGACTCAAGCAGGATGGTTCTTGAGAAGGCGACCAGCGAGCACACGTCTTGATAAACTGCTCTATTGCTTTTTCCTTGGCTAAACACTCACCAAGTACTTGATCCGCGCTTGTTTCCCAATCATGACGTTGTTGGATCATAAGAATATCAGAGCGTTGAGTAGAGATCAAATCAAGTAGCTTAGAGACCAGCTTATCAAGATCAGATTGTTCCAGCGCACCAACGACAGCATCTGATTCGAATGAGCTTGTAGACAAAGCTTGATATGAATGCTTTAGCTTGTCATGTGCTGAAGTCACAGCAGGTAACTCTTCTTGCATATGTTGATCCAGTGTTGCACTGTATTCTTCAAGACGATCGACTAATGTTTGAAGGTCTTGACGATGGTCTTCATTAGACAACCACAAGTGTTTTTCATTCATCCATTCACGCACATTCTCTTGTAACTGATTTAGGACTTGCCATTGATGCTTCCATACATCGTACCAAGCCTTACGATGATTACAGACTTGTAATTGCTGTGCCCATTGTTGTATATGATGATTTAGGGATTCCCAAGTAGTGCTCAAGTTCACCATCAATGCTTGGTTCGCCTTGACACTCACAATGGCATCACATTGGTCAGATACCAAAGCTGCTTGTGTTTCCTCCCATTGCTTCAATAATGGCTCATAATCATTTGTCTGCAACTGTTGTATTTGCTTCACAAATTCAGCGTGTGCTTGTTTACATGCATCGAGTTCAACTGGTTGATGGTCTAGTGTCACTGTATGTACTGTCAAATCAAAACTATACATGGTGATACTTTGCATGATAGTCAACATCGTCTCTATCACAATCTCTACTTGATGGTACTGTTCTTTTAACTGAATACGGTGCTGAATGCCTGTACTTAGTCGTTGCAGCAGCTCATTCATCTGCTTGACCAAGTCTTGAAGTTCAGTGTAAGTGCGATAGACAGCTGTAGCTACTTCTGTTGACACTTCATCATCGTTTGTGGTAGGGCGTGTGCTGCGGGCATCTTCAGGGCACTGAGGATAAGGCAGTTGTGAACCTGACTGCATCCATAACTGAACAACATCTTGATCAAACAATTGAACAGACTGAACCAATTGTTGCTGAACATCATCAATCGTTGGTTCATTCACGCGTGCAAGTGCTTGTTGAATATCATTGACAAGACTCAAACCTTGAGTTGATAATACTTTGACTTGATCTGTAAATTGTGTCAATGCAATATGTTGATCCAATACTTGTTGAGCATACACAAGCAAATCTTGTAGATTATGAAAGTTTTGATTGAGAGTATCTTGGCGCCTTTGAAGATGCTCAGGAGGCATACTTTTGCTTGCTAAAGATTCTAGAACAAACAAACAAACAAATAAATAAACGGTTTCTTTAGCATGATGAAAGGGGCTTACCAAATCCAGAAACTAACTCTTCAAACTTTTGTTGGACAAGTGTAAATTGAGTTTCATGATATGCAAGTATTTTTGAATGCAAGGCTTTGAATTCTTGGTCAACCATCACTTGATCTTCCTCAAAGTCATCTAAGGTTGTAGAGGCTCTCCATTGTGCTTTGCGAGATATGAAATCCCATACTTCAAAGATCGTATTGGACACCCAAACTGTGGATTTTGTATGCTGACTTTCCCAAGAGATACGCTGACCCAAGATATCCAATCGTGTACCATGTACTTTGAGGGTCTCTTCCAGATGATTCAGTTGACTATCAAGATAGGATACAGCATCATGCAGGTGAGTGATCTGGGATGCAACATGCGTATTGTTGGGATAATGTGCTGATGAAGACTGTTGAAAGCCAAACAAGTTTTCTTCCAGACGCTTTACATCGTTTTCTCTGATACCGTTCAACTTGGCAACTTGACCTTCTCGTTCTTTTTTTAAGCGAGCCACATCCGTATCATCCAAAGCACATTTACCAGCAACAAACACGTCTATTTTAGACTTTTCCATTGCCTTGAGACGTTCATCCACCCAGCCAGTCAAACGAGTGACTTCATCTTGAATCTGCTTAGCCCGCTTTTGTAGCTGAATCGCACGACGCAAAGAAGCTAGGCTTTGATCCAAGGCTTCACCAAACAAGACTAAAGCAGATTTACGTGCGCCCATGACCATACGAATAACTTCATTAGCATCGTCGTTCGCCTGTTGGTCTGTTGGATGTGTTGCTTCAGGATAAGGCACACGAGCAGCCACACCTGTCACTAAACGCACTGCATTTTCTTGAAACAAGGCTACTTTTTCACTAAATTCGCTGGTCGACATGATTTCATTCATTTTATCGTGCTGCTCCAATAACTCTTGTTCCTCTACATGACTGATTTTTTGCCTCAATTGCTCTCCTTCACTTTTGAGTTGATCTGCTTTTTCCAAGAAATCAGTGACCACCAAAAACTGTTCGACCACTTGTCTTGCAAACCCAACACGATGTGTGAGTTCTTCAAATGCCTCTTCAATAGCCACTTGTCTGGACTCTAAATGACTCGGCAGTTCAACATGACAGGCATCGTCTAGATCTTGATAGGCATTTACAGTGGTTGTAAACTGGCCCTGATCAAAGGCAGCACATTGTTTTTCAAATTCAATCAACGTATTGATCATGTCGTTTTTTGTGTCTGTATCAGGCGGTAAACTCACGACGACCAAGGGTGGTGGTCTCCAACGTGCTTTTTGCTGTACGAATTGGCGTACCTCATCTGTCGTTCGACGCACCCAGGCCACCGCTTGATCATGGGCCTGTTCCCAAGCCATGCGCAGTGTTAGCATGTGCAAGTCATAAGCGTGTCGACGTAAGAGGTGCATAAGACGGTCCAACGTCATGAGTGTGGTGAATGTGATCTCAATCGTGGTTGTATCTGCCGGACTCAGGTCTTTGGCTTGATCCCCTGCTGAAGTGAGTGTCTTGACATGAGCACGTAAACGGGTCATGTCCTGAGCATCAAACGCTTGCACTTCGCGATCGAGTTCATCATGCTCTGCGTTCCATGCTGCAATCTGGTCCAGTGTGTATTCATATTCAATATCGTCCAAAGGGTGCTTCAGTGGTTTGGATTCCAATTGCTCAATACGGGTCTCTATCCAACCACGAATACGTTCTGCTTCAACAAACCAGACACGTACTTCATCAACCCAACTCATAATGAGCTGGTATTTCTCATACAATGACCTGAACTGATCTTGTTGTTGTTGATCGTCTTGTTCCAAGTGTTCCTTGAATCGTTCACGCATGGTGTCGATGAGTTTACCGACCTTGGTTGACCTTGCCTCTAAATCTTGAATGCCTACATCAGTGGTGGTTGTCTTGAGCATCTTGGCCTGAATAAACTCAAGCTCGTTCCGGATATAGGCCGTTGCTGTGCTGAATTCAATACCTGTACGCATATTCCCTTGTTGAAGCTGCAGGATCAGGGCTGCATGCGTTGCATCCACGACTGAGATACGTCTTGCTAATGCAAAAGGTAAAGCAGGCAACTCCGATACAGACGCTTGAAACACTTTTAAATCTTGAGCCTCCAATTGCTTCAATGAAACTTCAATGTCTTCTAGACTGATGGTGTCTTCCTGTATACGTGGTGGTGAAGGGGATCGTTGTGGTGTCGGTGATGATAGGTGACTAATTGATTCTTGACGCACAATCTCAACCAGTTGATGAAACAATCGATTTAAAGGCACCAAGATATGAATTGCCTGTTGTTCTACCATGCTTGTGTCGAGTGTCACATCATGTTGTTCAAGTGCAGTTTGAATTTGACCAAAATAGATATCGAGGTTATCGTTCAATAAAACGCCTAAACGTTCTTTAAACAACTCAATAGCTCGTAAGTGACTTGTGACATGGTGTTCAAGTTGTTCTCGTAAGTTTGGGACAGCATCTGGAAAGAAGCGATGAGCTAAACATATTAAAGGTCGACCTAGCCAATAGTCTTTGGTTGACAGATCGCGCAAAGTTGTCATGAGCATCAAGTCTACATAGACTGCTAATTCTTGTTGTAACCATGCCAGCACGGTGTTGTTCATATCTTTATTAAAAGGAGTGGGAGGTGTAGGTACAATAATTTTCTCAACGTGCTTTACTGTTGCCTTGATAACAGTAGTATTTTTAGTAGTAGAGCAGAAAAGAGAGTTTTGAACCTGAGTTGAGAACGAAACGCGGGAATTGGTCTCTTCGCTACTGACTTTTAATATTGTACTCATTCAAAACTAAAAAGAGTATGAAAGAAGGTGATAAAGACGTTCAAGAGATAGAAAAAGAGAAAAGAAAACAAAACAAAAATAAGGAGAAAGGGGAGTCTTGTTTGGTTAAAATCATAAACATATTACACAACAATAAACAAAACACATGAAGGAGTCAGTATTGACACACCCCCTTTTTTCTCCTTATTGTTAAGCACCCTTAATAAAACCATTGTAAATATGTATGACAAGAAATTAAAAAAAGTCTTTATTAGTAAAGTCTAATCGATTTAGAACTTGGAGAAAGACTTAGAGGCACCCTTGGCCTTGGAGACCTTGAGAACGTTGAAACGAACGGTCTTGGAAAGGGGACGACATTGACCAATGGTAACAACATCACCGCTAAAAGAAAAAAAAAATTTTTTTAGCAAAAACTCATTTGGATTCAAAGGCTTGGTGGAGCCGCTACCTCACCAACTACCTCATCCGTTATTATTTAAATTTGCGCCCTTGTCATATCATATGATTGGCAAAACAAGCTATAAACATAAACATGGCAAAACACTGATCCTGCATCATTTACATGGCAAGGACGCAAATTATACATACAAAAAACAGATAATGATAGTGGAAGGTGATTATGTGTACTTACTTTTCAATGGCAGCGTTTTCAAAAGCAGGAGAAACGTGAGCAGAGATGTTCTTGTGACGCTTTTCGTAACGGTTGTACTTGGGGATGTAGTGAAGGTAGTCACGACGAACAACGAGGGTACGGTTCATCTTGGTAGAGACAACAACACCAGTCAAGATACGACCTTGGATGTTGACTTCACCGACGAAGGGACACTTCTTGTCAATGTAGGTAGCAGTCTTGGCTTCCTTGGGGGTCTTGAAACCGTAACCGACTTCCTTGAACCAACGTTGGTTACGCTTCTTAGCGTCCTTGGAGTTTTGGAAGATACCAGCTTGCTTTTGGAAGGCCTTTTCGGTCTATAGCAAACAGGTAAGTATTGGTTTATCATGGATAGTTTATACGTACTTGGTGTTCCATCTTGATAGAATAACAATGAGAGAAAGAGAAAAAAATGATTTAAAGAAGCTTTAGTTATTTATTTTCTTTTTTGGCTGAAAAAATTTTTTGGACAGTCACCTCATCTTTTTGATTGGCAATTGTCAAAGCCACTAGAAAGATGTCAAGTATAGCATGTTTCATAGGTATGTCTTTATTGATAGTATCAAATCATTCAGAATCAAACTGCTATTTTCTTTTTATATCCTTTTTCTTCTTTTTTCTATTCTTCTTTTGGCTGTATTGCTTCCTTTTTTCAATCCATTCAAGTAAATGCTGAGTGTATTTCGGACTACTGATTTCATCTTTGGTTCTTGGTAGATGCAGTGCCTTCACAACATGGACTGCTCTATCAAATGCACGACATCTGCATAATGCACCCACTACAATACTCACAGTGGCATAATCAATCCCCAAATCAGGGTTTTTGTCTATTTGATCCAGGTAGGACAATAGCCTTGATTTGTCTTTACGCATGGCCGCATCTTTCATCAATATACCATAGGTCTGCATCGTAGGCTGTAAATGACGAGCATATAAATCGTCTAACAAAGCATGGGCACTTGCTGTCTGTTGCTGTTGAAGCATGATTTTGATCAGTGTGTTATAGAGCACAATAGGCGATTGATTGCTGCATTGAAATTGATTGAGTTCTTTACAAAGTGCTTTAATACGCACCATATCAACAGGGCGAGTGTAACTACCCATGAGGTTGATGAGCATGGTATTTAGATAGAGTAAAGTACGCTTGCTTCTGTTGGATCGTTTGGATGGTTTCTGATGGTGTAGACGAGATAAGAGGGTATCATGAATAGCATACAGACCATGGAGATGCGATGACTTGTAGAGTGATCGTGTGAGTTGATACAATGATTCTCGACTTGGCATGCCACCTTTTGAAACTACATCGAGATAGGCTGCCAAGGCCTCACTTGTTCGATCTTGTTTAACGAGTTTAGTGATAGCCACAGAAGGTTCTGCTGGCCGTATTTTGGGATGAGGGGAAAAGTGTTTTTTGACAGGCGTGATGGTGGTATAAGGAAACTTAGGTTGTAACTGAAATCGACCACACCCAACACATGTTGTTAGGCTTTTTTGAATAGGAAGTGATACGGGCGAGATACTGGATATGAATAGGTTTAGAATGCGAGCATGCCGCATAACCATTCAATCTAATTTAATAGTGTAAGAAGATAAAAACGAAAAGGAAGGAAGGGGGTGTGTTTGCTGAGGTCAGTTCTATTCAAACTCCGTTTCCGGGTGGTCTGAAGTAACAGTTGTCAATCCCCCCCCACATTGAAGAATGTTTAAATATCAGTTTTTTCTGTTGAACACTTTCTTTATTATCAGAAACGATTCTTTTGAAGCCATTGATTAGCACCTTGAAACATATCAAGCGTAGTAGAATGAATAGACTCAGTCTTGAAAAGTGTTTGAACTGCTTCAAAGAGTTGATTCCAGAATTGGAAACCTTGTTCTAAATCAGATTTGACAGATTCACAAGTAGGAAAAGCTTTTTCGGTCAATGATAAACTCTCTAAGGGACTTTTGCCTTCAGTTATTCTTTCAAGGTAGTGTTTGCAAACAAGACCGAGTGCAACGTTGACATCAGCCATATAAGGCAGGCTATTTTACCCTATTAAACACCATGGATCATGTTTGGTCTATACTGTACCTGTCTGCAATGGAATAATAATCATCTCTGTCCTTTTTGACAAGACCATTTAAAAAGAAGGATAAAGTCAACATTTCACATAGATTTCTATAGCTACGATTCAGTGCTTTTACGAAGCTATTAAACACAAGCAAATCACGGTTAAGAGGACCAGACCATGGTATGCTCTATATTCAATGCTCATTAGCGTATTTTGTTATGCCTGTATCATGTCTACCTTAAGATGCATAGGCAATAAAGAAAAGGCACGGGAAAGCAGAATGATATGCTTCTTTTGGTTTGCATCACCCAGAGGATGAGAGTAAGTTTTGCTGTATTCTCTGTCTGTCAAGACTTCAAATCGAATGAGTTCAAGTGCTGTTAATAAGGCTTCTTGTGTAGATAGTAACATGGTTGGATTAGATGCAAGTGCACCAGCAAGTGCTTGACCCCAAGGTGTGTAGATATGTTTAGAAGAAGTCAAGAAACTAGATAGGTTAGTCTTTTCATGATACACATCACTTACTCTCTGATCTCTAATGTCTTCCACAGCACATTAGCCACAATTTCATTCTTCTCTTCCAACAGTTGCTCAGGATGAGGTTGAGAAATAGTCTTGCTGGCCTTGGATTCATTCTCAACAGCATGAATACAGAATTTAATATCAATGACTGTGGTCTATCATAGACAAATAAGCAACCAAGAGGTATTCTTTGTCTTACCTTTTGATGTTCTAGCTCAGGCTGAATGAAATCTTTGGTGACATTCCATGATTTGGTCTTTTCATAAATAGTGTTTAAAGGAGTAGCATCAATACGTGTGGAAGCATTTCCTTCCGTGGGTTGATGATGCATAATCTGTTCTACTGTAGGTTCAAACCAGAAATAACTGGCTACTTTACGTGTCTTGTAAAAAGGGTGCAGTGGTTGTGTTAGCAAGCTTAAGGTTTGAGTACGGATATTCAGTAATTGTGTCAAGAAATTACGGTATTCAACAGATTCACCATTGTCTAAAGGGGCACTCTCAATCAACACACCAGACACAAGGTTATTGATCGACTGAGGCCCAATCAATCCACGCATAAGGTAATAGTAGAGTTCGTCTGGTAAACGATAGCCAATGAATTCATGAATATCATTGGGTGCATGTTCAATATGAAGTGGGCGTACTTGGCCATCATCTTGAATGACAAGGTGATACTTGACAGCACAGCGTGTACGACAAAAGATGTCGATATAGTTACTCTTGGACACCGTTGGATTGTCCGAGAATGCTTGGACAGCATTGAAGCCTGTCTTGTGCTGTTTAATCAAGTCATGAACCCCATTAAAGGTAAAGCTAACATGCGAAGTATTGAGTGGAGGGAAACTAGGGCAGTATTCAAATCCTGCTAAAATGCAGATATCCAAGAATTGTTCATCAGAGACATGTAAGTCTTGAAGGACAGTACGCTTGCTGATCCAATGATAATTGCCCTTTTCGAAATCGATACCAGTGATCATTTTATCAATATCCCACATTAACAATTCAGAACCACCACAGACAGCAGTAACTAACTGTTTTGAGTACATATAAGCAAGCTAACAGAAAACAAAACAAAAATGTAAGTATATATTGATTTAGCTGGTGTACATACTTGCCTGGGCCCAAGCAGCATAAGGTGCACGAATAAATTCGACATGATGTTGATTCAAGATATGGAATACCGTATTGAGTAATTCAGCTGAATGAATACCACTACTGCTTCCCCAGTTACTAAGGGCTAAGTCTAATTTGCCTCTATCATAAAAATCCCAACCAGTAGCACGATGACTAGGACGAGCATCTTCTGTTGAAAAGGGCTTGTCTTTACGCAAGATGGATAAGCCAGAAAATACAAAGATGGGTTGAATGCCACTGGACCTATCATAAAAAAAAAAAAAAAGGAACACGCGTAAAAAAAAAGTATGAAAGTGGCATAAGATGCTTACTTGAATCCTTCGAGTTCTTTTGCAATCGATGCTTCTAAGCGAAGAGGCAATCCACCCATAGCTGCAATCGCGTTTTCTTTTGCGACTACTTTACGAATCCAATAGTTGCCATCAATTCCTAGTCTGTTGTCTTTGAGTTGAGCTACAGCTGAAGTTTGAATAAGACGACGTTCAGCTGTAAAGACTATCAAGACAATAAGTTAAGTGATCAAGATGATGCGTTTAAACATACTATCAAAATGGCGAATAGGCATTGAGTTGAATGAAGAAGAAAAAAAAGAGGAAGGGGAAAACGAAATTAATTTTCAAATTACTCTAAATGCATATTTTTTCTAGACAGTTACTTTTAAAGAAGACATTACAGTATGAATAATAAACGCGGTATGCCTAACATCGAATACATACTCCATATTGATATAAAAAAGCAACATATAGACACAAGTTTTTATTCTGCTTTGATAATCTCTTTCAGAATAATAGAAAGGTTTGACATGTCAAGTTACATTTTGTTATTTCACATTGCTTTGTTTATTCTTTTTAATTTAAAGGGAGGGGAGGGGGAATTAAGTGTCTTTTTAATAAAATATTTGTATGCGAGTAACCAATCTGATATGACATTCGTGCAGTAGAGACACTAGGCAAAAACAGGCTTTACATCATCTTTATACGCCTAACAAAAAGGAGAGGATTGTCGTATTTTTCACTGCCAAAGTACTTATTTGTCTGATTCTTTTGTTGCATGAATAAGTTATGCAAATTCTATCTGCTTATCTATATAAAGTACTTGACAAAACACGCATGTATTTCCAAATCAAAGAAAAGAATGCTTTCTTATGAAAAACGTCAGAGTGATTGAAATTTATTGTAACTTTTTGATGTATAAAAGGTGGCACTTAGCACACGCATTAAATACGGTACAAAATATTATGCATTCAACAATCCAATTTAGTTGTATACATCCAGCTTAAAAGGCGCAATGTCACTTGTATAATTTAATGGAATCAATGGTACATTCCCTTGAAAGAATTTACTCAGTAGCATATATTTATACGCCTAATTGAGATTAGTTCTTCCTTGCTACTGCGCAAATCAAACTGTTTCTTTCGCTGATATTTTTACTTTGACTACTGTGTTCAATGAACTTTGTTTGTTCTCGGTTTTTCTTCTTTTTGTTGTTCTGTTTTGCGTTTTGAAGGATATACTCTCTTTTTCTTCTTTATTCGTTCACCTTAAAGTAGAAAATTATGGTTTTTGTTTGTTCTTTTTTATTGTCTTGAAGTTTAGACCTGGACACTTGTGTCTCGTCCTCAAGTTACGTTTCTTATAGATTCAATATATACTTACTTCACTGCGAGACTCAGACTGAATATGAAAGTCAGTTTAGTGTTTTGATAAGGTGTAAAGTCAAACTAAAGAATAATCTGCTACATTTTTATTTTGGAAGATTTATACATTATCCATCACTATAACATAGTCGCTTAAACTCGGAAACGGAACTTCAAATGATAAATAAAAAGAAAGAGACTGAAATATTTTTTTTTTCTCTTTCTCCCTTCTCCTCCTCCTCCTTTTCTTCTCTCTATTTTAATCAATATGGGTGACGCCGGTTTCTTCAAGGTAAGATAGAGATACATTAGTGCCTTTCTTTACTAAACTCAATAAAAGGGTACAAGCACAGACCAAGATAGCCGTTTCAGCAATAAAGAAAAGAAGCTCCTTAAAACTATGTCCTTTCCTCCAGAATTCGATCAAAAGGTAAACTAACGCACAAAATAATACGCGTCAAGTTAATACATCTAGGTGGATATGAACAAAGTAAATTTAGATGTCATTAAACCGTGGATTAGTAACAGAATAACAGAACTGCTTGGCTTTGAAGATGAAGTCATTATTGATTACACATGTGGTTTGCTTGAAGAAAAGGTAAACAATTTGGACTGCTCTTTATTTATTCAACGATGTATAGAAACCGGATCCAAGAAGAATCCAAATCAACCTGACCGGATTTCTGGAAAGCAAAACAAAAGTGTTTTTAAGTGAACTTTGGAAATTGTTACTAAGTGCCCAAAACTCTGTAGGTGGAATTCCAGCTGCTTTTATTGAACAAAAGAAAGAAGAATTGCGTAAGAAAAAAGAACAAGAAGAAGAAAGAAAATCACAACGTGAATCTGTTATGGACACTATTCGTAAAAAGCGTGCCGATGAAATGGTAGACTTGAAAGAAGGCTCTAAAAGAAGATCTCGTTTTGTAAGTTTATCTTTGCTTTATATGATATTCATTGCGTATCCGTAGGATGAACCTAAAAGCAGTCGAGACTATAGTCGATCACCTCCTACACACAGATACAGATCTCGCTCTCCTTCTCGTGAAGAAAGACGTAGACATTACAGAGATAGAGACAGAGACAGAGATGACTACTATTACAGACATCGTGATTCAAGAAGAAGAAGAAGAGATAGCAGAAGCAGAAGTCCGAATTATTAAATAAATCTTTATTCTTCATCAATATTCCATTCTTTACTTTCTTTTGGTAATTGTACCATTTCTTTCTTTTCAGTTCCTCGTTGAACATAAGGCTTGAGTCCTTTGTCAAAATTATACATACAACAACTGGCCAAAACGATGGTTAACTATATAAATGATTTAAGAAAAAAGTAGGTTAAATCAATAAACTTACCACTGCAACCAACATGCCAAGAATGACTAAGACAAGACATTAATACAATCGAAAAGTAAAAACAAGTTTAACTTACTGAAGCATAACCAAATATACCAATAATCTCGCTTGTCAGTGGCTTCAATAGCAATCAAAACCAATTGGAATATAACACAGAATTGAAATAAGATAAACAGAACCATTTGAGCCGTACTTTCTTTTGAGATCTAAAGAAATCGTGAATTAAGCTACTTAAAAACATCAATGACAATAGCCTACAGCATTACGTCCAAAACACAATAAAGGCAAAATAAGAATAGTAATCACAACAAAGACATAACTTGTCCATGAACTAAATCCACTTTTAAGAGCAAATTGAATCAAATAAAATACAGATACTAAGAACTCTGTAAAGATATTTATCTTGAGAGCAAGTACAAAGAACTGCATTGTACGATACATGCCTATGAAATATACGAATTAACTGCCCAATAAAGAACCGAGATTCACTTACGTTGAACTGAAAGATCTGCACCTATTTTCTTGTAAATAACCCAACCAAATTCTCGAACAACGGCATAGGACAAATAAGCAAACAATGATGCATACAATCCCACAAAAATTGATAACGCAATTTCTACATAAAGAGCGGTCTGGATAGGTGTTGTATCCAGTGGTATATTGTGATTTGTCTTGATATCTGTCAAGATGGTTAACCACTTCTTGCCATCTATGACTTCTAAAGCACCAAAAAGGGACAAGGCTAAATTGATAAGCATGAGAGCAATGACTTCAACCGCATTTTGGTACACAGTCTAACAACAAAAGATTAGCTTTCTTTTTTTGTACATTCACTTACAGCGTCAAAAGACATAGCCACAAACCATATTTGAAAACTAATAAATGCAATGTTTTCCCACATGATACGCTTAAATCTTGCAATAGCTAGTACGATGGAGTCTTGTTCTGATGCATTCAGGCCATAGGCTTGAATAGAATCTGATTCAAGTCCTTTGTTAATTTGTGCAGTATTATAATAAGCAATGACTGCCTGAAGAACAATGATAGTAATGCCTTGACAGCAAGCAGCTAAAATATAGAGTTTTGTCCATTTGGACTGATGTATTCGATCTTTCTGATGTCATTAGAACCTGTAAAGAAGTCCGCTTTACTTACAATTTTTTGCTTTGTTACCATGTCTTGATATGAAAAAGAGAAAAGAAAAGGAAAAAAAGGAGCTTTGTGTTGCAGCTCCTGAAGCTATATTGAATTTACAACGCCTTGTGATACACACACTTACAGGGAAAATAATGTTTTTATTGTACAAAAAGAAAAGAGCAAAGCATTTTTATGCCGCTCTCCTTTTTTTTCTTTAAAAGATATACATTGATATTCACACATTGAATGATAATTGGAATGAAAAGAGAAAATAATAATGAAAATAGGTTAACAATGATACTTAGATGTTCAAGAACAATTCAGTGTACTTGGGCAAAGGCCACAACTTGTCAGCAACGTTGCGTTCCAGCTTATCAGCCAATTCACGAATAGCTTCCATCTTGGGAAGAACTTGTTCGCAACAAGCCTTAGCCAAATCAACAATATCTTCAACCTTGATAAGTTCAACCATGAGTTGCTTAAGAGCGGTGATATCCTTTTGAAGAGTAGAGACGATAGGTGTTAATTCATTCAACAATTCAACTTCAGGAGAAGCTTCAACACCGACATTCTTCATGAAGGAAGCAGCTTCGGCCAAGTTGCGTCTGTACTCGAAAGCAGCAGGCAAGACTTGTTGAATAACCATGGTAATCATGGTTTGAGCTTCAATGGTAATGTCCTTGGCATACTTTTCAATCAAAATGTGATAACGAGAATGTAATTCAGCATCAGAGAAGACACCCATTTCTCTCAACATGTCAGCATTTTCTTTACGCAACAAACGGACAAAGGCTTCAGGACTCTTGGTGATGTTGGCCAAACCACGCTTGGCAGCTTCTTGAACCCATTCATCAGAGTAGTTATCACCTTCAAAACGAATGGCCTTGGTCAACTTGATGTATTTACGAATGACGGTCAATTGATCTTCAGCAGAAGCAACAGGCTTGTCACCCTTGACTTCGTTCAAGTCAGCCAAGATTTCAGTCAAAGCCTTAGCAACAGCAGAGTTCAACAAGGTCATGGGGAAAGAAGGTGATTGCTTGGAACCAACAGCACGGAATTCAAATTTGTTACCAGTGAAAGCAAAAGGAGAAGTACGGTTACGGTCAGTCAAGTCACGAGCAATAGGAGGCAAGGCAGCGACCTTGAGATCCAAAACAGTACCCTTGACACGGACATGTTGAAGTTCATGAGCACCATGATCTACAGGGCGGTTTTCTTCAACAGCATTAAGGACTTCGGTCAATTGAGAACCCAAGAAAGCAGAGATAATACCAGGAGGAGCTTCTTGAGCACCAAGACGGTGATCATTAGAAGCAGAAGCAACACCAGCACGCAAGAGATCACCGTGGTCAAGAACACCCTTGAGAGTAGCAACAAGGAAGATCAAGAAACGGTAGTTGGTTTCAGGAGTACCGGAGGGATCCAACAAATTGTCACCCTTATCGGTGGACAAACTCCAGTTACAATGCTTACCGGAACCGTTGACACCACGGAAAGGCTTTTCGTGGAAGAGAACCTTGAGCTTGTGGCGGTGAGCAACACGGTGAAGAACATCCATGGTCAACAAGTTGTGATCAACAGCAGTAAGAGCTTCTTCAAAAATAGGTGCAACTTCAAATTGAGCAGGAGCTACTTCGTTATGACGAGTCTTGATGGGAACACCCAACTTGGCAAGTTCCAATTCACATTCACTGATGGCAGACAAAACACGGGTGGGGATCTTACCAAAGTAATGATCTTCCAATTGTTGATGACGAGGAGGAAGACCACCAAGCAAAGTACGACCGGTGATCTTAAGATCAGGACGGAGAGTGTAAAGAGAACGATCAATCAAGAAGTACTCTTGTTCAGTACCGAGAGTGGTGTAGACATATTCAGAGCGGTTTTCTATTTTTAAAAGGTCAATACGTGTTTTACAATTTCCATTTGAATTACTAACCAGAATCCTTGGGTTCAATGACCTTGAGGACTTCCAAAGCAACTCTTTCCAAAGCTTCAGAAGATCTCAAAAGAACGGACTTTTCATCCAAAGCTTCACCATTGTAAGAGATGAAGACAGAGGGAATATAAAGAACCATTGTGTTGTGAGGACCTTCTTGGACAAACATAGGACTAGGCGCGTCATGTAATCATTAATATTCATATCTCTTACTTAGTTTATATACTTTACCTCTTAGTATCCCAGACGGTATAACCACGTGCTTCAAATGTAGTACGCATACCACCAGAGGGGAAAGAAGAAGCATCAGGTTCAGATTGCAACAATTGAGAGCCAGAGAAAGTATCAATAGCAGTGACCTATAAATACAAATAAATAAATTATGATCTCCTCCCCCTAGTAAAATTAAACTTACAACTTGAGAACCATCAACAAAAGAAGTCTTCAAGGTCAAGAAAGAATCATGCTTTTCAGCAGTAGAGTCGTTCAAAGGTTGGAACCAATGAGTGAAGTGAGTTGCACCCTTTTCAATAGCCCAGACCTTGGCAGCATGAGCGATAGCATCGGCAGTAACCTTATCGATGGTGCTCTTACCCTTTAAGGTTTCCATGAAGGTCTTAAAGACAGGCTTAGGCAACATCTTAGACATTTCAGTGCGAGAAAACACGTTTTGGCCGAAAATTTCAGAAACAGGCTTGACTTGACCATTTCTTGAAGGAAATTCAACGCAACGAGGACCTCTGGTAAGAGACTCGACTACGGTATTGATGCGTGCTTGATGAGCCATGGTGTAAAGGATGGTATGTTTTGGAAAAGAAAAAGAGGAAATAAAAAGTCAAAAAAAAAAGGTATAAATAGGTACTTGCTGTTTGATGGGAAACGGAGCTTTAATCAACCGAAAATGACTGCCTTTTTAGATAGATAAGAGATAATGTGGGGTATTAAGCAATCTTATTGGTTCGAGAAAGCCCAAAACTTTAGTAAAAACATCACCCTATTTGGAGCATATTAAATTGCATACAAGGAGTGAAGGTGCATGTATCACGATCATCTCCGAATATACTGCTTTGCATGATTCTCATCATATAAATATAAGGTTCGAATGCGATAACTTTTTCTGATATATCAGGGCTGTGTGTCACTGCCTACAACCAATCAAGTTGAAAATCACATGAAGCAATCAGTATTATCGTATTCACTTTATAGACAATAATGAAAGCTCTTCCAATCAAAAAAAGTATGACAAAGTCCATACATCTTTATTTAGCGGATCTCTGAGTCATATGAACGAACGCGTTTACTTTATAACGTAGTCAACTAATGCGTTTTCTGTCCCTTTTTTTAAATACAAAGCTGTTTGTATGATTTCAAGAGCTTATTGTATACTCTGCTTTAATTGTGAAATATACATAGACTAAACAACAAAAGTTAAAAAAAAATTATGGTGCACTGTTATGTGAGTCATATCTTGACTTGAAATCCAGATGGACCACTCAGGGGAAAAAATCACATTGGATACAAATAAAACTAATGCCTGCATAATTTATTGCCTCAATTCTTGTTCTAAAGCCTTTTCCAAGTTATCAATGCCATCCCAATTCTGGGCCTTGCCTTGCCATCTTCCTTTTCCTCCTCCCTTGACACCAGACAAAGTTTTCATAACTACTTTTCCCACCTGTTGAACTATTTCAGCTGTACCTCCAGTAACAATGATAGGCCCGCCTGTTTTCTTTTCCCCTGCAGCCAACACAACAACCTTTTGTGTACCTTCTAATAATAACTGATCTCTAATACCATTGGCAACAAAGCCCAAAAACTCCATATCAGCATCTTCACGGTAAACAACAGCCCAGCCCTTGTCTTCCAATTTTTGCTTTACATCTTTGACAGTATAGGCTGCTAAGGATTCTAAAAGTCGCTTGGCCCGTTTCAAGTGCTCCTTGGATTGATGTTGGATTTTTTGAACATTTTCGACAAACTGTTCAGGAGCGACAGATAACATGGAAGTTAGTTGTCGACTAGTGGAATAATAGCTGCCAAGTGTATCCAACACACGTTGACCGAACAAAAAGAAAATCCGTGTGTTGCCACCACGCACGTTTTCTGTATAAAGAATCTTAAAGCATTGCAATTGACCCAAAGCCAACAAGTGAGTACCACAACAAGGATTCTTATCCAAATGTTCGATCTCAATGGTACGAATGATACCGCCACCTACATAATCTTCAGGTAGGCTTTCGGGTCTTTCATCTACTTGATGCGCATGCTCTGTATGCGTGATAATAGGCGTATTCTTTACGATCAGTTGGTTGACAATTTTCTCTACGTCTTGAAGTAATTCAGGTGTGATAGTAGTGGATTTGTTGGTGCTAGTGGGTAATTCAATGTAGCACTTTTTCTCGCCCAAATTCCAAGAAGCAGTTTCGAGGTTGTAGGGTGCTTGCTCAAGTACAGCACTAAATAAATGTTGCCCACTATGCTGTTGCATATGATCCCAGCGTCTTTCCCAGTCAAGTCTAATCTGCACAGGTCCAACAGGAACAGGATCCTTTGTATAATGAACGTGCGCCAATGTATGGCGTTGCACGTCGTATACTTTGATATTGTCAATATAACCTGTATCGCAAGGCTGTCCTCCGCCTTCGGGGAAAAGAACTATTGACAAAAGATTAATCTACTGTCAATGGACAGCAAAATTTTACTTACTTGTATCATGTAACTTCACTTCGTAAAAGCCTTTCTTGTTCGGCTTTTCTGAACAAGCAATACATTTGGTAGAAAACTCACGAGCAAACGTATCGATTTGGCAATGAAGGCCTCCTACAGGAACTTGTTCTAAAAAAGCAGTTGGGGACATGGTTGACTAGTGTAAGAAGGTCTATAAGAGAGAAAAAAGAAAAATTGAGGGAAAAACAGACGTTAAGCGTTTCGTTTCGACATGCGGAATTTCAATGATGAGTCATCATTGGACCTGTTTGTCTTGAAATACTTCCAAGTAAAGCTGTTGATTAATATACTACATAGAACCGCTCTTATGATTGTTAACAACCATTTTCTTTTTCGTAAGTAATCACAAATATTTTACTTTAAGCATCATGACTTTTTCTTTTTTTTTTTTTTTGTTTTGTGTAGATCGTTTTTGCCCAAGTATTTCAATTGATTTGCTATTGTATTTTGTGAAGAACCATAAACAAAAAGGGGCTTCTCTTCTAGAAAGCATGTACAGTTTTTAGGAAAAATCTGTATATATTTTTCGTATGCATTTATACCTAGATTTGATTATAATAAAATCAATGATAACTTGTTAAGACTTTCATTAATTTCTATTTGCTCTAGGAGAGCATTGACATAAATTTGACTTTGTTGTAAGTCAATTTTGGGTGTCTTCCACAATCTTGCCTAGATTTGTTTATATTGACAGAGACCTCAGAAACGAGACTTTCAAACGGAACATGACTGATGCCTTTGATTGGGGTAAAAGCTACTGCTGCTTAGAGCAAATAAATCATTTCTACAGCCAAAAAAGCCATGATTTTAATCTTTGAATGAGGCAATCTTGCATGTTTTGTGATCATGTATCTAGAATGCAATAGCTATCTTAGAATCAATTTCTATTTGTTCAAAAATGACCATAAATGGTTGTTTTTGCTCATGAGATGGAGATCATTTCTGTTGCTCTCACACTCTTTTTTTTTTGGTATTTCTGATTTAACATTTTTGTTATCATACTCTCTTAGTCCTAAAGTAACTCATTTGCCAACTTGCTCTAGATTTAATTCAATCCAATGTCTTACCATGCCTTGTTCACGACATGATTTAATCATATAAAATTTTGTTTATTAGATTAGGGTATATTAGCGTACACAAGTCAATTCATCATAATTGGGTGGAGAATATAGAGATACTTCTTGAGCAATGGAACTGTAAGATGGTAGAGAAGGCTCTTCTGGAATACGACTTGATGAAGAGGGATAGAGTAATGCGATCATAGAGGCTGGGTCATAAGGAAGACTACGCCACGTTTCTTCATAAGCTGGTAGTCCTGTCTGATTGACGGCACAGATCGTTACTGGCAAAGATGCTCTTAATTCACTCACATGTCCATCCGTGTTGATGAGCGAAAGAATAAACTTGATTTTGTGTCGAATACGAATAGCATCGTTCTGAATATCGCATTGTAGTTCATAAGGTGAAGAAGGTAAAGGAATCAACTGTGTCTTGGTCCATTCGCCAGTCGTATGTGTTACTCTTCCAAACTTTTCATCGCGCGTCGAGAAAAGTATACGACCCTGTGCCCGAGGACGAGATCGAAACAGGGTTTGGTTTTTACAAACCATGTATTCTTTAAAAATGCAAGTTAGATGCCGAACCTTGAGTGTGCTGATGAGTGGTATAAAGCGAATAGATACAGAGATAGTGTCACTATGAGTGTAGATTTTTGTGGGCAATGAAATTTCATAGTCGAGTTTATTAGCCCATTGATTTGTTATAGCAATGGGCTCCAGAAATTCGTCGGTCAGTGGCAAGAGTTGACGTGATATGTGAATGGATTTGCGTGTTGATATGTTAGGCAAAAATGTGGAACGTTCAACAGTGGCTCTGAGTTGATATTGTATAGTATAAAAGTTGGCAACATATGTTGATTCCGGCAAATCCCCAGGTAAGGGTAATTCAAACTCATAGCTGTAGTTGCCAGCAGGAACACTGTGTATTTTAGTCTGTCGAGCTAGAAATGTCCATGTATGATTCATGATTGACTTTTCTTCACGGAATAATCTATCAGGACTATTGCTGGTATCTATATCAAACAAATATTAGTATACAAAATAAAATAAAATAAAAGCTCTGCTAGAATAGTTACGTCGTGCATATCGACTGAGTAGGTTACCTTCTATCCAAGAAATGGTAGATTTACCAGAGAATTCAAGAGTGATGGATTTAATCTTTGTTGTCTCTGGTAATCTCAAGCTCATCACACCACGCAATACGCAACCAGCAGACTCTGTTGAAGAACCGTACATGATAAGACTTTCACTTTCAACATGAATCTTAACTTGAGCTTGTGATAATAATTTATCCATGATAAGAAAAAAGAAACAGAAAAAGGAGGGAGAGTAAAGATAAAAAAAAAAAGATATCAAGTTTATATATTCTAGTGTGTGAAATGTATACAATGGAAAAAGTTAAATTCTATGTGACTCATGGTTTTGACACCATAAAAGATGAAAGGGGTTTGTGTTTATCCGAAGTTAATTCCCGGATGACTGAACGATGATTTATGTACAATCGTTCCGTGAATCTTGTTCTGCATGTCGCTTAGTAATTGTCTCCTTGTGCTGATAAGAATTCTTCAACTTACTTAGTAAAACTTTATAGTATTGTTGGTCCATGAAACAATTGATTCAATAAGAACTAGTTCGATATGACAACAGAATGATTTTTTTCTCAGAATTGCTTTTCAGGGTTTTATCATATCATAAATATCCCACAACCTGATTGTCTCGAAGCAGTAGAGGCATTTGCTTCTTGTATTCCCCGCAAATGCGGTCGGTACTACACACGCATCCCAGCTCATGCTAAAGTTTTCCGTGTGATTCTTTTTTTTGTTACACTTGAATTAGACGATTGTAAAAAAGATAAATAACCTAAATAAATATGCGATTCATTTTTGGATAAAGCAAAAGCAGTTTCAAGACCCTTTACTATCCTAAACAAAAAAAAATAAGAGTTGCTGTTATTGCAAAGGCATGACAATTGAGTAACTTTAACAATCTCTGGGTCGTCTTCAAACTCTAAACTATTTTCCGTCGATCTTTATTCTACTGATCAAAAAGCAGAAAATATGATGAATTGCTCAAGTAATCAAATTTATGGATGAAACCAAGGGTGCTCTAAAACTTGTTCAATCGTAAATCGTTTATCCACGTCACGCTCCAGCATTTTCTTGATCAGATCAAACGATTCTAAAAATACCTTTAGTGTTACACATAAGCAACAAGTATTACCTTCAGATAGAATATAAGGCACTCTTAATTCTCCCTCTATGATTTTGTCTATATTATTAAAGGGATTTTCCCTGTAGATCAATGTGAATAGCAAGATACCAGCTGCCCAAATATCTTGTGGCGGACCATCATAGGGCTGGCCCTTGAGTATTTCAGGAGCACAATATTCTAATGTACCCGCAAATGTATCGAATTTACGGCCTCTTCTGTAATAGGTTGCACATCCAAAATCAATCAGACTCACTCTTCCTTGATTGTCTAGAATGATATTTTCGTCCTTGATGTCTCGGTGAACAATACGATGTTGGTGCAGATGCTTAACTGCACATGCCACTTGATAAAAGATGTACTTGATTTCTTTTTCAGTCATATCTTTGTTCTTTTCTATGTAGTCGAACAAGTCTTTTCCATTACCCAAGAGTTCCATTGCAATAAAATAATAGTCTTCATCTTCCATATGTGTCAGTAGCCGACAGCAATTCATGTGTGGGTGTCTTTGAAGTGTACGTAAAATATGAATTTCCATTGGAATAGAGCCTAATTGACGATCTCTACATGTAATACAATAGATGAGTCATCACCTTCATACATTGGTTGAACTAACCTTATCCATGAATCAATGAGGATCCGAGATTTAATAATATATTTAATAACTAGTTTTTTCTACAAGCATGAATTAGCATCATCTAGTTCTAAGTCACATTACCTTGAAAGGATCGTCTTTACGATAAGCTGATTTAGCCATGCCGTAGGTACCTTGTCCCAAGAGATCAAGCATCTCGTATTCGTCTAAGGGATGTCCTTTCGGCACAAGATCAGCCTGACTTGACGACGGGCTTGGGGGGAACATGTCCAATGTAGGAAATAATTTTTTGTGCTCTTCAACAGCGCCAAAGGAACTGATCCGCAATGACCGCATGATAGCCGGTCTCTTCTTACTGTGTTCTTGTGTTCTCTTTTCATATTTAGACATGGCATGAATACGATCATACGTTATCCAGATATCAATCAAGTCATCATCTAGCGCCTTGAGTTCTAATTCAACTTCAAATTGACTTTTATCACAATGAACAACATAAATAATGTCAGCCGTATGTCTGAGTACGTGCTTGCACTGTGTGTTTGTCATTGTTTGTTGTTGACCCATGCATGATAGAATGATAGACATACAAGGGATCAAATCTTGGACGTGCATGTGTTGGTCAAGGATGGATTTGACTGATTGACCAAACAAGTATTTAGCAGGCACAGCACTTACGTCTTTGACCAGACCCGTCGTGCGCTCTACTTTGACAAAACCAGTGATAGAAGGCAGTGATGTGATTTTAATAACAAAACTAGCAAGATCATCATTATCCATAGCAACATGGCGATTCAGGTTGAGAATAACAGGAAACATGGCACCTTGGCTCGTTTGACTGCCAAAAAACTTGAATTTATCTATCTTTTCCAGATTATCATCCCGCTGTTCTTTAGAAAGAGCTGGAATAAGGCAATTGACTGGTTTGCCAATCATATCATTTGGTTTATAGCCATATACATCAAGCATAGTACCTAATACTCTACGTATAATACACTAAAGAAAATAAGAAAAAAGAAAAGAAAAAAGACGTAACGATCTACCTCTGAATCAACATAAACAGACAAGGATGTTTCATAAATTTCTTCAAAAATCCATAGATAAATTCGCTCACTATGATCTGCAATTTTTTCTTTAAGCCAAAGCGATGCTATTGACTTTGTCCCATTGACTCTGACAATGGATATCTAAATTTTTAAGCGAAATTCCCGATATCGAAAAACAACTTACAATTGTTCCGCATACAAGAACATGCCCACTTTGACCAACTTGCTTTTTTCTACGGTTTAGAATGGATCTGATCTGTTTTCGAAACGGATCTTCAAGTACAGTCGTAAGTATCGATTGCCCAATATATGATTTATCCATGTTGAAACATAGTGAAGCAATATCATTAAATAACAAAATTGTACCATCTACCTTGGTTGTAATCACAGCTTGGTTCTGAGGTAAGAAGCGAGAGGGTGTATGCAGTGCTCTCGAGAATTTCTCTGTATGATGCGTTTCGTGAACAGGAGCCATAGGCTGAATATCCAGACTTGTACGTGGTGGCATATTCCAATGGAACATGAATTGGTTCAAATTGGGTTGAGATAACCGACGGTTGGGGGAGACCTGTCGTTTCATTTTATTGATAAATTCCATGACACTAAAGTGGCCTTGGCGTGGTTTTAGGTGACGTTTTGTTGGGATCATGTCAGCTTCATCCAAGGCACAAATAGCTGGCTCATCTTCTTCATCGCAATCAAACAAAAAGTATTTAGAATGCCTAACTAAGTAAGAAGACATATCCAATGATGCAATGTCTAACTTACGCTTTATTGTTCAGAAACAAATGATCTTTATTACAAAAAATAGTTCTGAATGACTCGTCGTCTAATAGAAACTTTCCGTTTACATGTATGACAGTAATCAATACTTACCACTGAGCACTGAACGGTTCAAACTCATGCTGCAATAATGGAAAAAGAATAAAAAGAGAAAGAGAATTCATGCTCTTATACGTTCATAAATTAAGCAGCAGTCACCTAAACCTTATTTTGTATATGCATTAAAAAAGAGGGGGATGGGGAGATTGCCATTAAAGAACAATAATATTTATTAGTATAAACAATAGAGGTATTCATGATAATAAGGTTGTGAAGGCATTATAATACAATATATATCCGCATTTCTTTTTTTTTTCACACAGATAAAAGAATGCGGATCAGAATTAGACCCTGCCTCGTCTTCTTCCAGCACGACCACAAGTCAAACAGGCAGCAATAGCATTAAAGATACCAGTAATACAGCGAGTAATAGCAGAGACAATAGATTGAAGGAAACCAGCAATACCACTGATAAGTGTAGAGAACATAGAGGCAATAGAGCTTACAATGCCACTTAGACAAGAAAATATAGATCCCATTTTGTTTTTGTTATTGTTGTTATAAGAATAATGTTTTGTTTCATAGAAACAATCACCTTTTTATATAAAAGAAAAAAAAAGCCATGACGTAAAGTAGACGGAAGGTGAATTCATTGGTTTTTGATTTACTATGAATGACGATCATTTTATGCTTAATTTCTGTAAATGGTCTCATTTTGTCTATTTTACATGATCTCATTCTATTGAATTACGACAATATGATTTATTTCGTATTTTTCTTTTTCCTTATTGCCGGTGTCTTTCTATTCTTTTGATAGTTTGCGTTCTTTAGAATGTCATCAATCATGACTTCACAGCGAGTTTTGACTTCTGTAGCGCAGTCTTGTGGGGTTGTGAAGATATCTGGGTATCGAATACTACCAATAATAAATAACCTGAAAATATTTCAAGGTCTTACCTTAGCCACATATAAAGCATAATGTTCTTGTGGTCACTTTCTAGTTGTGCCAAACCTGCAGTTGATGCGGGAGTAACATTAGGTAACTGAATGACATCATCTAAGGTACAGGTCTCGTTTTCGCTGAACTTTTTAGCAAAGAGTTCAATCATTTCCATGGAAGACTCATTTCGACAACTAACAGGCGCAGTGACAAACTGGTATTTGTCTCTAAGAGGTAGTTTGATATGTTCAATTCTTTCGGCAATCGTCTAATCTGATTTAGTCTATGAAGTAACCTTTTTTTTTTACCTTTTGATCTCTATAGTTACACAGGAAATAATCACCATTTAAGGAAGCTAAATCTTCAAATTTTTGCTTCAATCATGAAACACAAAGTTTAGAACGTAAATCGAATGATTGTCACTTACAAGTAATCCTGAAAACTTTTCTTGGGGCATTTGTAATGCAAAAAGTTCTAAAATATCAACTGTGGGTTGCAATCCTGCCATCTAATGTTGATGTAAGAAAAAAAGAAGTCGATAAGCAACCCTTACCTCAAGTGGAATGATAGGCGCACTAACGCATTCCTTAATGTACTGAAGGTCCCGAGGATGCAAACTAAGGAAATAAGCGTATGTCATAATTAAAATAAATAAACTTACGTAGTGACTTCACCTTCATTGTAGGCAGTACCGAATCTACCTGCACGTCCTGCAATTTGCTTTATTTGGGGAATGCTGACATGGCGAAATGTTTTTCCATCAAATTTTCGGACAGTAGTGAACACAATGCGCTTAATGTTAAGGTTAAGGCCCATTCCTACAGCGTCAGAAGCTACTAGAACATCAAAGCCGCTTTCGAGATCATTAAATGCTTTGGCTTGAAGTGCTCTTGTTTCTAATATCATGTCAGTCCTTATAATCTATTCCCACAAACATACCTGGTGGCAAACCGCCATAGGCCACAGCACAACGAAGACCTGTTAGTTTTTCAATCTTTTCTTTCAAGGCAAAAATTTCACTTCTAGAGAACGCAACAACACAATCTCCTTTTTTGATCTTGGTCAAGTCATTATTCAATGACGTCTTGTCCACTTCAAACGGCGTCAATCGAGAGTATTCGTTGACGACGACTTCATCATCCAATGTTTCACAAATCTTTTTGACGAGAGGTACTGCCGATGCTTCACCGCATAAATGGATTTCCTTTGCCTTTAAGCCTAACAGTGCCTGCGTCCATGCCCAACCACGATCTGGATCACCAATCAATTGGATCTCATCAATCACAGCCACGTCCATGGGTTTGTTCAAGTTTGCCATTTCAACCGTCGAACTTGTCAAGGGTGCATAAGGTGCTACTTCTCTTCTTTCTTCACCTGTCAACAAGTTGCACGGAACACCTTTTTCGTTCATTTTTTCATAGATTTCATGGGCCAATAAACGCAAAGGACCACAATAAATGCCTGATTCAGCTTGTTCTAAACGCTTTAGGGCTCTATAGGTCTTGCCACTGTTGGTAGGTCCTACATGCAAAATAACCTGTCTAACAACAATCAGCATCCCCTTTTCTTAAATCTTATTTACCTCTTCATTTGACGAGCATCAGGAAACCATTCACTAGGGAATCGCAAATCACTTATCTTTCGTAACGAATTGAACTGATCCACCATATGCTCGGGTAAATGAGGTTCTGCAAAAGTAAGAAATGCCGATAATAAAGCTTTTTCAATATATTCTATCCGATGGTGTCTATAAGCAATTTGTTTTCTCTTTTCTGTCCTTCTTACCATGACCATCGTCTTCATTAAATCCAGTCATTAATTCTCGAGCATTCAGACGAGGAATATGTCCAGCCAATGCAGCCTTTACAAACATATCCGCAATATCTGAGAACAATCGACCTCGAATACCCAGTCCACCTGCTTTACGTCTAACAACTTGATTTGTAGTGAACCGATTTAATTCTCTTTTGAGATCTATACAAGCATGAGTCGTGCTAATCATTCTCATTTGACTTTACTTCTTGTCATCCATCGTATGTCTTTTTGGACAGGACGTGAAAAGATGTCGAGAAAGGTAGATTTGTAAGGCGTTGGCAATCGTGATCGATTGCCACTAAAGTCTTTGTTGAAAGTAGGTACTTGACGAGAACATGGCGGTGTTGTATACAAAGATCGGGTAACGGAACGTTGACTCGAACGGACCAAGTATAAAGCTTGGCGCTGTAGAGGCAATATCCGTAACATGATATGTCAAAAAAAAAAAATCCGTAGTTAATGCAAAGGCTCCCCCCTAGACACAGAAAAAAAGCAGTCTTGTGCTTGCTGGATATGAAAATCCTTCAAGCACTGCATAAGATATCCGGACGACTGTGCCTGAATTTTGGTTGTCATGAAGATAAACTTTCGAGACTGAAAATAAAATAAAAACCTTAATTAATTTTTACTAAATTAATACACATTGTTTGTTGTTGTTATTGTATTTTCCAATGACATAAGCCCCTATCCATGAATTGTTTTTATTGAGAAAAAAAGAAGCACAGAGAAAGTAATATCCATTTGAGTAACAATGATAGTAAGCTCTGTCGTACAAAAACAACCTAACTCCTCGGTTTTTTTTCTTTTTCTTTTTTTGTGATGCCTTAAAACAATAGGGCGCAAAGACCGAACAGCCAAAAGAATGATAGAACAAGCCATGAGCCTAAAGCCATGTCTTGATTGTGCAACACTAACAATGAAAATTTGGATGGAGAAGAAAATTTAATTAACCGAATTATGGTAACTGTATTTTTTTTTCTGGTCACTTGGACAATTTTTTCTCTCTCACTCTCATGTTTCTCCCTAAAGAAAAAGTCAAGCCGCCTCGAAGCTTACGATCAGCTCGACTTTCTGTTGTCAAGAATCAGATTTCAACACCTGTCATACAAACGTCTGTTACAGCACCAAAAAAAGTCATAAAAGCACTTTACGATTACCAAGCACAAAGTCCTCATGAACTCTCGTTCTTGAGAGGCGACTTCTTTCTTGTCAGTTCTGGAACTGAAAAAGACTCTAGTTTTTATGAAGCATTTAATCCTATCACCAACTCAAGAGGAAACGTGCCTGTCCAGTACTTTCAAGTCCTCGAAAAACATGAGAAAGCCATGGTCGAGTCAGCAAAGACGAATCCAGAACCTCCACAGTTAGAAGGTAATAAACAGAGACAGCATACATGCTTAACTCGTATGTAGTACATCATAAAGCACAGCCTCTTTATGGTATTGTGCTGTATGATTTTAAGGCAGAAAGATCAGATGAATTGGATGCCAAAGCAGGAGAACCCATCATTATTATTGCACAGTCAAATTCAGAATGGTATGTCGCAAAACCAATTGGCCGCTTAGGCGGACCAGGTTTGATTCCTATTTCATTTGTGGATATTCGTGATGCGTCTACAGGACGTACGGTCAAGAATGAATTGCCTCAATCGTTTCCTAATGTAGAGGATTGGAAAAAAAAGACATTGGGATATGAAGCTTCTAGCATTGAAATTGGCAGACAGTTACAAGAAATGAGCATCCAAGAAAGAGCAGAGGAAGAAGCAGAGGAAGATCCAGTTGATTATTATCAGTCCAAAGATGAAGTTCTTGTGGTGTCTGCTCATATTGATTCTTATATCTTGGAAGGTGATCAATACTGGTTTATTGTGTTTGCAAGACTATCTAATCAAAAGCATCGTGTCCTATATCGACTTTATGAAGGTAAGCATAGGCACAATGCCATGAGTTCTAATGGCCATTAGATTTCTATGATTTTCAAATAAACTTTTTACAAGAATATCCAATGGAAGCCGGGAAACAAGATCAAGAAAGAATCCTGCCCTTTATGCCCGGACCATTAGACGCAGTAAATGATGAAATTACAGGTAAATGAACGCACACTGAGTTTATCTGTCCTTGAATGTTCACGTGTTTTCTATATAGCGGATCGAGCTCGCGATTTATCAAAATATTGTGATGAATTACTTAAATTACCAAGATACTTGTCTTCAAGTACATGGGTTCAGGACCAGTTGTTTGGCATTCATGAAGGTGATATAGAGACAGACATTGATCCAGCAACGGGCAACATACCAACTACCACTTCTACTCCTAATACTATTAACACATCTAATCCTAATAATTATTCCACCACGCCCACCACACCTACCACGCCAGTCATGCCTCCTACGCCTTTAACACCAGCTACACCAGCTACACCAGCTACTCCTTCTGTCTATCATGGGAACACGATCAAGGTCAAAATCAAGTACAAGGATGAGATTTTTGCTATTAAAGTCCCTGTACCAATCACAGTCGAGTTCCTGCGCGCTAAAATCATTGATCGCATAGGATTCGAGGTTCAACTCTTTTATAAGAATGGTGATCCTCTTGTGAATCTAGAGACAGAAGCCTTTGAATCAGCTGTCAAAATAGGCAAATTGACAGTTCTGGCTTCTTGAGCTATTTTTATCGTATACACAAAAATAAATAAAAACACGTTTTACTTCTTTTTTTCGTGAATTCAAACACCGATATCGTTGTTGTATTTATTTCACTTGTTCTTTTTTTCTTGTTCTTTTCTTTCCCCCCTCTTTTCTCTCTTTCTTCTTTTTTTTTTTTATTACACACACATATACACACATACACAATGTCTGAACACCACGAAGATGAACTTGCACCTACACAAACTACTGGTTACAAGCCAGGAGAAAAGAAGTCTCTTCAAGAATACCAAACTTTGGACGCTGAAGATGAATCCTTGAACAAATGGAAAGAATCTCTCGGATTAAATAAGTCTGGTCAAAGTAAGCCTATTTAGTCATTTGCGCGTCTGTAGACTCATCTTTATCCTATTTAGCTGGCCCTCATGACGATCCTCGTAAGGTAAATTGTTCTATATCTATTGTCAATCTCTTAACTCGTCTTAGGTCATTGTCGAATACCTTGCTCTTGAGGTTCAAGGCCGTGAAGATGTCAGAGTTGATTTATCTACTCCTCGTAAGTGTATGCATTTCATAACATCATGAACTGAATTTCAATTTCAGACGCTATTGACCAAGCCAAAAACGCTCCTTTCACTATCAAGGAAGGTGTTGAGTACCGTATGAAGGTTAAGTTTAGGTAAGTCCTTTCTAACTATATATATATATATATATATGATGTACTAATTTATTCTATCTAAAGAGTTCAACACGATGTTGTCTCTGGTCTCAAGTACTTGCAAGTAGTCAAGAGAAAGGGTATCACAGGTAAAATAAATAATAGAGAGAGCGGTCCTTTTTCTGTGTCTAGAAAAAAAAAAAAAAAAAAAAAACTTACTCCTTAATTTAGTTGACAAGATTGAAGAAATGATTGGTAGTTACGGTCCTGCAGCTGAAGCTTATGAAAAGAAATTCGCACCTGAAGAAGCTCCTTCAGGTATGCTTGCTAGAGGTCACTATGATGCTAAGGTAAATAACTCTTCCCCCCATAAGAAAGTGTATTCATCCTTTTTCTATAGAGTAAATTCGTTGATGATGATGGTGTTACTCATATGGAATGGAGCTGGTCTTTTGATATCAAGAAGGATTGGTAAAAAAAAAAAACATATATATACAATTTATATACACCCATACTTTTATGCGTACGTGCACAAAAAAACAAAACCTCTTTGCTCTTCCTCTTTATATATACACATACACATACAAATAAAAAAAAAAAAAAAAATCACACACACATAAACATACGGCTCCGAATAAAAATTTGTTTATTCCCCTGGATACAAAATATCTGGGAACATGTTGAGATTATCTGTTAATTCACAAAAGTGGTGTATAAATCTAATAGGATAAAGGAGATCAATAAATAAATAAATATTAGCCAGCATATAGTCATCTAAAGTGACATTGTACATGATGTAGTAAAGTTCTAGCATGATATAAATACAAATAAGACTGGCAACCGTGATAGGAAGCAGGATTTCTATAGGATCCATGTCGTAAATGTATCTCAGCCATAAGGAAGATAGACACACAGCGCCTAGACTACACACAAATGGAAATGCGCCTTTGAACGGAAACCGTCTTTGGAAGGTATAGAGGACCGAGCAAGCAAGTCCAAAAATGGTCATGATAAAAACAGACTGGCCTTCTTCATACATGAGTTTGGCAACCACATTGGCTGTCACGAGTGCCATGCAGGCTGAATACAGGCTCAAAAGGACAGTCCGAGTCAGGACCGAGAGATGAAAGAATTGACTGTATAACTGCCACATAATAAACAAGGCAATCACAAACAAAGGCAAGATAGGAATCCACCAGGCCCATGTACTATATTGTTCTGAGTAAGTATACACTTGTGTTGTTATTCTTTTACCTATTCTTAAGCCATTCAAATAAAGGGCAAATACGTATAATAAAGATAATCAATAAGGAGATAGAAAAGAATTGTGCTGTTGTGATAAGCAATACTCTTCGAACAAAGTCTTTCATAAAAGTGTGTTAGTGTGTGCTTTTATGACGTTGTCTATTTACCCATTTGTTGAATGAGTGTCAAACGAGATACTGAGATGCCCAGGATGTCTTGATCGAGATGAGCAGAACCATACCGTTCTAAAGGGTCAGGGGGTATAGCCACTGGGTAGTATATGGTATTATAGTTTCTATGGGTATTCATTCTATCAAACAAGAAACGCTCTATTACTACTTAATTTACGCACTCCGAGTCGTTGGCTGAGTAGTCTCCTCAAGTGTAACACATTCGACTTGTCTTTTTTTATGCGTGCACTGTTTATTTCATATTGTCCAATCATATGTCCTGTACCTGAATTCACTTTGCTCCTTTATATTTTGTTGCTCTACTTTTCTCTCTCTCTCTTTTTCTTTCTTTTTCTTCTGTACACATATGCAGAACCAACAGATAGAAGCTCACTTGGACTCATTGCCTACATTAAGTCAAGTCTTGGCCAGAAAAAGCCAACCACCTGTATGTCTTTATAACTATTATATTGTCTTACGAGATCGATTGGCATTGGAGACATTACTTGATTTTTGGCTTGATGTAGCTCAAGCAGAAATCCTTTATAATCGCTATCTAAAACACTCAAAAAGAACAAGCCAACCAAAGCAAGCGTTTAGACCTATATCTCAATACACATCACTCGCTATCTTGGCTCCTACTGAACCCAGAGTCTCGATAGCCACCACAGTCAGTACTAAGAAGCCAGTGCCTACGCATGCTGACCTGGTCGAGGCCATGGAACGTATTTATGCTCGGTACTTGATACCTCATGCAGAAAAAGAAATGGAACAACTTCCTTTCTCGATCAAACAACCTATTCATCAATACTACCATCAATGCGTACAAGACCATGGTGATGTGATTGACAATCCAAGCTTGATTTATGCAGAAGCCAAAGAGTATGTCTATCAATTACTTCAATCAACATTTCCTCTCTTTTTGAGATACAAGGTATTGATGAACATGACATTGCCTCAACAGATAGGAAGAGTGGGAGTAGGTCTTTTTGTTTTACTTTTTGGGTTTTCATTTGAATTCTCCTTGATTTTTCTCGATATAAGTCCATGGCACATACGCTTATGGGTAAGTTTATCCTATCTGGTTGTCCTGACTGATGCTGGAGTATATAGGGTACTATACCTATTTTTTGCAGTGTCTATTGTTTAATGACATCGATGACGGGCATTGATCCTGTATGGTTGCTTGTATTTCACTTGAGGTAAACTTGCTGTTGTCTTGATAGGACTAACATGATTTTTTTAGTGAAACTGTACCCTTTCAGTTTAATTTCGTTGTAGACACTCAAGTCAAGAAGATCTTACAAAAGAGATCCTTGATGGTCTTGACACTTATTTTGTTTATTACAACTGTGATTATGATTCTATTCTGTATTCCTGCTGGAAGACGCCTTTAACTTTTATTCAATCGACCAACGTTCTGGACTGACGGCTGTCTTTTCTGCTTGACCTGTAGGCTGCATTGGATGAGAAGAAGTAGCTGTCATTGCAGTCGCATGTGAAACTGAACATTCATGTTATTTTCCATGATCAAGCCTATTTCACTTACTATGATTGATTAAGCCATGATTAAAGTTTCTAGTACAAATAATAGCTGAAGGAACAGATGCCTATACAAAGAAGTGAATATAGGAGAGACAGGAGAGTAATATTACCAAAATAAGGACCATATCCACACATACTAGATAGAATGAGTTGAACATACTCAATAGAACATGACTTACAGAAAAATGTTAAGAATACTTTGGACCCAATAAATCGATCTGGATTATGTAAAATAGTGACCAACATATAGATAAAGTAAGCCATACTAGCCGTAGCCAAGGCAACAAATAAGTACATATGTATTTTCCATTCCCGACGTAACTAAGGTAGAATAAGTTATTTTGTTGTTGTTGTCATGTAGTTACTTACCCCCCAATAGGCCATAGACAACATGACAATCGAGACAAGACAACTGAGGACAATATGTTTAATTAATTCTTTGATAATCACTTGTCTGGCTTCTTCTGTTGTTGCTTCAGGTAACCAAGCAACAATCAACAAGACGAGATATTGAATTGAAAATCCAAAAAAGAAGAAGAAATCAAACTTGAGTAGCATCAATAAGATCTGATACATCTTGTAACGATCTAGAAAGAAAGAACTGTTATTACCAAGCCAATAAGCTTATGGTTTTATACCTCGCATGGATAAATCAGCTCCAATCTTCTTGTAAATCTGCCAACCAAATTCCAAATAGAGTTTATAAGCTAAAAATATAAACAGCATGGATGAGACCAACATGATGCATATCTGTGTGATTTCTGCCCATCGAGAAGCATGATAAGCATCACCCAAGAAGGCTAATACCAAAGTGACACTAGGGTCTTGTGTGTTACTGAACAGCGTAGAGGATTGGTGGTATTGTATGATGGTATATGCACTCATGCCTAACTCAAAAGCGACCAGCGCAATGAGTTGAATTGTATTCTTTTGAATAATCTATGAATAATAGCATTAGAGTGAATGTATACATATTTCTATATTACAGCATCCAATACTAAAATAACAGTAAATAATTGTGCAAACATAAACAACACAAAATAGACTAAAAGTGACCTTGCATTAGCATAGGCTGTCATTAGACTCGAACCAAATGATTTCTGATTAAGACGCTCTTGGTTAATAATGTTGATTTCTGTCATATGGTAACTGAATATAATGGATTCAAATACAATAGCAAGTACTGCTTGTAGTAAAATAGTAATGAAAATAGCGCGTGTCCATTTAGAGTCACCAAACTAAGATAGTATAAGACAAGCCATACACACACTATTGTTACTTACGACTCTTGAAGTAGTCCACATAGTTTTAAAGAAAAAAGAAAGAAAAAAGAGAGAGAGAGAGAGAGAGAGAGAAATTAAATAGTAGGAGAGAAAGATATATTTATATATAAACTCCCTTTTTTTTTTACGCCTCTAAATAAACTGCAATCTTTCTTCATAATATTTGATCAACTAAACAAGAGAGATATGAATAGACTGAATCTAGAGTAAAATAACTTACTTTCATAGGGATATGTTCATGTGCATCTTTCATTGGGTGAATTGTTCTTCTGCCATTGTTCCTGTTCAACTTATGAGTCAATATGAGAGGGACATATCCCTTTCTACTTGCCATTCGATATAACAAAGAATAATCTTGGGTTCAACAGGCGATGCTTGAACACACACCTTGTTAAGTTCTTGAGACCAATTTGTGTTTGATGTAGGGTAATTGGTAGGGAAAGCATATCCTAATTCAAACATATAATCAGGAACATGCTCTGTATATTTCTTAAGTCGTTTTGTTTGTGCTTCAGTCTGATCTTCATCATGGACACGCTTAGCAGACACAGGTCTCTTGACTGGCTTAGGTTCAGGTGTCTTGGTTTGTCTGGGTTCAGGTGTTTTGGCCTGTTTGGGCTCAGGTGTCTTTGGTCTACGAGGGATAGGAGGTGGTAAAGAGGGTTGTGGTGATGGGGATCGTGATTCTGTAACTTGCTGAGGTTTTTTGCTTATAGGTGCATTGGAAGGTCTAGGAATATCAGGTAAACTATCCCAATAAGCAGCACAAAGATCATAGACATCACTATGAAAAAAAAAGTAAGTACATATCTATATACATATATATGTAAATGTCATTACGCGTGAATAGTATTGGCCTTTTCAGTTGTATTTTCACTACTAGGATATCCTTTCCATTTGATCTCGTAATTCACTACTTTGCCCTAATGCCGTCATTCTATCAATATCATAGTATTGTGTATAGGCTTCTTACCTTGTAAATACGATGACCTTCAATGCGTTCAATTTCGAATTCTTCTTCAGTCTCTTCCTCTTGTTCAATAGGCGCTATCTTCTTTTTAGACTTGCTCTTCTTTTGAGTTTCTTCTGTTTCTGGCTTGGGTGTCTTTTGTCCTGTTTCTCTGGGTGATTGTTGATTGAATTTGAGTTTCTCTTCTTCTACTTCCTGTGTCTGTTCCAAATCAGGATCCACGTCTTCAATGATATCTGCTTTTAATAATAAGTCGTCTTCTTCATCTAAAAATGCAAGAATCTCTGTTTCTTGTTCTTCTTCTTCAATTGTGATTGTCTTTTCAGCCATCTCTTTTTTCATGATTCAATTTTTAAGAAAAAAAAAAAAAAAAAAAAAGACGCGTTTGTTACCCTACATCTTTTATTTTGTAGCGGAGAATACCTTTTTTTTTTCTCTTTTTCTTTCATGTCTCATCTTTTATTTGCTCTTGGGTTATCCATATTACTTGTTATTCATTCAAGACGCAAGAAATCACTTAGTATTGATGGTGCTGCTGCTGCTTTTATGTTGGGCATGGTGACATTCTCATCTCGTCTTTGGCTTTTTACAGTTGTTCTCTTGACATTCTTTCTTTCAAGTAGTCGATTGACCAAGTTTAAGGCTGATCAAAAACGACGCTTAGAAGCTGATTATGAAGATGCTAGTGAAAGAAACGCGGTTCAAGTGGCTTGTAATGGTTTGATGGGGGTATAGCTGTCCTTTTGTTTCAATTAAATGAACCTGGGGTCGATTGCTTTCATCAAGCGCGTTGGAGTCGTGTCTTGATCTGGGCTTATGTAGGGTAAGTATATCCCTTTATATATTTATATATATATCTCATTCAAATCAATAGACATTATGCTTGTTGTGCTGGTGATACGGTAAGTAAAAAGTCATGGATTCATGATAACTCATATCCCTTGAGTGGGCAAGTGAATTGGGTATCCTGAACAAGGATTGGCCCATTTTAATCACACGCATGAAAAAAGTGCCTCCAGGTACCAATGGCGGTGTTTCTGGATTAGGATTGGCGGCTTCTTTTGCAGGTGGTACACTGGTAGGTCTTTCTGCTGCCATGACACTGTATATAGAACAAGCATGTTATGGATTTGCATGGGAATTGGTCTTGGTGGGTTGTTTAGCAGGTGTGGGTGGATCTTTGGTAAGTCTGGATCTGTTGAGATACATGTCATTCATTGATGTCTAGATGGATTCTTTGTTGGGTGCCACCGTACAACAAAGTCTGTATTCAAAAGATCAAAAAAAGATAGTGGCTCAAGGCAAACAAGGCGAAGACATTCAAATCATCAGTGGTTTACCCATCTTGGATAACCATCAAGTCAATTTTGTTACATCTGTCATCACGACTAGTATGTGTGCCTTATTAGCACATCATTTATATCCTACCATATAAAACACATATTTTATTTAAGCTGTTTCATGAACAGTAGCACCCACTTGTTGTTCTTTTAACAATGCATCAATCTCCTCAGGCTTATAAAGATCATATTTAACTTTGTTTTCTTCAAGTCGAATGGTGGCAAATTCCACTACAGAAAATCAAGTCAATACACAAGAAAGATCCACCTATCTTGTTTTTTTTTAAACTTACATTTTTCACTTGTCAATGTTGTACTGTCCATGGTTTTGCTTAACACTTTAATAGCCAATGCTTTGGCCTCCTCTAATGTCATGTCATCCTTATGATCTTGTTTCAAAATAGATTGTGCTGTAGCATTATTGGCACCAATACAAGTAGCCTTCCAACCACCATAATTACCAGAAGGATCAGAATGATACAATTGGAAACCATAGTGTTCATCATAACCAGCAAAGATAAAAGAGACACCAAAAGGACGCAAACCACCATATTGAGTATAACCTTGCTTTAAATCACATAGATTTTGAACCAGTTGTTCAACTGGGATTTCTTCATTGTATGCAAACAAATAGCGTTGTGCACTGGCTCGAGTCCAGTTGATCAAGATGTTGGCATCAGCTGTAATACCTGCTACACCACAGATAATGTTACTATCATGGGGTGAGTCCATAAGGCTGTAATCAGTCTACTTACTCGTTTAACTTGTAAATCTTTTCAGAAGTAGCACTGGTCTCTAATAGTTTAGCAGTGACCTTCTTTTCAGCAGCAATAACAACACCATCTTTTGCGAGAATACCAAGTGCAATACCAGCAAGAGAAATAGCTTCCATAGCATATTCAACTTGGTATAAACGACCTAACAAAAAGTCAGTGAGTGTCTATCGTTCTGTAGTTACCTTCAGGTGAGAAAATAGTGGTTCTTGAGTCGTATCTTCTGGCCATAATGTAAAATAAAGAAGAAAAAAGAAAGGTTTATGCCCTTTGATGATCGCGTCTAACAAGAAAAAAATAGAAACGTAATACTGTGACGTCTTGAAGGAGTTTTAAAATTCTAAAGATTTATTATGTTTATTTTCTTAGTTTTTGGATTTGAAGATCCAATGCTTCCTTGTTGGGTAGTTCATGACATGCTCTATGGTACACTTGATTGGCCTTTTGAAATTTCTTTTGAGAGTAAAGATAGGCAAGGTATGAAATATAGGTTTCTATTCTATATGAGTAATGAGCTACATTGTATTTTCTTACCTTCTTTATGATCTTCCATGCGAGTTACTTGTTCATACAGATATTCCACACTGGCTTTTCCTTGTTGGTCTCCAGTACCGTATTGATTCTCAAGTTCAACACACTTCATATAAAATCCAAAAGTAGGATAAAAGCCCTTGATGATCTTGCGATAAACAGTACGTGTAGCTTCAATACCTTGAGATGCAGCTGTCCATTCCACATAACGTGATTGAACTAATTGTTTGATCTCGGAGGGTTCAGAAGAAGTAGCGGAAGGTAAAAGCATCGTCACTTTTTCACATGCCTTGTAGAACAGACGATCAATGTCTTGTGTCGATAGATTGCCATGCATGATCCAGTCAATAAAGGCGCGCCATAACACAAGTGAGCCAGGATTCAGCGCCAATGCTTTCCAATACAAGGATTCTTTGGTTGCTGCCAATTGAATACGATATAACCAAAGTGGTGTAGCATCAGGAAACATCTCTGTGCCTCGCTCTGCCACGGTCTCTGCCTTCTCCTTGTCTGTCTCGATCAACATAGGCATCCATAACGCGTATATCTTTGCATTCATTTGACCTTCTTTCTGACACGCTTTCAATGTCTTTTGTGACAGTTTGGTGAGATACAATCGCAGGTTTTCTTCTGTCACCAAGTCACGCCAATTCAATAAGAATTCGATATACAATTGCCACATCGTTGGCATGTTCAGATCAGCCACGGCCTTTTCAAAGTCCTGCACACATGCACGCAAAGCAGGCACAAAAGCAGGATCTGATACTTTTAGACTGCCAGTCATATGTCTTGAGGCTAAAACACGTCTGGCTTCAGGCTGATCGTATAAATCACGCTGCATGGTATCGTATACATGGTCTATCTGTGTCTCCATCTCTGTAAATTCACGGTAGACATCAATAAATCGTTGGCGGAATCCAATGTCGTTTGGAATGGCTTGAATGGCATTATCGTACACAATCTTGGCCAAAAGACCTTGCAAGATTGGATTGTTGGCTTCCTCGAGTGCAGCTGCTTCTTTTTCTGTCATGGTCTTTTTGTTTTCGTCTGATTTCCATTGTGCTACATCTTCGCCTGTTAATGCAGGTAATTGAATTGTGTTGTCTGTGTCCATCACATCTTCTGTCTGAGTTTGAGGTTGGTTGATACCGAGTAATCTTCTTCTGAGCTTGATCTTTTCGATATAGATCAGTTCAAGACGGAAATATTCGTGCCATAATGATTGATTTTCAGGCATCAGACGAAGTGCGCGTTGTAACAAGACACGGGCAGCTGCTACATTAGCATTCTCTTCGTGTTCCCAAGTGGCTGCCATGATCCATAAAGAAGCATTGTGAGGATGATGCTGAATGGCTCTACATACATAAGATTCTTTGTCTCGTCTAGGGTCAAACTTACTGAACAAACACACTCGACAAGATATTATTGGCTTTGTTGCGTTTAGCATAATCAATGTATTGTAACCAAAGTGACAAGTCATTTTTGAATTTGATGGTGGCTCGTCTAAATAAACCGTAGATTCTTCTTGCGCCTGAGTATTGTAAATCATCGCCTTTTAAACCATCCTTTAAGCCTATCAAATGTAAGCATGAAAAGAAGAGAGATAGAGAGAGAGAGGAATAGTTCACCTACCCATACGAGCCACTCTCTTTTGACGAAGTTCTTCCAAGTTCGTTTCATATTCAATAGCTCTCAAGAAATCAATCTTTTGTTTGATACGACGGTGTAGAGCATATTCAAAATTAGTTCGCTTTTTAATGATCGATTTGATCTCGGCCTATAGGTAACATTAGTCTTGCCAATTTCCCATGAAACCTACTCACAGAAGAAAAGACATGTTTTTTCTCAAGACCCTCGAGCTCAGGTATCATACGCTCGAGGTAGTATTGTACTGATTCAGCCATAGTCAATGAAGTATAGTGTGTATTGAAGAAAAAAAAAAGAAGAAAGGACACATCAAGTTTAAAAAAGACGTGTGACCATGTTTCTTTATTCAAGCCACTTCTTTATTATAATAAGCCGACACGTTTACCATAAAACAAACAACCTGTACAATAGACAGCCATACCACCGAGAATCCACCAGAAATAAACAGGATCTTGATATTCTTTGCCAGGCACTGCGACATTCATACCCCATAAACTACCAATCAGCGTTAAAGGAATAAAGACAGTAGCCAGGAATGTCAATCTGTTCATGACACTGTTTGTCATGTTGTATGTCTGTGTTAATTCGAGATTGACTTGAGCAAGATAATTCGTATGGGCTCGATGAAGAATACGATCATAGTGGTTAATGTTTTGAGCCATAGTCACAACATGATCTAGAAAAGTTAGTGAGGCAATGTCACTTGAGAAAGGAAGATTACCTTGAATATCCCCTAAATACAACAAGACATCTGAAAATGCCTTTTTGGTTTCCAACAGATCCCCTCCAGGGGAACCAGGTATAGCAAGATGATGATTGAGTGGCACAGATTGGTCTAACATGGCATATTCTTTTGATTTATCTTCGTACCGTTTCATCAGGCTCTTGATAACATCCAGTTTTGAACCCAAGAGACGTGTCAATTGAGTCGATTTTTTACGGCACCGGCTGATACGTTTCAACATGTCTGCCTGTTCAGATTCCTTGAGGACAAGCGAAAGTTCGTCAATCGAGACAGCTTCCATTTCTACTTGAAGGATAATAGGTGCAAAACTATCTGTCACTGAATCCACCAAGGCATAATTGATCCAGTCAGGCGTAATAGGCATGAACTCTTTGAGTTGATCGCATCGTTCTCTGACTCGGGCAATATGTTCTGATTTTTTGAAATGAAACTATAGATGTGTGACTAACAAGATGGATACTATGGCGCACTTACAGTCAAGAGGCCTTCTTTAAAGATCAAGGAATAGAAATTAAAGGGCCTGATTCTATCTGTTAAAGCGTCTACTTCAAATGCCCTAAAGCAAACAAACGTATAGTTGGGAAACAACTCTACTTTTTCACGAGGTTCCTGAGCTTGAATGTCTTCTGTTGTCAATGGATGAATATGAAATGTCTATTCAAACATAAGTCAATTTGCCTTGATGTTCTGCTCATACTAAACCTTGCTCAAGATTCTCATCTCGTCCAGCGAAGGACACAAGACATCTACCCACCAACCTTTGGACCGAACCACAGACTCAAGTGCCTTCCTGCCTTCTTCTGTCAATAATTCCTGTAGACTGGCTGAGACAATCGCATTCTTTTGAGCAGAGTAGATTCTAAACCGAATATCCAAAGGAGAATAACTATCGGCCAAGACAGAAGATGGACCATACAGTTGATTTTGTTTGCTCAGGGTTTTGGATAAAGGAACCGTGCCTACTGACATTTTACGAGTATGATGTTGCACCATACGATGGAATGCAGCAATATCGACATGATCGTCGACACTAGCTCTGTATCGAGGAAATAAGACATCGGTCTTGACATCTTCTTGATCATCGGCTGGATTGAACTGGTAATCTTCTTTAAAGAAGCTATGAAAACTGCCTGTACGTTGATGGTGTGGCAATGGGGTGTCTGCATTAGAATCTCGATAGGAAGTAAGGCCAGGATAATCATGATGCATTGAAAAGGATCCTGTGCCTCTTCGACGAATAGATGAAGAGCGATGAGACATGATATGAAGAGAGAGAGAGAGAGAGAGAGAGAGAGAGAGAGAGTTACATAAGAGAGAAAAAGAGAGGAATGGAAATTGACAAGGCTATTCGGACACAATTTAGGTGAAGAAGCACGGCATTTGATTTTTATATTTCAATGAAAACCGATAGTTATATGAGTCAACTTGAGATCAATGATTTAGCTTGAAATACGAGCATCCTTTCAAACCTAAGACGAAGAAAGGCTCTTGTAACTATGGCTTTGCTTTTTCTCTCGAAGAAGCTGCATTTTTTTTATGGCGGACTTTGAATAAGATTACTTTTTTCAAAAGTTATTTTTGTAAGGAATTTTTTTTAGTACGTTGGTCTGGTCACTCTTGGTGGTGCTATAATCCCTTGTGAAAGACTGTATCTCTTAGATACAAGCAATTGTGTCAAGTGTCAAGTAATTGAAGACAATTTGAAATGGTGTGCTTTACTTGTGATATTGGTATAGCCATCTGTAGCATTGAACAAGACAAGTTATAAAGAATACTGACTCCAAGGAGCAACCAACGAAACACTTAATATATCCTTTTTGGGACATTTTAATGGGTAGCCCAGATGACGGCTATTTTATTGGGACTATATAAGACTCATATAATTGTATTGAATGCTTTCACAAAAGCATTGTTTTCAAGATACAGTAAGAACGGTAAATTTTGTCACTTTGAGAAAATTGAATGTCTGTAACCAAAAAATAAATGTCATGAATAATGTCGAGATGTTTGTGCTTTTGAACATTCATTCAGCTGAAGCATTTGCATGAGAAAGCAGTGTCGATGATGTCTGATGTCCAGGCAGATCTAGGAGATCAGCGTCATTATGTCTTGTCATATCCGCAGAAGCCGAGTCATCGGTGGAATTCTCATTATCAGTGGCAACGAAGCAGTTAGAATTTAAAACAGAATCTGCCAGTACAGGCGTATTCGCAGACTCTTGCCAGTCATTAGTCTCTTGATTATCAGAATTCGAGGTAATAGAAGTGGTGTTATCATCAATTGATGGTGACGTCGAGCGATGTGTTGTATCATGGCTGGAAACGCGAACGGATGTCGAGCAATTGACATCAGGCAAGACTTGAATTTCTTGTTGAATAACTTTTTGCACGTATTCGGCACTGCTGAGATGTGCGTCAAGATCCGTCACCAATCGTGTTTTCTGTAACCAAAACTGTTTGCTTGCGAAGGAACTTTTCCATAAATTGAATTCCTTTGTCAGCCTATCGCAATCATCCGGTATATACTTGGATATAATGTTCTTATACCGCGAATAAGCGTAGTCCCTTCTGAACAAATCGAATTTCTCACAAAAAGCAGGAAAAGTGAGGGTGGCCTTATTTTCGATGCAATAGGTGATGTGTTGAGGATTGTTGACTTTCTGGTTCATTCCTACAGCCATTTGCTTTTTGTGGGCAGAATTCGCTATCACTTTTGTTGGCCGGTCGCTTTTGTGACATCAAGAACTTCGTCAAATTCAAATAAATGGTAAGAAAACAAGGTAACAAAGCAGGAAGTTGGAACACAATCGGCTGAGAAATGTATCTAAAAAGCAATAATGGGAAATTTTTTTCATTTTGTTTTCACAGTTGAGTAACAAAAGAGATGTTTGTGTTCAGTAAGCTGGTTTATGAATCATCTGAACGGCCATTCTACTGTTCCTTTGTCTTAAACGGTAGCATTGGGACGTTATTTTGTCCCTTTGGACTATAACATAAGCATTGGAATGGGTTTCCGATTGCCTCGCGTAAAAAAACCTTCACATCTAGACGGACAAACAAGCAATATCATCCTGTGTAGATGATTACCAGAGGAAGTCGAAAACATCATGAGCTGCGTATATATTTCGTACTAACCTTTTCACTCTTTATGATCTAGTAATTTGATTGTTGTAGGTGTTCAGCCATTCAATAAACAACATCGCTGGCTACGTAGTACTACTTTGACCAATATCAAATCGGATGCCAGTGGTGATAAAAGACCAGATGCAACCCTGACAAAACTTACCTAACTCTCGTATGGGCCAAGCCTGGGCTTTGGTGAAGCAAAAGTGGCACAGCCCACTACAAACAACAATGATCTATGCCATGATCTCCTGCACTTAGGAATCTTTTGCAAAGAAGCCATCAATACCCGCCATTGGGATGCATGTTTAGCTTTTCAAATTCACGGATTTACCATTGTCTTCTATTTGATGCGATTACGTCATGATGGCATCTACACCATGTATGAAATCGCAAAAGTATTATTCCCGCGTTCATTGGAAGAACTCTCATCATTTATATCCTTGAAAAATCTTCAATCTTTGGCTCAAGTATCCGAATCATTTTGGCGATTGTGCAAATCCGTACCTGCTTCGGAAATTGATGTAATGATTAGCAACTCTCGTCCTACACACCCATGTTTCTACAATCTCATTGATAGCAGCAAGAACAAAGGTAGAACTTGTGCCTTTCGTTTTGAGCATTAGTTTTTTTTTTCCAATCTTCTATGACTTATAATAAAAAAGGCTTATTGTTTTCTGGCTTTTACTTACCTGATTCTTCTGTACTGTTGGCTTTAATAAAAGCTGTTGCACAAGTTAATACTATTCAATTAGTTATATAACAATAAGCAGAACGCTAATTGTAATTAATTGATATAAACAAATAAAAGATGAAACATAAGAACGATCATCCGTTTGTAGTAATTACCTGTATGAGAGTAGCTAACTTGTATAGGAACTGAACAGGTTATTATTAGAAGAGACGTTACTTATGACATTTATATATAAAAGATTATTACGAGTGGTTCATGAAGTGGAAAGACTCAGATCTGGATTATACTAAGAACTGCGTCTTTATTGATGAGGCTGGATTTAACATCAATATGAGAAACAATTGGGCTAGGTCGGCTGTAGGAACATCTACCAAGTAGAGATTGAAGAGACTCGTTCTCCCTCCCACCCCATTATCGGTGCTATACACTGTAGTAGCGTTATCCATGTTGCTATGAAAAAACCACCACCTAAAAAGCAAAGAGGCCCAAAAACTCAAACATCGAAGACGGCAGGAGGCAAAGAGCAAAGAGCCTACCATAGAGTACGTTGATGTTGAGGAGAGGACCACTGTCGAAAACAACAAGCTAGGAGCAAAGGATACAATTACTACCCATTTTGTGAAATTTATGAATGAGCTTCTGGAATATCATGGACATGGATGAGAGTCATATGGGTAGTTATCTTGTAATGAATAATAACTGTACTATTCATAAGTCTCATCCAATGATAAGAAAAATTGAGAGTAGAGGTTATAGAGTAGTGTAGTTATTTCCTTACTTGCTAGAGCTAAACCCAATTGAACAGTTTTGGGCAATCTTGAAAGGAAAATTGAAACGCCACAAACTATTGAATGAAGAAAAAATGCCTGATAGAATTGCTGAGGCATGTAATGCCATACCTGCTGAAATTCTATACAACTTTGCCAGTCATTCTAAACGACAAATCATTCAATGTTATAATAAAGCTCCATTCTAAACGTTTTGAAGTCAAAAACACATATCATTTTTAGGTCAATTTGATTTAACTTATTGTGACATTTCTCTTATTTCAAAAGGACAAAATCTCTAGACATAAAGGAACAATCATTTTTGGCTTAGTGCCATTAATTTTTTTGGAAAGTGACATTTATTTTTTGGTTATGGACATTCAATTTTCTCAGTGACAAAATTTACCGTTCTTACTGTACTAATATATATCTTGGTCAATTGTTGCTTTATCTCGAGCTAAAGCAAAGAATTTGTCGAGGTATAATGAAAAAATGTCATTTTTTTAGGTATAAAAATGCTGTTTTATATACTGATTTAGAAAAGTATGTCGGAGGGCATCATTTCCCTTAAATAACATAGCATGCCTAAGGGGATATGTTAACTTTCCTTGGTTAATATTGCAATAACGAACCACTTTAAGAAAGGATGTGTTTATTATAATAAACGCTTAATATTAAAAGTCAAACAAATACTCATCACTAAAAACCCATAAAACACTAAAAACAAAGCAACCATACGTTTCCAATGATATCCGTCTTCAGAATGCATCTTGAAATAAAACAAACCAGGTAAAATAAACGAAATTGTCGTTGAACCTGTAGAACCCACAAACGACAACACAAGATCCAATTGAGAAATAGAAATGGCTACTAAATAGGTAGAAATCACAATACAGCTGGTCATGATCCAATAGCGTTTGTTGGAAATAACAGGTTGTTGAAGAGACTCCGATTTAAGCGTGTCGATAATCTTGTCAATCGAAGCTCGACAAGGATGTGTTTGGAGTGGATAACTAAAGATCACCAAGACCACAATAGCCAATCGACCAAAAGCAACAAAAGCAGTCTGAGGATCTAGTTCGGAATTAATCATCATGGCTTGTAAGATCACGTTACTTACATTCAAGAATAATATTGCCCAATACATGTTTACCAAAGCTTAGATAACCCAAAATAGCTACCAACTCATAGATAAAAGCAGCCGAACCAATAGAAGTGGAGATCACTTGAACAATTGACTTTTCATCATTCTTTTTCAACTCGTTATAGACAGAAAAAATCTAGTTTGGGGATACTCAGCATAAACTTATCTTTTCTTCTTCTTTATCTTCACTTACATTTTGATGACAGGTAAAAGCAAAGATAAAGACAGGCAATTGACCAAAGATTTTGGTGCTCCAGTGAAAATATTCAATCGCATCAGGTGGTGGTGGTGGATAGTTGGGCGAAACATAATGATAAACAACAATAGCCACTAAATAGGCCACAGCAAAGAGTGCAACTAAACTTGTGTATTTTAATGAATCCAGCTTTCTAAGCCAGCTCAATGGTCCAACAGCTGTAATTATACTCAACGAAATCCAGAATCGACGATCCATCAATAACTCAACATCTTTAGCACCATGAAAAAAAGACAACATGACCTAACTGACGTGTAAGACACTACCACATCATTTCCTTTTCATGTTACCTGAGGCATCAAGTCACCCAAAATAATGAGGTAACTGATGGCTACACCAAAGCATTTGATAGCAATGGCTGTATCGAAAAAAATGCCTAATTTGGGCCAAGTTAATTTGGATAGGGATGAAAATGATGCATTTCTGCCCCCTACTCTATCCGCACATCGTGCTAAGAAATAAAGACCAAGACTGGATGTACAGCCAGCATAAATAATGATGAATATGCCTGGAATCAATCCAACAGAAGCCAATGCAGCAGGCTATATTGAATGGTAAACAATCACTCGCAACATGAATTGTTACTTACCATGGCCAGCATGCCTGTGCCTAAAATAGTATTCGAAAGATTAATAGAAGCACTGGTTTTCGTAGCACTGGGTTCTTCAAAACAAACACTGTTGTTATAAATAGACGAGTCCTCTGTTTCATTGGTTAACAAGGGCCGACGTTCATCTAGAGCAGAACCCATTGTTGAAAAGGCAGAGGAAGATATAGAAGAAGCTGTAGTATCATTCTCTATGAAGGACGAATAATTTTTCATTTTAAGAGAAAAAGTAAAGAAAGCAAAAATAGCAATTGTTGCTCTTTTTATAAACGTTTTTTATTGCCCGATCCTATTTATTTCACTCTTAAAACGGCTCTTACGTTCATAAGGAAAGCAAGAAGCGCTTCTTTAAACTCAGGTACATTTCTATTTGGTTCAGCTGGAGTTGCTTGGTCTAATTTTTGAAAAGCAATTAATAAACGTTGTTGAATTTCATTTGATTGCTGTCCAATAATTTGATTTGCCAATGCCATATACACATTCTAGATTCATTAGTGAGATGATTTATACCTTTGACTTACTCTTTGAACACAAATGAGGGCAAGTAAAGCATCAGAAGCAGCCTCCACTGTGTTTGTATCCAAATGTTGGAAAAGTAAACAATTCAGCAATTCTTGCAGGAATTTCTGTAAATTTTCTTTGATGAATTCTTGTTGCTGATGCTGATAGACCCAAATAGTCAATGGTGTGATAGCGCGCAAAGTCAAGATATTGACATCAGGAATATCATGTCGAATACCGTATTCTAAACTGGCCATTAGATTATTGAAAAGGGGAGTAGGAAGACCTGATAGCTTTTCTGGAAAGATTTCAATCAGGTGTGATATCAATTGAATATATTGCTGGCATAGACTAGGAATCTAATCAACTGATAAGCTTATTTGTACTCCTTAGTTTTTTCTTTACCTTTAACATTTCCATATCAATCAAAGGAATCACAATATTAGTACTAAACAAGACAACATCAGCAACATTCGAACGGTCGTTTTGTTTGCGGTTAAAGTCTTCATTTCCAGAAGCCATGATGTTGGACAACATCACCAAGACAGTTGAAATGTCAGCATAAGGCCTATCTTCTTCTTCTTCTTGTGTATGCATTCTTTTCTTGCCTTGATTAGCAGCACCAAATACCTTGACAATCTCAATAATCGTGTGGAACAACAGTTGTTTGTCTTCAGAACTTAATGACCCAAAGTCTAAACGATTACACAAGTCTGCAAACAACTGCAAGATAGCCAATTGAACTTCAGGTACCGTCTTGTATAGTGTCATGAGTTGCACAAAACTCTCAAGGAATCTAGAGCAGAACTGAAAAATAGTTTGTGTGTTGCTGTATTGACAAGCAAGAGCTAGACCATCAAACATTTCGAGTGCGTTGATGACATGGTTGATCATTTCGCCTCGTTGGTATACTTGTTGAAAATCAGGGCGATGAAGCAAAAGACCTAGACGATCTTCAATCATGTTGAACATCAAGCCGAAATAATTATTGCGTGTTGTATCATCAGGAGCAAAGCTTGAAATAGTAGCAATTGTTTGGACAAGAGAACTAAACAAAAAAGTAAGTACGCATACAAGACAAACATTACTTTACTTGTGAACTACTTCAGGTAATTGTTCTAGGTTTTGTGTGACAAACTGAACAAGTTCAGGGAAATGGGCTAAATATGAAAATTAGTTTTTGACTAGTTGCATGTCGTTCTTTTTTTTTTTTATGTACCTGATTGTAATAAGCCTTGCTTTAAATTATTACATGTACCGCATGAATGAAGCCATTTTACAAGCTAACAAGGAAACATAAATACATGTTTAACTATATAAAGACTTACTTGATTTAATACATCAGGATCAGCATTCCAAAGAATAAAATTGGTCTTCATTTGATCAATAAAGAAGCCAATGACAAGCAAACCTTGACCATCAGAAGGTCCTGGTCTGCCAAAAACCTTTGCAATATGAGGACTCATATATCCATACTCATTTTCATCCACCAAGACATAAGACTTGCTCCACCTTTCCATATACCAAATCAATGTTTCTGCTACACGAGGACTGCAGTTGGATGCTTCCACTGTGTTTGAACCAAAGCTTGAACTGAATCGAAATAATTCTAAAAAGAGCTGTGATAGATTGACAACAGGATCTTGCTCAAGAGAAGGCTGAGAGCCAGAAAGTTGCATTAAAATATCAGGAATCATGGGTTGTTCTCCTTTACCGGAATCTGCCAAGATGTGAGCTGCAATCAAAATAATCCAGTGAAGCTGTTCATGCAACAACACAAGTCCATCTTGTGACTGACCATTAAAGAATCCCTTGAATGACTCAAAGCGTTCAGCAAGTAATTGGTGAAGACGTACAAGACAAGGTTGAGGGTTTAGTCGGCCTAGTGTACCAATACAGGTCAACTGGTCTGCAAATGTATCCCAGTCTTTAAATCCTGCATCAATCTCGTCCTCTTCTTCGTCTTCTTCTTCCAGTACTTGTTTGGCTCGTTCAAGGCGTGTTGTCATGTAAGTCTCTACAATTTGATAAGCGACAGTTGTCATATATTGAGTCAAGTGTTGTGCTTGGTCAGGCAAAAGTCCTGTTTTAGGATCATTGCCTCGAGGGTCAGAAGGTTGAACAATATCCGCTATATATCACAGTTAGTATCTGAAATACACTCTTTTTTTTAACTTGCCTAATTTGACCCAAGTCTGAAGTGATTCATCACATGCTTCACTAATCCAGCCTTCATCTACATCTGTTACAGTCCCACCTAAGCAACTGACAGTGATCATGCCTACTTCATTCAAGAATTGGAAAAAATCAGGAATAGTACAAAGAATGACAAGAGAAACATTTTCCAAGAGTCGACGAATCATTTGTATAGTGCCGAGCATTTGTGGTCCCTGTTCACTGAGTGCATCAGGACTTGTCCCAAAGGCTGTAATGTCTGCAATCATTTTACGAATACCATGAATCAGGGTAGTTGCATAAGATTTGATGAGTTCTGAATTGTTGTTGAAGAAATCTTGTTGAAATCCTGCAAGTTGGATCAAACATTGTCTACAACGATGTCCTAAAGCATCTTCGTCTTGAACAAGGCTATAAGTCTGAAGAAAAAAAAATAAGTCTTTTCTGTGAAGGCCTCTTAGCATGCATACCATAAAGAATAGCCACAAGACTTCACTGTTACCAACCACAGGTTGCCATTGCTTTGGGAAGATCACATAGGTCTTTTTGACAGAAGAAGGGCCATCTTCACGATCAAAGTCATCCAAATCTACCTCTTTTGCAAATGTGCCTGGTAAAGTAGGTGTCAAGCTCGTACTTACAAATTCCCAATGCAAAATCTTTTCCAACAACATAATCATTTCTGTTAAAACAGCAGGAATATCAGTAGGCAATTGTTGACAGTTGGACACAAATCCATGAAGTTTAGTGATCGCTTGTTCAAACAAAGGCAATAAGATATTGTTTTCAAAAAATATTTTACAGTTGTGATGGTGCTCCCAAGTCAATCCAATAGTCGTTGATTTAGTGTTTGAAAACTGATCTACAAGTGCATTGGCGAGTGATAGCCCAAGTACTTGCTATTTTTGAATAAGTTCAAATGGATAGTCAGTTTACTTACAGAATGATCATTGTCCATTTGCAACAATTGACTGATGTGATGTAAAATAGATTCTCTGTCTTGATTTGATACATCAAACAAGCTACGTTTTGTAATCAAAGCAGCAGCCAAGACAAGTTGTACACGGACAAACTTGGTCAAACTGATAGGATAAGTTATAACATTTATCTTTTCTTTTTTTTTTTTTACTTACTCTTCTCTTTGAAGACAAAATTCCATTAAGAAATTTCTAAGCAAAAGTAATTCATTCTTGTCATAAAGCGTATAGTCTCGTACAATAACTTCGCTTGTGGCCAAAGCGACTTGAAATTGAACCATCGAATTAGAAGCATGCTCTATAGTGAGAAGTTAGGAAATGATGTGCATAAAAAAAATTTTGTCATTTCTTACCTAAAATGTATTGACAGATAGGCAAAACTTTAGGTATTTGACGGAACTGAGTCAGGACTTGTTCTGCAGGTGCTCTTGTAGCAGGAATCTACTTTATGTTAGATCAGTTTTTACAAGTAACTAGTAAAATACCTGAAAGTCAGAACAAGCCTCTTCAAATTGTTTGAGTATAATTGCGTTTTGAGGATCTTGAGCTCCCTCCATAGTAAACGTCTAAAAAACAACAAAAGGAAAAGAGCAAGAGCTTTTTTTCGACGTTTTTTTTTTTCTTTTAGGCCAGAATGTGACTTGAGTTTTCTTGTACCTTTTTTTTTTAGCTTGGTCTGCATAACATTTACTAGACTGAATACAGCTAAACATGAACCAGCTATTTAAACGAGAGAGAAGACAAATTTGTAATCTTCAAGGTTGATACAAATCAATTATCAGCTTCATTATCTTTACTTCTTAGGCGGTTTACTTTTGATATATCATTCTGCATAAAGTAACAAGGCTCCATTGATTTTTGACAGTCAAGCAGAATCCAATCAATTAGATTTTGTCGTAAGGCAATTCTATATGCTCATCAAAGCGAAGGGACTGCCAGCAAGAAGAGATTTTACGAAGCAATGATATGAGACTAACCTTACTCAACCATCACTTAATAGAATTACATGCTAGTACACCAAATCAACACATGTCTCTTAACTCATCCATAACAAGGTGTGTTTTCATCACCATTAGATAACAAACTTGATAGAAAAATTGCTTGGTTGGGGCACTAATGGACAATTCTTTCAAGTATTTCTTTAGTAACACTTGCTGAATGGTCAGGAGCAGAAATTAGGAACAAAGATAAAAAAAAAGACTTTTCGTTTATCGAGTCTTACTCCTGCAAAAGTTTATACTCGACTTATCCGAGTATCTAAAAACCTGAGGATAGTACTATATTGTCTTTAAATTTAATCTGTATTACTTTGCACCGACACTGACTTTTAGTTTAAATATTAGTACTAACTGTCAATGTTTCTCGTGAACCTAGTGCATGCATAATTTTGCTGATAAGGTACAGAAGAAAAAAAGGCACTTGTTTTATCTGTACCATGTTTGAGTAATATACGTTTTTTGATTGGTATCAATATGTGTTCCCTAATACCGCAATGATAAAAACGACCTGCTCTTGCATGAATTTGCTTTGATCTTAATGAAGCATTGTATTTAATTCGACTTTTTCTGAAGGAATTTTCATTAGTATATGTCTCGTGTTAGCGGGTACCTATAAGTAAATGTCTGTCCTTCTATGATAAAGTGAAGTTTTAAATGTCCCACTTAAGTAAAATTGTTATTTTTGTTGTCCTTCATTGATAGAACAATGTGTAACTCTACACGAAAATGTATAAGATAGGAAAAAAAACCAAAAAGAGAAGTTTTTTTAGAAAGAAAAAGTATTTACCAAATATACATGTCTGTCAATATTTATAGAAGATAAGCAAGTCTATTTATCTACTGAACTTGCAAAGAAAAAAAGTCTGTTTCTTTCCAAATTCTGAATGGATTCCTTTGATCTTTTTTTTCTGCAATGTTTGCCTTTCAACCAAACATATTGGTTTCAAATTAATCCTGGGTTGAGTTGGATTTCTTATAGACTACAACTGCTTCAGATCGCAACACTTTTTAAGACAAACAACCGACTGAAACTATCTTATAAAGCCCGCTCCAAATATCAATGGCATATAAAGGGCTTTGATTGAGACAACACTTGCTTCTTCATTCTCCAATCAATAATGAAAATTTCAACTGCCATTGTAGCTACTCTCATTACATTAAACTCATTTGCTCAAGATAAGCCAAACACTACTGATACTTATGACTATGTTATTGTGGGTGGTGGTGTAGCTGGTGATGCATCATATAAAAAATAATTTTGCAACTCATTGGTTATGGTCTATTTATAAGATTGACCCTGGCTAGCCGTCTTTCCGAAAATAAGCAAATTACTGTTGCCGTACTAGAATCTGGATCCAATGCTGATGATCAGTTTGTGATTCGCGCTCCTGGAATGTAAAGCAATCCATCTGATTGAATTTGAATTGACTGAACATATTAGGTATGATCAAGATGTTGGCTCACCTCTTTGTCCTGTTATGCCCACCGTCCCTCAAGAAGGCATGAACAATAGACAATTGACGCTTGGTACAGGCAGACTCTTGGGTGATGGTAGTGCTGTCAATGGATTAGTCTGGGTAAGACTATACACGATGATTTTTTTTTATCTTTCTTAACCTTGCTTTTCTAGGCACGTGGTGGTTTGAAAGATTATGGTGCCTGGGAAGAACTCGGTAATCCCAGATGTAACGGGAAGGAAATGTTCAAATACTTTAAGAAGGCTGAAAACTACACGCCTCCTTCTCTTGCTCAAATCGAAATTGGCGCTACTGCTTTAAAGAGTGTCCATGGTGTAGGAGGTCCTATTAACGTCTCCTTCAGTACTTATAAATACGATCAAACACGCTACTGGAACGCCTCTCTTAAAGCTGTGGGACTTGACTCTGTTCCCGATATCTTGAACGGTTCGCTTCATGGTTATTCTACTGTCCTGAGTATTTTGAATCCCAAGACAGCTCGTCGTGCTGATGCTTATACTGACTACATTGCCCCTAATGTTGAGCGCAAGAACCTCTTTGTCTTGGCTAATCATACTGTCTCCCGCGTTGAGTTTAATGCACAAAAGGCTGGTGGCTTGTTGGCTACGAGTGTTGAATGGTATCCTATTGGTGACAAGACGAGGAAACAAATTGTGAAGGCACATGAAGAAGTTGTTCTCTCTGCTGGCGCTCTTGGTAGTCCCAAACTTCTTGAACTTCCTGGTATCGGTGACAAGAATATTCTTGCTTCTGCTGGTGTCAAGTCGCTACTCGATTTGCCCAGTGTTCGTACTAATATGCAAGATCATGTCCACGCAGTGGCTGTTTCTACAACTAATATCGCTGGTTACACTTCCGACAGCATCTTTGCCAATACAACACTTGCTAAGCAAATGAGAGAAGAATATGATACAAAGAAAACAGGTATCTATGCTGCCACGCTGAACAACTTGGGTTATCCTAGCCCTAGCCTCCTCTTTAAAGATACTGCTGCTGTGTCTGGTAAGGCATTTGCTGCCAAGATTCGTGCTTCTATGTCTCAATATGCTAAATACTATGTCTCTACCAACTCTACTAATGTCCAATTGATCAAGAAGCAATACGAAATTGTTGCCAGTCGTTATGAAGAAAACTATATGTCTCCTGTTGAAATCAAGCTCACACCTGGTTATAGTGGTACTGGTAAGGCCGATACCAAGAATTTGAAATACCAAACTGTCAACCATGTCTTGATTGCTCCTTTGAGTCGTGGTCATACCCATATCGGTTCTTCTGATGTAGAAGATCCTGTCACCATTAACCCACAATACTATTCTTATCCTCTTGACGTTGAAGTTCATGTTGCTTCACTTAAGCTTGCTCGTAAGATTCTTGATGCTCCTAACGGTCTTGGTCAATGGAACACAGGCGAAACCGAACCTGGAAAGCAGGTGTCTAGCGATGAAGATATGAAAAAATGGTTATCTAACAATGTTCGTTCTGACTGGAATCCTGTTGGTACTTGTGCTATGCTTCCCAAAGAACTAGGTGGTGTGGTTGATTCTAAACTCAGGATTTATGGTACTGCCAATTTAAGAGTTGTTGACACTTCTATCATTCCTCTTGAAATCCCTTCTCATTTAATGCAACCTGTCTATGGTGTCGCAGAAAAGGCTGCTGATATCATCAAAAATGCCGGAAGCTCTAAGTCTTACCATTAGATTATTTTACATGTCATTAGATCAATATTTTTTTTTATTTCAGAAATTGTCTATGAAATTCATGAAAAAGAAACGCTCTATGTGCATATGATGAGGAAACCAACTACTCTATTGACGATGATTCAAATGCATAGAAGGAAATGGCAGAATAAAATTGGTTTGACAAGCCACCATATTCAAAATTTAAATTCCCTGCATATTTTTTAGAGCTTCTGTTTCTTTTTTTTTCTTTATGGTCAAAGTAACTTCAGAATATATTTCCATCGGTTGTAACCGTTCAGCTCATGCAGCTTGTTGGGGAAATAACGGCCTTGTTGCTTTTGGTGCTGACGCTTTGATCGCTTTGTATTCACCTTTGGTAAAATAAACAAGGATAAATAAACGTATGCTTACCTATAACAGAATGAACACAGTAAAGGTGTAAAAGAAACAATTCCCGGTCATAAAGGTCGTGTTATTTGTCTCAAGTTCATTGAAAGAGGTAAGCGTTCCTTTTTTCTCTGAATACAGATGTTGACTCGAGATATGTGTAGGCAATAAGACAGACATCAATGATATTGCTTTAGTATCAGGTTCTGCAGATTGTACAGCAAAGATTTGGAAGACAGATGCTACTGGCAAGGTAGATAGTAGATTAGAAAAAAAAAAGACAAGCTTAAAACAATTATATAGTGGATCAATTCAGCAACACTTGAGGGACATACAGGTTCTATTGAAACCATTGCTTGTATGCGAGCACAATCCATTGATACAGAGCAAGATTTGATTGTCACTGGTTCTTCTGATGGCACCATTCGTATTTGGAAACGTAGCATTGTGGATGAAAACACAGGTAAGTTACTCCGCCAGACGTGTTGCATAAATTTACACATATATGTAGATCAAGTCACCTGTGTTCAAACCATCAGTAATGGTAACAAATACCCAATGTCTTTGGCACTTTCTTATCTTCCTGAAAGCAAGAGTAAGTAAGCGTATGTGTGTATGTGTACATTGACTTGGCAATAGCTCCCATTTTGGCCAGCGGACATACCGATAAACTGATTTCGATCTATGCTCAACAATCAGGCAAATTTGAAAAAATGCACGTCTTGCAAGGCCACGACAATTGGGTGCGCGATCTTGCTTTTGCAACTTACACTGCAACAGAGAATGACGGCAACAACCAATTCTTCCAAGAAGGCGATTTAATGTTGGCAAGTGCAAGTCAAGATAAATATATTCGTCTCTGGAAAATTTCAGCACATATTCCTGCTACAGCAAAGCCTTCTTCTGTTGAATCACCACAAGCAGATGAAAACGACTTGTCTGAAGCATTAAAAAAAGTGAATTGTAAGTATTGATTATGGAACAATGGAGGTTCTAATATGTGGGTCTAGATCAGACGAACAATTGAGTACCAAAGCTCATTTGATTACAGTCGACAATCGCCCATATTCTCTTATGTTTGAAGCCTTGTTGATGGGACATGATGATTGGGTATTCAGTGTTGAATGGCAACGGCCTTTCTTGCAAGGAGATCGCTTGGTTCAACCTCTACGTCTTATTTCAGCCTCTATTGATAAATCCATGATGATTTGGAGCCCTGATGCAGACACAGGTGTCTGGGTCAATGAGAGTAGAATGGGTGATATTGGTGGTTCTACTTACCTCGGTTTTTGTGGTGCATTGTTTAGTCCTGATGGTAAGAGCATTATCTCTCATGGTGCCAATGGTTCTTTTCATCTCTGGAAAGAACAGACAGAAGGACATTGGGCACCTGAAGTAGCCATCAGTGGTCATTTCAAGTCTGTAGAAAGCATCGCTTGGGATCCTCATTCTCGTTTCTTGCTTTCAGCTAGTTTAGATCAAACAACCCGCTTATTTGCTCCTTGGAATCGACAACAAATCACAACTTGGCATGAAATGGGTCGTCCTCAAGTCCATGGCTATGATATCAAATGTATAGCTTTTGTGCATGACTGGCAATTTGTGTCTGGTGCTGATGAGAAAGTGTTGCGTGTGTTCGATGCTCCTCGGTCTTGTGTAGAGAGTCTGGCTGCCTTGACAGGCAATGAAGCCATCTTGGTAGGCATTGAGAACAGACCTGTGGGCGCTAATTTACCCGCTCTTGGTCTTTCTAACAAGGCTGTGTTTGAGGGTGATACTGTTTCCCAAGAACAACATCAAGAAGTAGGCAGTCATTCTGCTACGGCTGCTTCTGCTGAAACTTTGGCTCAAGTCATGCAACACCCTCCTTATGAAGAACAATTGTTACAACATACTTTATGGCCTGAAGTAGAAAAGCTCTATGGTCATTCTTACGAATTGATGGCTGTACACACAACACATAATGGTCAATACATTGCCTCTGCCTGTAAGGCTGCCAATCAAGAATATGCTGTGGTGCGCTTATTTGACACAAAGCATTGGAAGGAAGTGCCTACCAAGATTGATGCTCATGCCTTAACTGTCACACGCGTCCAATTCTCTCACAATGACCGTTGGTTACTAACAGTGTCTAGAGATCGTCTTTGGAGTATCTCTGAACGTACTCAAGACCCTGAAACACCTTATCGCTTAGTAGCTAAATCAAAAGCCCATGCACGTATCATTTGGGATTGTTCTTGGAGTCATGATGACAAGCTATTTGTTACTGGTTCTCGTGATAAGACACTTAAGGTCTGGACAAGTGAAAATTGGGAATGTGTGGCTACTATTAAATGTGAAGAAGCTATCACAGCCGTTGACTTTGCTCCTATTGCAGTGAATGGAAGGCAAGTAATCAAATAGATACTCCAAGTGCTAACTTTTATTTGTTTAGATATGTCATTGCAGTAGGATTAGAAAATGGTCAAATACAATTAATAACTAATCTAGAACAAGTAAATCAATGGGAAACATGGCAAACATTAGATAGAAGGTAAGAAAGCAGACTTAAAGAAGAGGGTATATATATATATATATATATAATACAAAATGATAGATTGTGTCATTATGGTGTTGTTCGTTCGCTTTCATGGCGTGGTATTGTTGAAAACAATGTGCTACAGTTGGCTTCTGGAGGAGAAGATCATGCTGTTAGAATTTTAAATGTAGAATATTAATCCACAGATTCAAGCACTTTTTTGACGTGTTTATAAAGTTGAAGGCGTTCTGAAATAGCTGATTCAATTGTACTGTCAATAGCTGTCTCTTTACTCCAACGTTCAATAAAGTCTTGTGTTTGATGATAGTTGGATAAAAGTGTCCTTTTATAGCAGTACTCTTTGTTGTACATGTAAGCCAGATTTGCTATCCATTCATGCACTTGTGTGGGAGACACAGCTGTGATCTGTATCATTGACTGTGTTGAGAGTGGTATAGTCTTATTGACTGTGGTCAATGATTTAGTAAGGTGTCGTATAGCTTCAGCTTCAAGCTGTAAGCAGTCATTCCTGACTTTTTCAAACAATGTCATGACTTCATGCAACTGTCTGATGGTCTTCTCAATTGACTCTGTTTGTTTAAATACAAGACGCGCTTGATCTACATGATGTTGATCAAGAACAGAAGGTTGCTCAAGTGCAGCAGAACGTTGAGAAATGACATTGTTGATCGATTGAAGTAATCCAATGGAAGTATTAAGTATGCGTCTCCATGTAACACACACTCCTTGTGCTTTGGTAAGGATTGCAAAAGAGACATTGCGTTCCTGTATCTGTTGCTGTTGCATGTCAAACAAAAAAAGAACAAAAAAAAAAATTGTCAGACTAAATAAAAAGCCCGGATCGAAATACCCTATTTTTGACCAATCATTTCTATTATAATCTAGTTCCCGATGGCCCACTGTGTGGAGTTTATCCCAGCTCAGTATGGTTTGTTACAAACTTCCTCTTCTCCTCCCTTCACCTAATTAAGGGTATGTATATCCATCCATTCAATTACGCCATATGATGCATCTAGCTTTGATCAACACAATAATGGATGAAACAAAGGACGATAGATGAGATTGTCAAAGTTGGATGAACATATGGATCGACATTGAAAGAGACAACAGATGAACTGTGATTAACAATCATTAAATAGATTTGATTTAAGATGGGTCGCGTTATTCGTGCTCAAAGAAAAGGTGCCGGAAGTATCTTCAAGTCTCACACCGTTGGCCGTAAGGGCGCTGCTCAACTTCGTGTTTTCGACTTTGCTGAACGTCACGGTTACATTCGTGGTATTGTTAAGGAAATCGTTCACGATCCCGGAAGAGGTGCTCCTCTTGCCAAGGTTGTCTTCCGTGACCCCTACAAGTGAGTTAAATAGAGAGACAGAAAAAAAAGAAGACATACTTATGCAACCCTAAATAGGTACAAGCTCCGTACCGAAACCTTCATTGCCACTGAAGGTATGTACACTGGTCAATTCGTCTATGCCGGTAAGAAGGCTTCCTTGAACATTGGTAACGTCTTGCCTTTGGCCTCCATGCCCGAAGGTACTGTTATCTGTAACGTCGAAGAAAAGGTTGGTGACCGTGGTGCTATTGCCCGTACCTCTGGTAACTATGCCACCATCATTGGTCACGGTGAAGATGGTAAGACCCGTATTCGTTTGCCCTCTGGTTCCAAGAAGGTCATTCCCTCTACCTCTCGTGCCGTTGTCGGTATCGTTGCTGGTGGTGGTCGTATTGACAAGCCCCTCTTGAAGGCCGGTCGTGCTTACCACAAGTTCCGTGTTAAGCGTAACAGCTGGCCCAAGACTCGTGGTGTTGCCATGAACCCCGTTGATCACCCTCACGGTGGTGGTAACCATCAACACATTGGTAAGGCCTCTACCATGGCCCGTGACTCTCCTGCCGGTCAAAAGGTTGGTTTGATTGCTGCTCGTCGTACTGGTCTCCTCCGTGGTACCAAGAAGATCAAGGATGCTTAAATCATCAATCAATAAAAAAAACTACATACATTTTGTTTTGATTTCATCTACTTCATTTTCACATGCATAAACAAACACAAAAAGTTTAAATGAATTAAGGATATTTCCCTGCTTACGGCTTATTATTGTGATTTACGCTGGAAACAAACATAATTTGATATATAAAATAAGAAACTGCCTCTATGGTCTTCTTTAACTTTCTTTATCATGCCAATTCCAAAGATCTTGACGCCTATGCTATCTTCACCTGGATACGATCAACAAAAAGGTCACGAATTAAATGGACCTCTTTTGTCACCTACCATTCCCCCCAGTCCTATTCAACAAATGCCTTACAATGCCATTCGTCTCGAGATGCATAATTCTTCTGAAGAAACAATTGAATCTTTTGAAGAAACTGCCATGATTACGCATGAAGAACCAGCTGCTTTTGAGTCTTGTCAGAACGATGTCTTACTTGAAGCTGGTCAAATAGAATCAAATTCAATTTTGTCTGTTCGTGAGCAAGAAAGCACTGAGCCATTAGAGATAGATACAGAGCCCATCTTTTCAACCGAAATGGAAGTTGTCGAACTACACGAAGAGCAAGCCCAGGATGAAGTGATTGAACAAGAAGAAGAGAAACATGATAATGAAGACGAAGAAATACAACAAGAGCCTGTTATAGAAGAAGTGGAGCAGAAGCCTATGGAAGAAGTAGAACAAGAAATTAAGGAAGCATACACACCAGAGAATAAAGAGGAAGAACAAGAGTTCAAGTCCCCAGTTCAAGCTAATAGTGATAGTGATGTTTATTCAGATTATGAAATGAAGTCGACATTTAAAAAAACAACTCGAAGTGATAGTTTCAAGGAAAAATGCAAAAGATTACTTCAAAAGATTCGCCAAAAAAAATTAAACAAGGTAAATCCGTCTATTGATTTGACAAACTAATGCCATGAGTAGAAGAGCCATTCACATCAAATGAGCCCTGATAATAAAGCGCAATTTGCTTTTAATGATACTTATTGTAAGCCTATTCAAGTATAAAATGCACACCTCATTTTTCTTTTTCTGTTTTAGTATCCAGATCCATTTCCACTGTTACAATTGCTGGCAAAGATAGTGAAAATGATGAAGAAGATGAACATACATCAGCACCTATTTATCGTCGTAATATCTCAGACTGTATACTTTACAACCAGACAAAGACAGAGCCCAAGACAGGTGTGCTCTATATCTCGCCCAAGATAGGATCTGGTGCTGCTTATGATATCAAATTACTTTGTGAACAAAGCTTCTTTGGTCATGCTTAGTTCATTCCTCCGAGGATCTTTTTTTAATCTAATATTTATATTTTTATAATTCAAATAAACAATCAAGTAAAACATTGTTCAGAAAAAAAACAAAGAAAAGAGATTTATATACAAAAAGAAAGAAAGGGTAATAAACAACCTTAAACTGAATGCATTTGTTGTTCAGGTCCAGTAAAATAAGCCATTAAGGCCTTTTTGAGTTCACCAAAATAAGCTGTGGATGGACTCTGATCATTTTTTATGTGACTGTCTGGACCAGGATCTTCTGTTATTGTGCTTGCTTCTGATCCTGAAAGACTACTTGTTGTTGCTGTGCTTGTATCTGAGGGTAACATGCTTGTCCAGAAATTATAGCTGCTGTCTTCTGTCTGATTGTTTATTTGGCCAAAAGTCTCAGCCTTTTGTACACGCTGCATAAGTACGTTAAGCGTCACTCGCAAATTGTTCTGTGCTCTTTGTCTGATGTGTGGATTTTTTGCTTTTTTCAGCATTGCCATAGCATCACTTGCAATCAAGAGCCAATGAAGTTCAACACTGCATGGTAAACGACAATACAAAATATGAAAGATCTTTGCAATAGCATCACAACATACCGACACAATCAACAGTGCTCGATCTCCATCAAAGCGTTCCATGTTGGCACCGAGCAAATCAGTGGCTCCTGGTGCTTTCATCAGGCGCGTTTCCAAAGCTAACCAATAAGCATAATAAAGTTGATTCAGGTAAATAGCATATTTGTTCTCGCATTGTTGAATTCGATCTGACTGAAGATATTCAAGTGGTGAATCTGATAAACGAAATTCAACTGGTAAACTCTTCCAAAAACTGATAAGTTGATTTTCAAGGTGCTCAATATCGCTGACAAGTACTGATTCTCGAGTACCAGCGAATAACTGCCATTTGAGCTCATTAGCTTGGACTGACATTTGTGAATTGTGGAGTCGAACAACATGATAGAACACAAGCACAGCGTCTTTGATATCCTTATTGTCGATTTCATTGGCCAACAAAGTAGGTGATCCTATACCATTTTCGTACAAGATGGAAGAAAAGTCACAAAGACCATCGTAACTCATGTACAAATAGACTTCAAGGTAACGGACTGTGTAATACATTCGCCGCCATGACTCAGCTTCAGCAATTTGAGGTGTTACGGGTGTCTGGGGAGTAATGTCTCGAACGATATCAATGTACTTGTCTTTGAGTTGACATACCATACGCCAAGCCATATTTGTGTATAATCTTGCTTCTGAATTGAGTAACATGATCATGGAGCTCTGAGCCAAGAGCATTAACGTTCCTGCCATTAAGAGATTAGGCTCTTCTTCAAATAGGACTTCATGGAGTTTTTCTTTGGCTTCTTGTCGAAATGATTCAGCCAATCCTTGGCGTGTGAGTGGAGGAGGTATCACCATGACATGACGGCATTGAGAATAAGCAATAAAAGCAGCCATGCCAGAAGCCACCATGGACGAGGGCTGTGATTCAAAATAAGGTAGGTAATACGGTTGGCAAAAAAGCGGACTTAATAGACCATGACACTGGAAGTATGACCTGATTAATTGCTTTTTAATATACACTCGTGTTAGGTAGTCGCAATTGTTGTGTTCTATCAACAGTGGTGCTGTTTCTTTTTTGTTTTTGAAAAAGCTGTGGAGCACGTACTCGATCTTGAGCATCCGGTTTGTCACAATCAGCTGTCTGTGAGAACGATCCGAGAAATAATTAGGTGTCCGTTGAGGAAAGGATGTGGCTGTAAAAAAAGGTAAGGACTGCGATAAAAAGGCAGCAACATCAGATACATTTCTGATAGATGTCTGAAACGACATGCCTTCGGGTCCGTGAGTGATTGTTAGTCTCCAATTAGGGTCTGGTTCATATCGCGTACGTTTTGTGCGTGTGGAATGGACACAACGGGCTGGATCTGTGCATTCACAAGATAAAGTGCTGGTACTACTGTAACTAAAATTATCGCTGCTATCATAAATATAATCATTATTATTACTATCAAATTGAATAGCATTTGGGCCTTGTAGAAGAGGAGGTGAGTGAGACGATGATAGTTGTTGTGTAGGCTTTTGAGTTGATTCTAGGTGTAGTTTGACATTGTATGATTTTAGCTGTTGTTCCATCATAGCCATTTCTTGTTCCATAAGTCGAACTTGCTCTAACATTCTATTCTTCTTGGAAATAGGCACTACTTTCTTAAGTACAGTAGGTTTGGCTGTAAATTTGAATACACATGCCAGCTTCATTTTGGCACATCTTTCACACTGATTTCCTTGAACCATTTTACATTTTCTTCGGTGAGCACGGCAGTTTTCGCCTAAACAGAATAAGCATTTGGATAGACAACAATGACAAGTACTTACATGGCTTATTTCTTTTCTGTTTGTTATTTTCATCAAGGATAGAAGACATATTTGCATATACTCATGTTCTATTTTTTCTGAGAAAAAGGGAATAAAAGAGAAGAAAAAAAGGAATTTTTGTAAAAGGAGACAGATACAAAGAGAGAAATCAGGAAAAAAAAAAAAGGAAACGGATAAATTGCGCCCGTTTGTTAAATTAAGGTTATTGGATGTATTTTATTTTTAAAAGGAAAAGCAACAGCATTTTCTTATACTCTTGACCAATGTTTCTCCTTAGTGCAGTAGTAGGAGACAGAAAAAAAGTGTATCTTGATCAAAATTAAGGGTTTATTCGACATGTGTGTCTCTATTTCAAAAAGACTAGCAGCATGAGAAAACCTTTTTTTTTTTTTTTTTTATCAAATAGTTAAAAAAAAAAACACCGATTTTTTTTTTTTCTATCAATGCGTCACAGAACATTGATTAATATTCCTTTTCTATTTCCGAAAGAGATATGATGTTATGCTATATACTTTCCCTTGATAAGCTTATATAGTACAAATTTCAAGAAAAGCTTTTTCGAAAAAAAAAAAAAGGCATCGAATTTTCTCAATTACTTCAAAAGGTGGCCATGACATCATGTTATGGTTTGATTGTTTCGTTTTGTTCTTTCTGCCATTCGGGCCCAAATGATTTTTATGCATATCATTCATATATTTTTTTCTTTTTCTTTTTCTTTACTTTTCTTTACTTTGATTTCGTATCATGTCTCCAAAAACCACTATTTTTGATTTAAGCTTAGACATCAAATACATTATTATCGAGTACCTCGACAATAGGTCTTTGGCATATTTGGCACAGACATGTGCTTACTTTGGTAAGCTCGTACTTTTTTTCGCATTTGTGACTGAGATTGGGTTGTTAAAGGTAACCTTATACGCAAGTTATTTTCTTTTCGTAAAGCACAGGTCACTCTTGTCGATCATCTTTTGCCAAAATTACCTCCCTTCTTAAACTACAGAGCAGGCACTTCTATAGGATCCATGTTCTATTTACCATTTATCAATGAAAGCCCATTTTGCTATTGCTATGATCTTGATAACCATATTTGGTCAACACACAAACTAAACTTAGTTGACATGCACGATTTTCAACCTCAAATTACTTGTTCTGCAACCATAGGCTGCAAAATATACCTTGCTTGTGGTCGACTGTTGAATTCCTACACACTCTCGAATGCCATGATTGAGATTGACACAACTAATTTTAATACTCGGTTTGTCAAAGACGCAGAAGGCAATCCTCCTCGTCCGAGACACGAACACTCAGTCGATGCCATCATGGATCGTTATTTGGTCGTGTTTGGTGGTTTGTGCTACAATTCAGTCGGTAAAAATGCTATATATTTTTTTTAATGGGCTGATGGGCTCATTGTTGCAATAGGCGAGAATGACGTATTTGTTTATGACATATTTGAAAATCGATGGTTTGTACCTCCTGTAAGCGGGTAAGGAAAACTTTGATTCTTTTTTGGGCATGCAATCTAAAATGGATATGACATATAGACATTTGCCACATTTGAGATTTGGCCATGCAAGTGCAGTTATCGGCAGTGATCTCTATATCCATGGAGGAGCCCAACTGGAAAATGACAGTAGCTATACTGTTTATGACGATCTCTATAAACTCGACTGCAAAAACTGGGTATGGTATAAATACGAACATCCAGAAGTAGAACAGTATCTTCGAAACCAAATACCCACTCCCGGTGAGTCCCCGCAGAGAAACCACCTTATTTCCACAAATGGCGATAGCCCTTATGATCGGTTCCAATCTTACATGTGCAGTTTTGGAAACAAGCTTGTTGTATTCGGTGGTCATTCAATACGAGAAGATGAAGATGACAATGAAATTCTCTGTAGTTATCCATTGAATGAACTCTGTGTTTTCAACACAAAGCGTAAGACATGGACTATACTCCATGCATCTGTGTTCAAGAACGATGTACTGGCAGAAGACGACGAAGACCAACCAATTACTGTTTCAGACATGAGCGTTGCTCCGATTCCTCTAGATTCATACGGTGTTCGAATCTACATTATTGCTGGCCATAAAGCAGCAGAAGTACCCAGGACAGTAACACAATATGAGTCAATGGACCGAGTATCTCATACCTCTTCTAAACGGTCCTCGACCTCTATGTCCGAATTATCTCAGCATCATTCTACGCTTCCCAGCATCACAGAACATACATCACAGCATCAAATAGATGTAGAAGAAAACACCAATGGCCCCAGCATTGATCAAAACGATGGTTTGGATTATGAAGAAGAAAGTGATCATCATAGACCTGGTTTACCAAATCATCAGGTAAGGAGCTATTTCTTTTTTTTTTGTGGACACTAACATACTTTATAGATAGAAACAAGAACACCCTCAGGAGATGAAATCTCAAATCATGTAAAAGAGCTCTTTAGAGCTGTTGATCCTGACATGGAAGATAATCATGAAGCACGCGATAGACAGCAGGAGACAGAAATAACTGAAAGAGCCAATAATAAAGTTCATATGCGATCAAGTCGAAGTAGTAGTGGCAGTAGCAATGATATTGGAAGAAAAAAGCGCAGAAGACCATCTATCAGTGTCATTCATCGAAACACGCATTCAACAGAAGATGATCTACACATGTCCATGCCACGTTCTTCATCAAGTCATTCATCTTATAGCAGTAATAGTAGTAGTAGCTTTGGACAAAGAAGAACCACACGTCAACGAAAAGTAACACCTTGTTCTGTGATCCTTGAATTAATTGAATAGCTTGTAAATAAGTTCCTTGTATATAGTATAGTAAATAAACCTCTTTTTTTTTTTTTTTTTTTTTTTTTTTTTGCTTAATTTAAGTAACAAAAAGTGGTGACACAAAGTAGTATATTCATGCTTGGAGGAAAATGAAAGATATCGAATAAAACTGTGCATAAATTCCTTAGTTGTCAAAAGAATCTACACAGAAAAGGAAATTCAAAAATCATAATGCGAACCAGAATTCCTTTATTGTTATTACATTGACGGGTAACTTTTTTTTTTCAATTATTTATTATATATATATATTAACAGAAAAAAAAAGACAAATGTTATAACAAAAAAAAACCATTAATAATAAGCACCATTGCCATAAGGACGGTTGTTATAGCCTTCGTTATAGTGGTTCGCTTGCTGGTTTTGACGATAAATATCATAGCTATCATATCGATTATCACGAACTGGTTCCTGGCTATAAGTATTTGTGTTTCCACCAGCATAGTACTGCTTCTGTTCATCTGCTTGATAGCCAACTAAAGTGGTGGGCGAATCAGCTGTCATGTCGTCAAGTCGGATGCCTGATTTTCTACGCTTACGTCTTTCTTCTTCGTCGTCAAAGCTGCTGCCGTTTGAACATAGCAGAGTGATTGCATTACATATGGCTAGTAATTCCAATGCCAAGCCAACAAATACAGCTAAATAGACTTTATTAAAAGTGGTCTTAATAAAAGTCGCTAAAATGGTTGCACATGGAGGTAGCGCATTTAAGGTGGTGACTGTTGCTTGGCAAGTATCTGAGAGTGCTACATTATCTGTTGTTGTTTGATATCCACAGCAGTTAAACTATCGAGGTACAATCAATAATCACTTGTATATTTTTCTCCCTCCCTGTTTACCTCATTTTGAAGTTCAAGACGATACATAAAAGACGATGATGGCCATAAATCAGATAGATATTGTAAAGTGTTGGCTGCTTTTTGGTAAATTCGAATTCCAATCAATACTTGGAGAATAAGAGCGGCAACGATGACAATGAGATAAATGATGGTAATGAAATTCTTTCTAACATAAGCACCTATGATACCAAACAGAGATGCTATACAAATAATAGCACCCAAAATGGCAAAATCTAGGATATGTCTTAGTCTTTGTGTTCTATAGAGTTGGTTGCTTACACTTGAATATGTTCTCTGGGAATAATGTTGCACCATTAAATCCATTTTTGATACCAATTAGGCCGAAAGCAATAAACGCAATTCCAACAAATGCAAATAATAAATTGGTAAAGACCATATAGACCTTGCTTAGTCTATTCTATATCAATTTCTCTGCTCTTTATAAATTGTGTGGTAAATTACCTAGCACAGCAAGTTGACATGACGATGGCTGATGTTGAGTCGAATCTTCAAATGACAAAAATGAAAAAGAGAGAAAAAGAAATGTATGTAAATGATAGGGTATGAATTGGTCTTGTTATGAAAAAGAAAGGACTGTAAAAGAAGAGAAAAATAAAAGAAGAAAAAAAGAAAGAAAAAAGAAAAAGGGGAAAAAAAGTCTGTGAGTGCATCTTATTACATACAGGCACACAGGTACATAAGCACACAAACGCACATATACACACAATTGCTAAACCCTCAGCAAATTAGGCCATCAATTTATTAATTAAAAAAAGTATTATAGACCATGTTAACTTGTAGACGGATACTATTTTAAAAAAACTATATAAATAAAGATAAAGCGTGTGTGCAACAAAACACCCTTTCTATTCTTTACTCTAGACGAATCAAAGCAACTAATTAAAATACATTGGCAATTGTCAAACGTTTCACTAATGAGAGTGTTCATTTTCATTTTCAGCCTATATTGTTATCTTGTAAAAGAAAGAGCGCTTTTCTCTCTCTCTCTCTCTTTCATGCTTTTCTATCGTTGTCTCTGTATATTCTAAAAAGTTCTTGTAGGAATTGTCAAATAATGCAAGTAAAATGATCATTTTAAGAATGTCTTGAATTTTTTTTCTTGTCTATTTTCATTTTACCTGACTTTAAATGATTTAATTGATTGCCATGCTATTGTATACTATTTTCTTTGCTTTATTTCACAAAGAAAATAAAAAGACAAGAGACAGAAAAAAAGGAGTTTTTATTAACCATTTCCGTACAAACTATCAAAAGCAACTTTTATACAAAACGTAGATCTTATAAACAATAAAGTATTATGGCTATATATTTTTAGTCTATTTTAGTCTTTGTCAGTTGTTTTTATTTCAAAAAAGTGCGAGAGTTAATTAGCTATTTCTGGAATTGATTTGCCAAAAAAAAAAAAAAAAACTTTTGCTACCGATGTTGTGTTTATGGCTGGTGTGCTAAGCTTTTTCGTCATTTATTTGAAAGCCAGTGCTTGGTTCTGATAATGAGGACTATATACGTCACTTCATTATCAAATAACATTTACTTTGGTTATTTGACTAATGGAACTAAATTAAAGAGTTTAAAGCATTTTGCTCAAAGAGATACATACATATAAAATACGGTTGAGAATGATTGAAAGTGAATATGCCTTGTACATTAAAACCAGTTCATTATTTTTTTGCTACTTAATATTTCAAAATCACCCTTAACCAATTACAGTAGGTCCCTTACTCCTTCTTTTCCTCAAGACATGGTTGATTTATGCCAGGTTTATGCACATGTAAGCAGCTTATGATGACACATGGCCATTTGATCAAACAAGTCATTCATTTAGCAATGAGCACAGACAGTTTATCCTTATTTGTTGATATGTGCAATATTTACATGCTTTTCTATTAATAACAGAAAAAGAACGTCCTTCTTTTTTAGTGTGGCAAGGTCAAAGTATAATGAATCCCCTTCATTTCTTTTTCATAAAAAAAAAGGAATGTCAGGGAACTAAATTACCTTTCAAAAAAAAATTATATTCAGATCATAAGCTCAAAATATAACAAGGTAAGTTGACGATTACTGAGTGCTTGTTTTTTTTTTCTTCAGGATGTCAAAGGAAACAACTTGTTCATTGACATGATTCAAAATTGGAGCCGTATTGTGATACAACCGTCGATTTTCACTGCTGCTTATTGGCTGGTTAGTTGCATAAGGTGAAAGATATTATGCCATGCATTCTGATATAATCAAAAGGAATCGTTTCCTTTTCAACTAATTACTATGCCCACTTATAAGGTTTTTGTTTTATTTTACTTTATTTTATGCTGAAAAATGATAACAACACGCCACATATAAAATGTAATGTTTGTTTATCAAAAAAAAAATAATAATGATTTTCTTTAACATGAATACCACTTGACTCAACACTTGTGAGCGGAAAAAAATGACTTGTTAACCTCAATTCTGTTTACAGAAAATAGTTTATTATTCTTTGATGATCAGCAAAGTAATTCATCGAATTTATGCACTGTGACTTTTCTTAATGCATAGTTTTTATAATAGCCCAGCTGACTGTTTTCTTTCTTTTTCCTTTTCCTTCTATATTCATTATGTCTACAATCGATTATTATCAAACACTCCATATTTCACAAGATGCAGATGAACAAGAAATAAAGAAAGCATATAGGAAACTTGCCTTGAAGTATCATCCAGATAAAAATTCTTCCGCAGATGCTGGAGAAAAGGTAATAAAGAAGACAAAGAAATATAACTTGTACTTATCTTTCTATAGTTCAAGGCCATAAGGTAATCAGAAATAGAAATGACATGCATACTTAATATTCATTATAGCGAAGCCTATGAAATCCTATCTGATCGTAAGTGTTGAGAAGTGCTTCTTCTTTATGGCTCTAAACTCTTTTAGCTGAGAAACGCCAAATATATGACAATAGAGGATATAGTCAATACAATAGTGACGAAGATGAATACGAATTCCATAATCCATTTGCTGGATTTGCTGTAAGAAAATAGTACCTTTTTGTCTTCTGGTGATTTACATATATATGTAGTTCCATAATCCTGAAGAAATCTTCGCCAATGTCTTTAATCATATGCGTTCCTTTGGTTTTGGTAATTCATTATTTGATGATGCCTTTTCTCCGTTTGGACATCGTTCTTCTCAATCAATGTTTATGTCTGGACTTCCTTTCTTTGAGCCACCATCATTATCTATGTTTGGACAGCCTTTTGTGCAGCAACAACAACAACAACAACAACAACAACAACAACAACAACAACAACAACAAGGCTTTTCATCTAAATCTGTTACTACTACCACACAAAATATAAATGGAGTTGTTCAGACTATTCGAGTAACAAGAATTACAGACGAAAATGTAAGTTTCTAGTATTGTAACATATTATCTTATTACTTTCTACAGGGCACTAAAGTAATTGAAGAATACGATAATGGAGTACAAAAGATCAATGGTGTTGTACAAGAACCTTTAAAGCAGATTGATCATACTCGCAATCAAGTCATGAACAACAACTATGCTAGTAAACCAGAGGAAGAATATCCTTATGCTCAAGATATGCTTGAACACGAAAGATGGAACCGAGCAGAAAGAATGGTACAACAACAAAGAATGCTTCAGGAACAGCAAAGAATACAAGACCAACATCAAAGAATGCAGCACGATATGCACAGACAAATGCTCCAACAGCAGCAGCGTATGTTTAGATCACAAGGTCAAAACAACTATTACTACAATCCTCATTTATTCTAGTTCTATAAAGACAACAAAGTTTTCTCATAAACCTTGACCAATTTTTCATCTTGTACATCCTTTTCACCAGTAAAGAAAGGCTCAATGGCAACTTTACTTGTTGCTTCAAACAATTCTTGAATAATATGTTGAAGTTTGTTGCCTGTTTGCTTGAAATCAGGAAACTATATATAAAAAAGTTAGACAAAGATGTTATCCTAATGCCTATACTTACAGCATTGGCTTCTAAAAAGTAAACTTGATTATCTTGATCAATCATGAAATCAATACCAAACAATTCAAAAGCATTGGGCAATGCTTGAAATGTAGTCATTTCACTAGCACAAGCATCAAATACGTCTGCTAGAATCTTTTTCATTTGTTCAAAAGCGTCTTGTTTCTTGTCTTCTGATAAATCAAGTTCCCAAAAGAGTTTTACAGATGCTTGTTCGTTGAATCCTTCTTGATCTGTTTGAATGCATGTATTGGTCAAATGAATCAAATTGTCATCCAAGTTGGAGGTATCATAAGGCTTCATGGCAAACAAAGCCAACATGTCCTTATACAAGTAAACTTGGATATTGGATTTAGCAAGTACATAGGCACGTACATGGAATTTGTATTGATCCACAAGCAAAGGGTTATCAATATAACGTTGAATAACCCACTCTCTTACTTGAGACAAGTCTTCTCTACCATAGCTATCCTCGTCGTCGTCATCGTCTTCTTCATCATCACTTTCTTCTTCTTCAAACATGGCGCGCAATTGATCCAATGAATTGAACACTTTGATACCAGCTGCTTTATTAGCCATGCTTGGCTTGATAATAAACATATGATTTTCTTCTTCATTTAACAAGTCTCTTTCAACTTCAAATACTTCATTCATAGCTTCTTCAAAGTAATCCACGTGATCTAATTCAAATAGCCATGTTTCTGGGATTGCCTTCTTTAAGATACTGTCAGGATATTTTGACAAGTATTTTGTGATATTATAAGACATTTGGGATTTACGAATTAACCCTTTGCGAATACAATAAGCATTGGCAAGTGAATTATCACGCATAGCCAAATGTTGCCAGTTGATAAGCTCATATTCAAGCCACTGAAGTTGAACATCTTTTAGGTCTTGGTCAGCGTGTTCGGGACTAATATCTTGATTCACTTTCCAGTTTATCTTTTGAGAATTAAGAAGTGCTTTTACAACTGCTTGTTTTGTATAAGGCTCATCAAGATGAACATGAGCTTGAAGATTGATTGACATTAGGAAAGAAAAAAAAAGTTTTTACTATAATTTAATTGACAAGAGTCACAAAAATAAGGAGAGTGAAAAGAGAGGGAGAGGGTATTAAGAAAGGAAAGAAAGGGTAAAGAGAGTGTGTATGTGTGTATGCATAAATATAATTTAGAACTCCCATTTGTTCAAGTTCTCGTCCATAAAGAGTTCGACCATACTCTTGACACGGTTACCAACAGGACCTCTTGGCTTCATGTCTTTGATACGATTAGCAAATTCAGGTGTAATTTTAGGAGAAGATCTTCTTCTGATCATTTCATTTGCTGGAGCAGCTGTTTGGATCATACTTTCAAACCGAAGTCTCAATTGATCTACTTCAGGCGTCTCTGGTCGAGGCAAAGAAGCAACAGAATTAGGTGAGAAAGAGGAACGTCCGCTCTGGATGTAAGTAGGATATTGTTGTTGTTGTTGTTGTTGTTGTTGTTGTTGCTGCTGCTGTGATTTGGCTTTGTTTGTAGTGGCAGCAACTTCAGCATCATGTTCATCTGTAGTAGCTACACTAGAACTAGTAGATAAATGAGAGATAGGTTTAGGTTCTTCTTGTTGAATGATTGAATGTTTTTGTTCATTTTCTAATTGTTTTTCTTGAGGCTTTTCTTCTTCTATTTGCTCAACTGTTTCTTCTACTTTTACTTCTACTTTTTCTTCTACTGTCTTTGATTCTTCATCTTCATCTTCTTCTTCCTTGATTTCTTCAAGTTGTTGTTCAGGAGTAGATAGTTCTTTAATAGCAGGTTCTATTTCTTGTTCTTTTATCACTGGTTTTGTTTCCTCTTCTTCTACTTCTTCTTCTTTAAGCTTGGGTTGCGTTGCAACTTGTTCTTTGCGCTTCAACCCTTCTTGTTTAGTTACTGGCTTCGTAACAACTGTTCTTTTGCTTACAACAGGTCTTTTTTCAGCAGGTGTAGCAGTCAATCGACTTGGCTTTCGAGTACGTCCAGTTAAAACAGAAACAGGTGGTGTATTTTTAGACACACCTCCTTTGGCAGTGCTTGATAATGCCTTTTTCGTTGCTGTTGTTGATGCTCCTCTTCTAGATGTTGTAGGTGATGGTCTAACAGTGGCATGATTATCAATCAAATTAGAGTTAGCACTAGATGTAACACCAGCGGAAGAAGTCCTTTTAGTGGGACGAGTTGAGCTCTATATAGACGATCAGATGATAACAAGCTATCTATGAGACTTACTGCAAGACTAGATTTCTTGTTGGTATCAGTCAACAGTTTTGAACTAGGTATCTTACTACGAGCAGTTGCCATAGTAGTAGTTGTGGTAGTAGTTGTAGTGGTAGTAGTATTCGTCTTTTTGATAGCTTTCTTTGGTGTCTTTGTTGTATTGGAAGAAGAAGAAGAGGAGGAGGAAGAGGAAGAAAGGGAATGACGACTGCTTTTATTTGCTACTTGTTGCTGCTGTTGTGCGTTTGTGCTACGTAAGCCAGAAGGCGTCTTTCTCAATCGAGTACCTGAAACATTTAATGGCTTCTTTCCTATTGGCTGTTGTTTTTTACTGCTGCTTTGATTTGCTCCTGCATTTAGTAGCACTTTATTGAACCAATTTAGTTCACATTGTGCATTTCCCAGATCTTGAGTTGCGTGAACAAAAGAACTACAACAAGTCAGCTCTTCTTTTTCTTGCACAAATGATATATACCTATCGTCATATCGCTGCATTATTTCTGACAAAGCTTGAATAGCGTTTGGACCCTCCAAGACAAAGCCATAAACAGATTGTCTATTGACAAAAAAGGAAATCGAGGAAGTTATTGATTGATCAATTTGCATCTGATTACTTACGCTTTGTTGACTTGTTGTTTAAAGACGTCCAATGCTGATTTGATAGATAAATCAAATTGCTTGTCATGCGCGATGACAAGTTGTTTATCGTGGTTGATTTGCTCCAGAATCAAGTCCTTTTTATCTCTGGAAATGATGCCTAATGCTTGTTGCTGGGTCATTGCTATTGGTCTTTTTGAAAAATAAAATAAAGAAAAAAGGGAGAAAATGAGTATTGGTATGTATCCTCTTTTCCTTTTTATACTCACATTCTCTTGGTATGTAAAGAAAAAAAAACAAAGAGAAGAAAAAGGGAAGTGTTTATGTTTTTACCATCAATAGGACAAACTTTTGGAAATAGTGGTCGGATTTTAGAAATTATGTTTACCCACATGTTAAAAAATATATTAGTTAAATTCATTGCTGTTCTTTTTTCTTATAAGTTGGGGTTTTGTACTCTTTTTGTTATGTATGTTTAGGGGCCACACTCTATGTGTCATGTATTATAAAGTTAGGAAAAATTTAGTAAAGTCTAATAATAAAGTTGCTTTGTTTGTTATTGAATGCAAAAGAAAGAAAAGATATACAAAGCATAATAGAAGTAAAACCTTTCCAGAAAAGAAAAGAAGAAACATAATCAGAGTCAAGACTTTGACAGCTTCAAGAGCTAGACAATTTTAAAAATCTGTAATGGGCTAGAAGTCTGCTCATAGCTTAAAGCAAGACATCTATTCAATATGCTTGGGTTAATTACCCTCTGAGAAATAATAAATTTAAGTAAGAGTGTTCGCCTTTTCATTTTAAGCGCATACCAATGTTACCGAGGTGTGTTTATCCTATTCCTTATAGTCTTCTTTTCTCGCTTTTTATTTAAATCTATAATCATTGAAACTAGTCAAACAAGTACATATAAACATCATTTCATGGATACGTCATTCGGTGTTTAATTCTTGCTGTTGATCTCTGTCTACATTGCACAACACTTTTTTTTCTTTCTTCTTTTTTATTTATTCACTTACATTATGTCAGGTTCACCAGACGAACAAGTGCCAGATTTAACATGGTTGAATGTTGGAATTGCATCGTTGTTTATCCTTGTCAATGGTACGCATATTCTCTTTTTTTTGTATTTATATTCATAAATTTATAGGTGTCATATCCATGTCATTGGGATTGAAGTTAGAGAAATCTTTGTTTACAAGTTCAGTGCGGTGTATTATTCAATTAACCATCATGGTATATAATATAGACTTTATTCATGGACTTATTTACACTACGCAATTAGGGTAAAATTCTTCAAAGTATATTTTCAGCAAAAGATCCAATATTAGTAGCTATTATGACATGTAAGAGTACAGAAAACAATATTTTGTACTTATCTTGTGTAAACTCTAGTTGCCTTAATATTTCTTAGTTCATGTGAAACAGTATATAACAAGTCAGATTGGTCTTACAGTGGCATGGTAAGAGGGAGAGAAAAGATAAGAGATTAGTACTGAGAAACTTATATAGTTTCCATCTGTTTTATTATCCACTATATTTTCAACCATATTTATTGGTATTCTTGGTACTCGTTATGCCATGAATCAGCAGAATTTCTGGTTGCCAGAACTCTTTATTCCTACAGTAGGTTTACTGTTAGGTATTACATCAGGCGCAATGGCGGTAGGATTAGCCACTGTATTGAAAAAGGTTGGGCAACAAACAGAGCAAATTGAAACCTATTTAAGTTTTGGTGCGAGTCGATGGGAAGCAGGTCGGCAAGTGGCTATTGAATCGATTCGATTAGCTATGCTTCCTAGCATCAATACCATGTCAGTGACTGGTCTAATTACCATTCCAGGAGCCATGACAGGTCAGATTTTGGGTGGTGCTCCTATCATGAACGCAGTACGATATCAACAAATTGTTACTTACATGATTTCAGCCACTACAAGCCTGGGCGTGCTTTCAGTTGTCTATGCAAGTATATGCAACGTATCTTCACTGTTATTAATCCTAAATTGTAGTTTGCTGTTCATCATATGATTGACAAAAAGCACCGTCTTCGCCCTGAGCGTGTGCATAAGTACAAGGCCAGCGTGCTTCGAGACATGAAGTTTTTACTTTTGAGTTTTTGGCATGAACTAACTGGTAATAATAACCATGACAATGACCAGCAGTCAGGGGATAATGATGACAATCAAACTGCAGATGAAAATACACCATTACTTAAGAATAAGCATGCTACTAGTAGCAACAGTCATTAATCAGAGTCAGCTGTTCAAATAAAAACACCGCCAAAAAGTTTTAAGGATTCTCTTTTTTCCTCCTTTTTTTATCTTTTCCTCATCTATTGTTTGTCATGATTTTTATTATAAGAAAATAAACCTCACATCCCACTGCTTCCCTTCTTGTTATTCAAATAGTCATATCATTCATCAGTCGCTTTCTCTTTTTCAACCACATACACTTTATATATCATGCCAATACCCTCTCTTACTCGACAAAATGCTTTTATACTAGAAGAAAATCAAACCAAATCACCGTTAGATATGGTAAGCACCCCCTCCCATCTTCGACACTATTCTAATTATCATTAGCACTGTAGCATTTGTCATAATGAGTCTCTTGTCAATGGCAAATACATACAACCTTGTCGTTGCGAATTGGGAGATATTATACCATTGTAAATACAACATACACTTATCGAGTTTTGTATTTCATAATTTGTTTCTAATCAACTTTCTATCTAAAAAAAGATACGCTCACCGAATGTGCTTTATGAATTGGTTTATGGACAATGGTTACCCAAAACAATGTCCAAACTGTAAATCCAATTATAATGTTACTTTCTTCTCCTTTTTTCTCTTTACTGGTAAATTACTTGGGAGAAAAATATTGTTATTTACTCGCCTTTTTTTTTAAATAGTAAAACGAAAAAGATATCAGTTGTTTCTATCGTCTATTCTCTTGTTTATATCCTTGTATTTTCTTGTTCATGTCACACGCTGTACAGTACTTCAAACCCTCACTAGAAATCAATTTATCGCTCGATTCGGTGAGCAATATCGAAATGTGCCAGAAAGGCTGATTCTTCCTGTAAAGTATCACACTACATACATGTAGTAGTAACTCACGTCTTGTAGAGAATTAGTGTCTCCTGCTTACAATCTTCTTTTCATAACTCTTTACATAGTTTGTTCATATCATCGCTTCATTGTATTTGTATCATTGCTTTGTCTATTACTTTTCCTCTGATCTTTGTCTTTTGGTCATTTTGCATAAAATAAATTATCTGACATTGAAACCTTAATGAGAGCATTTATCAATTCGTGTTAAACAACCTGTCTGTGAGAAATATGGCCAATTTTATATTGTACTAGTTTTGACCTTCTTTTGTTTGCCTATGTCAGGTGTAAACAAACACCTAGGCTATAAATTTCAATCGAATGTTTATCAAGCAGTTCATCATACTCACCAGACTTACCACCCCAAGGTCAATCGTATTTTAAAAAGGTATTTTTATGTGACAAAACAGTTTGGTAGCGCATCAATTACTCATTTAACAGAAGCGCCAGATAGATATATACTTCAGCAGTGGAAAAAGACAGCAATTCATACAAACCCTTATCATTTTGTTAAGCATATAAAGGTAACATAAAGCCTGCTTATACACAAACAAGTACTTTAAATAGTTTCAAATAATGTTTATTAACTTACAGGGTGCCTTTGGAGTTGGTTTGGACAAAAAAAGCGACTTGTAAAATTTGGTCAAAATGACCTTTCGACCAAAGGGTACTATTCATGAAAAAAGCTCGTTTGACAACTTCTGTTCTTCTTCTTGACGCTACAAGGCGAACAAAAGGAGCTATCGATAAGCTTAAATACTCAAAATGTACGTCAAAAGATCTAGTTTTTGATAAATGTGTTTAATCAATAATTGTACTATAAAAATGACACGATATGAGCGAGAAACCTCATAGACATTTTTGTCTATTTGACCAATATTTTGTCAGCAAAGTTGCTGTGTTCTTTACAGTAACAGGCTCAGAAATTACAAATCTACAGCTTTTAATGATTTTATTTGCCGCACGTATTAGTGATCTTGGGAGGGACCCACTAAAAGAGGTGCTCGACAATTATTTATTGTAAGAAAATATAAAGAAAAACAAAATTGGTACGATAGTAAGAAAGTAGAAAAATAAAAGGAAAGAAGAGCAGCTATTGCAAGAAAAGACCTCTCAAGATGAAAGGTCATTTTCAGCAGCTATACGCTTAATTTGATAGTGAGTGCTGTGAAGAACAGAGAGATAATGGAATGGTTGGTTCTGAATGGTATGGGTCCAATGGGCCTTCCAGAAAGCTCGATTTCAATGCGGCGGCAAGAAGAACTGGAATTGCTTCCGTTTTCTATCTCCACAGGCAGTATCTTTGTATCTCTTTTGTTGATTTATAGATCGACCATGTTTCTACTTTTCCATGTTTTTTAGTACTCCAAGTAGCATATAGAATTTTCCATAAGCTCATAGATAACAAGTTTTCATATGACATCTAGAGCAAAAATGCTTAAAACAGGGCTTAAATGTGCCATTCTTTGATGCGCCATTGCTCAGCAACTAGATTATCAATAAGACTGTTTTTTCTAGAACATATTCTTTCAAATTTAGGAATCAAATGGTACTATTGGTATGGCACCTGCGAAAAATTCATTTTTTGACCCGCCGACAACCACAAGAGCTCTTGAAGATGAGAGAATATTTTTGGAACGTCAGATTGACTCAATGTAAGTCTAAATGGGTGCTGAGAGGAATGATCAACTATTGGCAAAAAAAATTGCGCGACTTCCTTCTCTGGAACCAATACACAGCAAAGACATATATCATGCATAACTATACCGATGCTTTCAATGCTCGAATACATTTACTATCTAAATTGAATAATCTTCTATGGTCTTCCCTACGTTGCTGCCTTTTAGGACCTTTTGGTTTGGAGTGATTAAAAAGACACCACTCACAGAACTACAACTATTTAGAATCAATCGATTTGTAGACAGCAATTGCAGCCTGTGTTTTTCGAACACTAATTCTTTTGAACGCTTCATCGCTTACTGCTTTTGAAAATAAGTTATGTAGGCTGAAATTTTTATTTATTTCTGTCTCAAATCATATCTTCCTTATATGCAATCTGATAGCCGTCTTTTTACTGTCTTCTCTTTCTTCCAGTAACGAATATGGTTCGCCTACTGGCGCTTCACCATTGACGATCAATCTTCCAATCCTGAATGGATCATTCCTGATGCAATAAGTCAAATATCAATTTCACTCAAGAAACACACTCTGCTTTTAAATGATTTTTAAGTCATCCGACCGTTTTCTCTCTCTTTTTTCTCCCAGTTTTCAGTTCATCTACGCTACACCCCTTAGCAATGTGTAGCTAAAACATATAGTAAAGTAATATACAACCCCCTCTCAATGTAGATGTGATCCATTTGGTTTGAGTTGAGACCATTTCTAGGTACTTCCAAAGAAAAAGAAGACGAGCTTATTAAGATAAAAAAGTTAAATCAATTTGAGTATTGTCTTTAAATCTGCATTCAAAGCTCATTGTACGCTGTAAATAATAGAAAAGAGACCCATTCCAATAGATATTGATTGGCAGACTGACAATTGTTCTTCCAAAAAATAAAGAAGAGAAGATAGTTACGTCGAGCTCCTCTAACAATTTCTTTGTCATCAATACTGTTATCGTTAAAGCTACCATGCCTACTAAAAACAGTCTAATCGATACTGGTTACGTGCAAAAAATCACTGCATCTCGGGTAAAATCCTTAGATATATGTATATATTTCTTAGATTCTGTAGCTATCGTCTTGAGAGTACAGCATGATTGGGTTTTATTTGTCCAAGATATACAAACATTCACTATTATGAGGCTTTAGGCTCATTTCCTTCTTGTTCTTCAAACTGATCCTCTTGTGTAATGACTCTTAGCACTGATTTTTTACTTGTTTCCTGAAGTTCGCCTGCAATCAAAAGCTCGTCTAGGATGAAATATGCCTTTTGAAAGTTAAAGATCAAATCAAGTTCGCATACCTAATAAACACAAAGAAGTGTTAGTATTTCCACCTCTTATTCTCGAGGATAATTACATTTCCAAAGTAACGATCGAGAATCTCCACATAACGATGGATAATTTCAAGTGTAATGAGTTCATTGTCGTCTTGATTGATACCTGCTACAAAGAATAAACTTGCGTACCTATCATAAACCCCTTTCCTTTTAGCACAAGCACTATATGGTAGACTCCTATTTATACCTTCTATATACTATCTTTTGATCTTGAAGGCAGATGTTAGACTTTAATTCCGCTTATCAGAATTGCGCCATCTTACCTTTGTATTCCAAGAAATTGCACATCTTGACTCTTCTTGCCAACACTAACTGTGTTGCATCTTTGACAATCTTTGCTTTCTCTTTAGGTGGAATAGTGACGAACCACTTTGTAAGACGAACTTTTCCTTGTCGACTAACAAGTAGCAACCAGTTTATCTGTGTAAAAGTGAGTGCTTGTTTCTTTTTTCTTGTTGAATACTTTACTGCCATACTTGAATAAGCTTATATATAGAAAAGAAACTCTGCAAAAGTATTTGTTTCAACATTTTGGAAATAACACGGGTGTGCGTATAGATATAGGCAATAATTGACGCGGTTTTAATTGTATACGTAAAGTGATACACAATGAATATGTCAATGTCCTTCAACAAAGCTATAAAGCAAGCTAGACTTGGTTTGCATCTCGTTTTATCTTTAAACAGAATATATTGTCTTTACGCTATTATTTGAAGATTTCAATTTTATGTGTATGCCTATAGCATCGACAATTATATATACACATGTGTTGAAAACGAAAATGATACACATACGAAAGAAAACGCACTTATTTAACCAGTTTTTGCTAAAATTACTGTAAGTTGTCATATGGAAATTCATAAGAACAAACACAAAGCATGTGTGAGTAGTCTCTCTCTTTTTCTTTTTTTGCAGATCTAACGCTTTTAAAATATTTTACAGATTCAAAGAGGTATTAATAAGAAACACTTATTTCTCAAAAGAAATAGACATGATTCTGTGTACATAGTATAAACAGAGAGCTAGGAATTACAAGAATCCTTAGCATAAGCCTTGATCAAATGACTCCTATAGCTGTGTAAGAGGTAAAGTTTGCGGACATACAATAGAATGGTTAAGTTTTTTTCCAAGAATGATGTCAAGAACTTCCCGTTGACTTTCCCTATTTAGATAAATCTTCGAAGTTGATCTGATTTTAGCGCTTTTTTTCCCGGGATGATTGTTATGTAATTTCCCCGAGTATTTTCTCAGTGACACGCATTAAAACAAAATGTTAGCAAGTATAAAAGAAGCCCATGTTTTGATTATTTTTCTATTAGCTTTTTTCGCTTAATTTTATAAGAAAATCATTATGGCATCTGAAACACATCTCACTTTGAACCGCACAAATGACAAGATGCCCATCGTTGGCTTTGGCTGCTGGAAAGTTTCCAACGAGGATGCTGAAGATACTATCTATAATGCTATTAAGACTGGCTACCGTTTGTTTGATGGTGCTGCTGATTATGGCAATGAAGTTGAAGTCGGTCGTGGCATCAACAAGGCCATCAAAGAAGGAATTGTCTCCAGAAAGGATCTTTTTGGTAAGTATTTCGGTGCATTGAAGTGATGAGCATTTATTAAAACACGCGATTGTTTTTCTTGAAAATAGTTGTTACAAAACTTTGGAACACCTACCATAGCAAGGACAAGGTTCGCGCTGCTTTTGACAAGCAATTAAATGACCTTGGCCTCGAATATGTTGATTTATACTTGATTCACTGTAAGTAATACCTTTTTCTTTTATGAAAATCGATTCTCACGCTGTTTTAAATAGTCCCTGTACCATTGAAGTTTGTTGAATTTGACAAGGCCTATCCTCCTGGTTGGTACCAACCTGGTAAGGATGCCATTGAATTTGAAGCTTCTCCTATCCATGAAACCTGGCGCGAAATGGAAAAGTTGGTTGAGGCTAATTTGGCTCGTAATATTGGTATTTCTAACTTCAATGTCCAATCCATTTTGGACTTGTTGACATACGCCAAGATCAAGCCAGCTGTCTTACAAGTATGTTCAAAACACACGTCATACAACAAGTACTAAGTTTTGAACTCAATAGATTGAACTTCATCCTTACTTGCCTCAAGAGCGTTTGGTCAAGTGGGTGCAATCACAAGGCATTCAAGTTACCGCCTACTCTTCATTCGGTCCTACTTCATATGTTGACCTTCACGAAAATGGCAAGAAGATCGCTCCATTACTTGAGCACGATACCATCAAGGCCATTGCTGATAAACACAAAGTTTCTACTGGACAAGTCCTATTGCGTTGGGCTATTAACCGCAAGCTTGCTGTTATTCCTAAGAGTGTTAACCAACAAAGATTAAAGGGTAACTTGGAAATATTTAGCATCAAGTTGGATGGTGATGACAACAAGGCTTTGGATTCTCTGAAGACCAACCAAAGATTCAACGATCCTATGCTCTATGGCTTCAACTTGCCTCTTTTCGATTAACTGGATTAATTAATAAATTGTATACTTTGACTAAAGATCAATTATATTCGAGAGAACAACGCATGTTGTTTTTAGTTCTAAAAACACTAGCAAAGTCAATTACTTGTTACACTTGTGTCTCTAGCTTTCAATATTTTATGGGGCCTGTATCGATTTTTGCATTAACCATAGATTTATGTGAGACAAGACATAATAGATTTTTCATTCAAAACTTCATTTTATTTATTTGTCATTTGATAATGATTTATATTTTGTTAATTCATGAATGGTTTTTAACCAAGGATAGTGTGGCCGACAGATTCAGCAACTTCAGTGACAGTAGAAACTACTCTTTGAAACCAAGAGCGAGTTACAGGGACTTCAACAGTTTTGTAAACTTGAGTCTCATAGAACATGTGGAAACTTTCAGCAAAGATATCAAGGGCGTCAAATTCAACATCAAATGAATATCCTTGTTGCTTAAGAGTACCAAAGCGGTCAAGAGCAACAGCCTTGGATCCATTAGCCTGAGCAGCTTCCAAAATCTTGGGGTTGGAAGAGACAACAGCAAGTTCACTTGCATTATTCAAGCCTAAGAGCATAGCAGTGTTGGAAACCACGGTGACTTCGGTGCTTGTGCCATTATTGATAGTACAGGCAGCAAACATATCAGCTGTAAATTGAGCATGCCAGCAGAGACAGCCAGTGCGGGCAAGATCCATCATTGTGCGAATAGTGAAAGCATGTGAAATAGCAACGGCATAAACACCATCCAATTGTTTGATCTTACGGATACTAGCAGAAGCATCCTCAAAGAGTTCAAGACTAAACCATGCAGAGCACAAGTTGATCAATTCTTCTTCAGTGAAAGCAGATAATTCAAGCTTGAATTCAATAAATACTAACTTCAAAGCAATCAGAAGAACATCAGCATCAGATACAGAGTACTTGGCCTTCAAGCGTTCTTCCAAGTAAAGGTAGTACCAACGGGTAATGAAAGCTTCAATGTTGATATGAATGAAAGCGTAAGAGTCTTGCTTCTTACTGATAAGCTTAGACCAGGCCTTGGTAATAGTTTCACGGTAGTTTACAACAGTATCAGCCAAATCAAAAGCAAAGACCTTGACATTCTTGAAAGAGGCAGGGATTTGAGCAGTTTCAACCCAAGTGACAGACTTGCCTTCAAATCCAGCGGAAATAGCTGTTTCGGCAGTAGTTTCGAGAGCAATTTGTACTTTACGTCTTGAGTTCTCTTCAATAACAGTAATCTTTTCTTTAACCAATTCAAGATCGGTAGTAGTAGTAACAAGCTTTTCGATAGCCAAAGCTTGTTCTGATACAATAGTATAAATACTATCTAGGGATTCAACTGTATATTTCTGAGAGTTCTCCACAGCCAAAGAAACATCAGGAGAGCAGTTCTCGGAAACGACATACTTGAACTTGAGAGAAGCTTTTGCATCTTCAATAATAGTAGCTACCTCTTCAAGTGAAGAGGTAGTAATGGTTTGAATTTCCTTAGTGTATGTTGGAGTGTCCTTAGATATATTGATGGCCTTAATTCTTCTAAAGAATACGTCGTACCAGGAGTCGATCTTTCTTTGAGTTTCGGAAATAGTGCATGAAAGAGCCTTCTTAGTAACTTCTTGAGCTTGTTCTGTAGAAACATAAACAATTTCACCTTGAATTACTTCCTTTTGAGGTCTGTAGATATCAACAACTACTTCAGATCCGCCAGCAGACTGGCCAATTTCGACTTGAGTAGCGTTTGTCTTTGCAGATTCGTACACCTGTACCTTAGCTTCAGAAACACAAAGCTTGATAGAGTTCTGGAAGGCTTCCTTGGCAGCTTGAATGTCAATATTGTAGGAAGTAACAGCATCCTTTCCATCAGCATAAGATTCGTTTACTGAAGCCTTGATGGTAGTAACTTGAGATTGAACGGTATCACGAAGTTTGTCGTAGAAAGCAACCCACTCAGCGGATCTAGTTGAGACAGCTCTAATTTTGGAAACAGATAATTGATGTTTGGATTCATTAAGAATAGTTTGAAGCTTAGATTCCTCTTCAATAATGACAGAGTTAACAACCTCAGCACAATCACCAACTTCAAGCATACAAGTAATCTTTTCAACAAAATGAGCAAACCAACCGTAAGCAGACTCAGTAACCGCATCATAATTGGAGCAGACCTCAGTAGTAACTACAAAATCATGTATTAATATCCTTAATAATTTCAAAAACAACTTACATTTAAAGCTATCTTCGGTGAGTACGATCGAATCAATATCAGTAGTTTTAGCGCCTCCTTGAGCGACAACACCAGAAATAACCCCACCAATAACGCCAACATCAGCAACCTTCTCATCAATTTTCATGGACACCTTTTCACCATCGCCTTGAACACCAGAAACAATACAGCCTGTAGTGACATTCTTCTTACCTCCAACTTCAAGAGACTCGGTCTCATTGACAATAGAAATAAGCTTACTTTCCATCTCATCAGCTATAATAGCAACCTTAGGAGTATCGGCATTTTCTACTACCACATCCACAGTAACAGATTCAGTACCTCTAAGAGCACCTGTCTTGACGGTTTCAATCACTTCAGTCTTGGCTTCAATGAGCTTTTCACCAACAACCTTCTTGAATTCGTCCTTAGTGCCATGGAGATCAATCTTGGTGATAGCATCGCTACCTTGAGTGTACTTGTCTTGGACAGTAGTCTTGACAGTGGCAACTTGAGATTGGATGGTATCTTGGAGCTTGTCATAGAAAGTAACGAGTTCATCAGTGTTGGAAGTAACAACAGTAGAGTCAGAGGTGGTCAATTGTTGCTTGCTTTCATCAAGGATCACTTGAAGCTTAGCCTCTTCTTCAGCAATAACAGCGTTGACCTTTTCAGGACGTTCACCACCTTGAACCAAGGAAGATACCTTTTCAACGAAGCCAATGTACCAGCCGTGGGCAGTTTCAGTGACCTTTTCATAGTTGTTGAAGACTTCAGTGGCAACTATATGAAGAAAGAATAAGGTCAGTATAACACTGAATTTGCTATTATATGTATATATACTTACATGATTCAGTACCCTTTGAGACAGCAACCTTCTTGTCGCCTTCAATGGTAATGAAACCAATGTCAGCTTCACCAACGACTTGTTCGCCAGCGACAGCAACAATATCAGTCTTCTTGTCTTCAGAGACAACAGTGATCTTCTTGGTCTTGTCAGCTTCAGTAGTGGTAGTATCAGAGCCAGCTGTAACACCAGCAATAACACCGGCAACTACACCAGCGGCAGCACCAACAGCACCAACCTTGATTGCTTCAGTGACAGTGTCTGTCTTCTTGGTCTTGTCAGTGTCTGTCTTCTTGGTCTTGTCAGTGTCCTTGACAACAACATCAATCTTGTCAGTGTCCTTCTTGTCAACAACAACGTCAACAGTGCCGGATGTAACAGCAGTGGTAGTGGTGTCAACTTGTTCAATGACAGTGTCCTTTTCACCAACAACAGTGATCTTGTCGGTATCCTTATCCTTGGTAACGATGTCGACCTTGCTAGTGTCCTTCTTGTCAACGACAACACCAACAACCTCACCAGATTCGGTGGTAGTGGTGGTCTCGACTTGTTCAACTACGGTGTCCTTCTCACCAACAATGACATTGACCTTGTCAGTGTCAGCCTCTTCGACAGCCACATCAACAGTGACAGATTCAGTGCCCTTGAGTGCACCTGTCTTGACGGTTTCAATCACTTCAGTCTTGGCTTCAATGAGCTTTTCACCAACAACCTTCTTGAATTCGTCCTTAGTGCCATGGAGATCAATCTTGGTGATAGCATCGCTACCTTGAGTGTACTTGTCTTGGACAGTAGTCTTGACAGTGGCAACTTGAGATTGGATGGTATCTTGGAGCTTGTCATAGAAAGTAACGAGTTCATCAGTGTTGGAAGTAACAACAGTAGAGTCAGAGGTGGTCAATTGTTGCTTGCTTTCATCAAGGATCACTTGAAGCTTAGCCTCTTCTTCAGCAATAACAGCGTTGACCTTTTCAGGACGTTCACCACCTTGAACCAAGGAAGATACCTTTTCAACGAAGCCAATGTACCAGCCGTGGGCAGTTTCAGTGACCTTTTCATAGTTGTTGAAGACTTCAGTGGCAACTATATGAAGAAAGAATAAGGTCAGTATAACACTGAATTTGCTATTATATGTATATATACTTACATGATTCAGTACCCTTTGAGACAGCAACCTTCTTGTCGCCTTCAATGGTAATGAAACCAATGTCAGCTTCACCAACGACTTGTTCGCCAGCGACAGCAACAATATCAGTCTTCTTGTCTTCAGAGACAACAGTGATCTTCTTGGTCTTGTCAGCTTCAGTAGTGGTAGTATCAGAGCCAGCTGTAACACCAGCAATAACACCGGCAACTACACCAGCGGCAGCACCAACAGCACCAACCTTGATTGCTTCAGTGACAGTGTCTGTCTTCTTGGTCTTGTCAGTGTCTGTCTTCTTGGTCTTGTCAGTGTCCTTGACAACAACATCAATCTTGTCAGTGTCCTTCTTGTCAACAACAACGTCAACAGTGCCGGATGTAACAGCAGTGGTAGTGGTGTCAACTTGTTCAATGACAGTGTCCTTTTCACCAACAACAGTGATCTTGTCGGTATCCTTATCCTTGGTAACGATGTCGACCTTGCTAGTGTCCTTCTTGTCAACGACAACACCAACAACCTCACCAGATTCGGTGGTAGTGGTGGTCTCGACTTGTTCAACTACGGTGTCCTTCTCACCAACAATGACATTGACCTTGTCAGTGTCAGCCTCTTCGACAGCCACATCAACAGTGACAGATTCAGTGCCCTTGAGTGCACCTGTCTTGACGGTTTCAATCACTTCAGTCTTGGCTTCAATGAGCTTTTCACCAACAACCTTCTTGAATTCGTCCTTAGTGCCATGGAGATCAATCTTGGTGATAGCATCGCTACCTTGAGTGTACTTGTCTTGGACAGTAGTCTTGACAGTGGCAACTTGAGATTGGATGGTATCTTGGAGCTTGTCATAGAAAGTAACGAGTTCATCAGTGTTGGAAGTAACAACAGTAGAGTCAGAGGTGGTCAATTGTTGCTTGCTTTCATCAAGGATCACTTGAAGCTTAGCCTCTTCTTCAGCAATAACAGCGTTGACCTTTTCAGGACGTTCACCACCTTGAACCAAGGAAGATACCTTTTCAACGAAGCCAATGTACCAGCCGTGGGCAGTTTCAGTGACCTTTTCATAGTTGTTGAAGACTTCAGTGGCAACTATATGAAGAAAGAATAAGGTCAGTATAACACTGAATTTGCTATTATATGTATATATACTTACATGATTCAGTACCCTTTGAGACAGCAACCTTCTTGTCGCCTTCAATGGTAATGAAACCAATGTCAGCTTCACCAACGACTTGTTCGCCAGCGACAGCAACAATATCAGTCTTCTTGTCTTCAGAGACAACAGTGATCTTCTTGGTCTTGTCAGCTTCAGTAGTGGTAGTATCAGAGCCAGCTGTAACACCAGCAATAACACCGGCAACTACACCAGCGGCAGCACCAACAGCACCAACCTTGATTGCTTCAGTGACAGTGTCTGTCTTCTTGGTCTTGTCAGTGTCTGTCTTCTTGGTCTTGTCAGTGTCCTTGACAACAACATCAATCTTGTCAGTGTCCTTCTTGTCAACAACAACGTCAACAGTGCCGGATGTAACAGCAGTGGTAGTGGTGTCAACTTGTTCAATGACAGTGTCCTTTTCACCAACAACAGTGATCTTGTCGGTATCCTTATCCTTGGTAACGATGTCGACCTTGCTAGTGTCCTTCTTGTCAACGACAACACCAACAACCTCACCAGATTCGGTGGTAGTGGTGGTCTCGACTTGTTCAACTACGGTGTCCTTCTCACCAACAATGACATTGACCTTGTCAGTGTCAGCCTCTTCGACAGCCACATCAACAGTGACAGATTCAGTGCCCTTGAGTGCACCTGTCTTGACGGTTTCAATCACTTCAGTCTTGGCTTCAATGAGCTTTTCACCAACAACCTTCTTGAATTCGTCCTTAGTGCCATGGAGATCAATCTTGGTGATAGCATCGCTACCTTGAGTGTACTTGTCTTGGACAGTAGTCTTGACAGTGGCAACTTGAGATTGGATGGTATCTTGGAGCTTGTCATAGAAAGTAACGAGTTCATCAGTGTTGGAAGTAACAACAGTAGAGTCAGAGGTGGTCAATTGTTGCTTGCTTTCATCAAGGATCACTTGAAGCTTAGCCTCTTCTTCAGCAATAACAGCGTTGACCTTTTCAGGACGTTCACCACCTTGAACCAAGGAAGATACCTTTTCAACGAAGCCAATGTACCAGCCGTGGGCAGTTTCAGTGACCTTTTCATAGTTGTTGAAGACTTCAGTGGCAACTATATGAAGAAAGAATAAGGTCAGTATAACACTGAATTTGCTATTATATGTATATATACTTACATGATTCAGTACCCTTTGAGACAGCAACCTTCTTGTCGCCTTCAATGGTAATGAAACCAATGTCAGCTTCACCAACGACTTGTTCGCCAGCGACAGCAACAATATCAGTCTTCTTGTCTTCAGAGACAACAGTGATCTTCTTGGTCTTGTCAGCTTCAGTAGTGGTAGTATCAGAGCCAGCTGTAACACCAGCAATAACACCGGCAACTACACCAGCGGCAGCACCAACAGCACCAACCTTGATTGCTTCAGTGACAGTGTCTGTCTTCTTGGTCTTGTCAGTGTCTGTCTTCTTGGTCTTGTCAGTGTCCTTGACAACAACATCAATCTTGTCAGTGTCCTTCTTGTCAACAACAACGTCAACAGTGCCGGATGTAACAGCAGTGGTAGTGGTGTCAACTTGTTCAATGACAGTGTCCTTTTCACCAACAACAGTGATCTTGTCGGTATCCTTATCCTTGGTAACGATGTCGACCTTGCTAGTGTCCTTCTTGTCAACGACAACACCAACAACCTCACCAGATTCGGTGGTAGTGGTGGTCTCGACTTGTTCAACTACGGTGTCCTTCTCACCAACAATGACATTGACCTTGTCAGTGTCAGCCTCTTCGACAGCCACATCAACAGTGACAGATTCAGTGCCCTTGAGTGCACCTGTCTTGACGGTTTCAATCACTTCAGTCTTGGCTTCAATGAGCTTTTCACCAACAACCTTCTTGAATTCGTCCTTAGTGCCATGGAGATCAATCTTGGTGATAGCATCGCTACCTTGAGTGTACTTGTCTTGGACAGTAGTCTTGACAGTGGCAACTTGAGATTGGATGGTATCTTGGAGCTTGTCATAGAAAGTAACGAGTTCATCAGTGTTGGAAGTAACAACAGTAGAGTCAGAGGTGGTCAATTGTTGCTTGCTTTCATCAAGGATCACTTGAAGCTTAGCCTCTTCTTCAGCAATAACAGCGTTGACCTTTTCAGGACGTTCACCACCTTGAACCAAGGAAGATACCTTTTCAACGAAGCCAATGTACCAGCCGTGGGCAGTTTCAGTGACCTTTTCATAGTTGTTGAAGACTTCAGTGGCAACTATATGAAGAAAGAATAAGGTCAGTATAACACTGAATTTGCTATTATATGTATATATACTTACATGATTCAGTACCCTTTGAGACAGCAACCTTCTTGTCGCCTTCAATGGTAATGAAACCAATGTCAGCTTCACCAACGACTTGTTCGCCAGCGACAGCAACAATATCAGTCTTCTTGTCTTCAGAGACAACAGTGATCTTCTTGGTCTTGTCAGCTTCAGTAGTGGTAGTATCAGAGCCAGCTGTAACACCAGCAATAACACCGGCAACTACACCAGCGGCAGCACCAACAGCACCAACCTTGATTGCTTCAGTGACAGTGTCTGTCTTCTTGGTCTTGTCAGTGTCTGTCTTCTTGGTCTTGTCAGTGTCCTTGACAACAACATCAATCTTGTCAGTGTCCTTCTTGTCAACAACAACGTCAACAGTGCCGGATGTAACAGCAGTGGTAGTGGTGTCAACTTGTTCAATGACAGTGTCCTTTTCACCAACAACAGTGATCTTGTCGGTATCCTTATCCTTGGTAACGATGTCGACCTTGCTAGTGTCCTTCTTGTCAACGACAACACCAACAACCTCACCAGATTCGGTGGTAGTGGTGGTCTCGACTTGTTCAACTACGGTGTCCTTCTCACCAACAATGACATTGACCTTGTCAGTGTCAGCCTCTTCGACAGCCACATCAACAGTGACAGATTCAGTGCCCTTGAGTGCACCTGTCTTGACGGTTTCAATCACTTCAGTCTTGGCTTCAATGAGCTTTTCACCAACAACCTTCTTGAATTCGTCCTTAGTGCCATGGAGATCAATCTTGGTGATAGCATCGCTACCTTGAGTGTACTTGTCTTGGACAGTAGTCTTGACAGTGGCAACTTGAGATTGGATGGTATCTTGGAGCTTGTCATAGAAAGTAACGAGTTCATCAGTGTTGGAAGTAACAACAGTAGAGTCAGAGGTGGTCAATTGTTGCTTGCTTTCATCAAGGATCACTTGAAGCTTAGCCTCTTCTTCAGCAATAACAGCGTTGACCTTTTCAGGACGTTCACCACCTTGAACCAAGGAAGATACCTTTTCAACGAAGCCAATGTACCAGCCGTGGGCAGTTTCAGTGACCTTTTCATAGTTGTTGAAGACTTCAGTGGCAACTATATGAAGAAAGAATAAGGTCAGTATAACACTGAATTTGCTATTATATGTATATATACTTACATGATTCAGTACCCTTTGAGACAGCAACCTTCTTGTCGCCTTCAATGGTAATGAAACCAATGTCAGCTTCACCAACGACTTGTTCGCCAGCGACAGCAACAATATCAGTCTTCTTGTCTTCAGAGACAACAGTGATCTTCTTGGTCTTGTCAGCTTCAGTAGTGGTAGTATCAGAGCCAGCTGTAACACCAGCAATAACACCGGCAACTACACCAGCGGCAGCACCAACAGCACCAACCTTGATTGCTTCAGTGACAGTGTCTGTCTTCTTGGTCTTGTCAGTGTCTGTCTTCTTGGTCTTGTCAGTGTCCTTGACAACAACATCAATCTTGTCAGTGTCCTTCTTGTCAACAACAACGTCAACAGTGCCGGATGTAACAGCAGTGGTAGTGGTGTCAACTTGTTCAATGACAGTGTCCTTTTCACCAACAACAGTGATCTTGTCGGTATCCTTATCCTTGGTAACGATGTCGACCTTGCTAGTGTCCTTCTTGTCAACGACAACACCAACAACCTCACCAGATTCGGTGGTAGTGGTGGTCTCGACTTGTTCAACTACGGTGTCCTTCTCACCAACAATGACATTGACCTTGTCAGTGTCAACCTCTTCAACATTGACTTCTACGTTGCCTCTGCTCTTGTCTTTTTCTTCGAGAGTGCTTTTGTTTTCAACGCTCTCACTTGTTGTAATAGCCACCTTGTCTGCTTGCTTAACAGTGACATTTGCCTCTGCAATGTCTTCAGCATGAGCATAATCAATCTGGACACCTTCAGGTTTCTGAGCTATTTCAATGCTTGCAGTGTGTCTGTCAATATCAGTTGTTTTCTTGGAGTCTTTTACGTTCTGTTTGTGACCACTGACAACACTTCCTGCAACAACACCGACATTGACGGTTTGTGAGCCATGGGTAGCCACATCGACTTCAGAAGTCTTTTCTCTACGAGTGAGATCATTGTCCTTAATCAAGGTCTCTTTTTCTGTCACAATGGCTCCAACTGTAATTTTTTCGGTATCTTTCACAACTGCATCGATTACAGGTTTAGTTGTAGTTGTAATTTGTGCGGTTTCCAAGATATAATCAATGTGCTTCAAGACATCAGATTGTTCTTCTTCACCAAAAGCATCTTTACAGAATTTGACGATATCATCCTTATCAGCATCATTGATTGAAGTTTTGAAGTTCTTGAGGTTTGCCAAAATAGTTGTCTTCATGTTGATGTAGTATGTAATTAAACGACGACGTTCAGACCAAGTGAGATATGTAAGACTACCTGACAAAATAGAAAGGGCTGCTACTGTTTCATCAAACATGGTCATAATATCAAGCTCAGCGGCATCAACAAGAGTAAGTGTGTCTTTCTTAGCATCTGTGTTGGGTTGAGAAAGTGCCCAAGTGATATCTTTTGAAATGTTGCTGTACCAAGTAGTAATGTAGGCCTTGGACTCGGCCAAAGAAGTAACAACCTCAATTTTTGAATTTTCAATTTCACTTTCGTCAGCCTTGGGTGCCTCTACCTTGTTTTGAACAGGTAAGTTATATTCTTGAACAACGTTCTTAGTTTCTTGGGCCTTCAAAGAAAGATTGTCATTGATGATAGCAGTAGTCTTTCTCCAATTGTCATCAGTTGCTAAAGTTGTCACATCAACATTAGAGACGAATTGACCAATTTCCAACTTGGAATAATCAATAATATCGATAATAGATTGTTCAAATTGTTTCTTGGACTCTTGATCGATAGAGGTAGTCTTGGCTAAGGTAGTACTGGTGGACTCTTTGAGCTTGTTAAGCTTAGTCTCGAGTTCACGGTGTGAGTCCTTGACCAATTCTTCAATTTCATCCTTCTTAGCACCATTCTTGGAAGCTTCAGAGATACGAATGTATAATGTTCTAAACCAGTAACGAATTGTGATGTGAACAGTATCAACAGTAACAAGTAAATTGTTTGTAGTTTCAGCTTCAGATTGGTTCTCATCAGTAGATTTGGATGTATCTATTGTAGTTGAGGTAATCTTATCGTCATTGTTTACAATATTTTCGTACTTCTTGTCAAGTTTTTGACAAGATTCAGTGACTACAGTAGACACATCAAACTTCTTGGTGTCAACAATGTCATCGGACTTCAGCGTATTCAAATGGTCAATGGTCTTGGAGAATACCTGCATTTCTAAAGTGTCCTTAGTTTCTTGAATTGTGTTTTCTAAAGCCAAAAGCTCATCTTTGCTGACAGAAGATCCATTGGCTTCAATGTATTGAGCGAAACGACCATATAGAATTCTACGGTATTCTTCAATAGCTTCAAGGTACTCCTTCTGAGTGCGACAGTTAGAGAGTCTACGAATAAAGATAATTCTCCACCAGCTGATAATTAAGCGAGTCTCGCGATAGATGACATAGTAATGCTTAGCAGTAGGGGCAACTCTTAATTGAGTGCTAGCAGGAGAAGAGACTTCTTCAATACCAGAGATGACAGCACCCTGTTCAACAGCTTGAGTGATGTCAAGTTCAGAAGAGAATGGTGGCATAGTTGTAGAAGTGGAGGTAGTCTTCTTTCCAAAGACAGGAGTAGAGAACTTCCATTGAAGAGATTTGACAGAACTAGATGTTCTCGAAGAACTCAACAACACTTTAGCACCTTGCTCTAACTTGTGGGCACCAAGAGTATAGAAGTCATGGCTTTCAAGCTCTACACGTCCATCAGCTGTCAAGAACCACTTTTGGGTGCTTACACCAGCCTCGGCCTTATGAACAATCTTGGATGAGACGGAGACTTTACCTATTTAATGAAGATAATCAGAACACGTTCGAAACGAATATTTTAAATAGTTTACCTTCGACATCAATGACATATTTGCTACCATAGTTGATTAACAAGCCATCATTGAATGTCCACAATTGTTCCTTGAAAGTCTTGAAGTCCAACTTTTTCAAGACAAGTTCTGAGCTACCTTCTTGAACTGAAAGAACCAAGTCATCAGAGCCTCTGTAAACGACCTTCATAAAGAACCAAGTAGAGGCAGGGAATACGCCTCTACGTGAAGTGACAGCATGCAAAGCAGCCCAATCAGTTTTTTGTTTGCGAATCCAAGTAGTAGCAGAGGAGAATGCTGTAACGGCCTTCTTTTGGTATTCTACATCAGAAATAACAGGAATATGGAACTCCAATCCTTGAGCTTCTTTACATTCACTATCAGATGTAACATCCAAAATGTAAGATCCAGACTTGGTGCGAATAAAGCGAATGTAGTAAATAATTTTGGCAATACGGACAGAAATAGACCCATTAGCAGAAATGTAGAACTTTTGATTTAAAGTACTGTGAGAGTTAGACAAAATCCATCTGTGGGCTATAAATAAATAAATTTAGTATTGATCCGTAAACACTTAAATACTATTAACTTACATGAACTCAAAACAAGACGAAGCAAGTACTTGTAGTTGATTAAATAGCCGTCAATAAAAGTCCACAAGAATCTTCTGTAGTCTAAATTTTCAGAGATTTCATAGAGACCAACTTGGCTCTGAGCAGTCTCACCAGAAGCAAGGAAGTGCTTGTCAGTACCAAAACGGATAAAAAACCAACCTTCTGTCTCAGGCCATTGATTTTGGGCAGTAACCTTGTGACAATAAGTTTCCTTAAGCCACTTATAAGAAATGATAGCAGAAGCAGAACTTGTGACCTTTTCAACCTTTCCAGATTCAATAATCTTGACACCAGATTCACCTTGGCTGACAGGGATTAAAGCAGGAATCAAGACTTCCCAATGTTGTTCAGGACGAGCCAATTTTTTAACAAGACTCTTGGCTTCTTGGACAAAGACATCAATTTGAGAGTACTTATCAGAACGTTTAGTTTCCTTAAGAGATAAAACAAATGAAATCCTAGTCTTGAGATGAATAAAGCCTTCAGGACTATGTTCCCATGTTTGGTCTTCAGCACCTTCGGTAGGAGGACTACGGGAAGAGAGATGGATACGTTCACCAGCTACGAGAGCAGCCTTAGCAGCATCAAGCACCAAGTTTTGTCCTTTAAGGTTGACTAAGAATCCGTCTTGGTAAGACCACAATTGGCTGGCATAGTCACTGGCTCTCATTCTTGTCAAAGCTACAGGAGAGCCCTCCTTAACATCACCGATAATATCCAAGACAAAACCATGCAAAGAGCTCTTGATAAAGAAATAGCCTTCAGGGAAGTCACCATGATGAGTCTTATAACGAACAACCTTCTCGAAACCAGTAGGAATATAGTTTTCTTCCAATTGGAAAGAGTCCTTACGGTGTAAGCGTTGAGATTTTGAGGAGTTAGATTTCTTGGGTGAAATTTTAGGGCTAATGATAGGACTTGTAGGTGTGTTACTAACGGTTGAACTAGCTTGAGCAGGAGTCTCAACAGTAGCAATCATTTCAGATTTAGGAGATTCAAGAGCAGTGACGGTTGCAACAGTAGAATCTTCTTGAGTGGTAGGGGAACTAGAGACGATATTGACAGAAGTGCCTGCAGCTACATTTATAGCAGTTCCTGCAGCAACGACAGCAACTCCAGAAACAGATCCAACTGTACTAGTAGAAGATGAAGGTGTTTGGACAGGTGTCTGAATTTCGTATTCACTCTCTTCGCCTTCTTCATTCTCTTGTTCAATAGAATTTTCTTCTTCCTCTTCTTCATCTTCGTCGTCATCGTCATTGATTTCTTCATCTTTTTCTTTCACAACAACAGCTTGTTCTTCCACCTTTTCAACTTCCAGAGCAGATTCACCTTCAGTAGTAGTAGTAGTAGTAGCAATCGTACGCTTGCCGAATACAGGCTTGGTAAACGACCAGCGCAACCATTGATCAGATTTCAAGGAAGTAACTTCCTTGTCCCCTACATTAGTGTGCACAATTTTTATTTTTTTAATACGTACCCGAGCACCTTCTACAGATGCATCCTCAGCATTTGCAACACCAATAGCTAATCTTTCATTTGATCTCAAGTGAATCTCGCCATCCACACCAAGGTCCCAGAATTGACCCTCGTTGGATGCCTTTTCTTTGAGATAGACTTGAGGTTGCTCACCTTCAATGGCAATATCTTCGGAAGCTTGAGCATCAAGTACCAGACCAGTTTGTTCATTGACCAAATAACCATCTTTATAAGTCCAAAGTTGCCACTTATAAGCCTTGAAATTCAATGAGCGAATGACAATTCTAAACGAAGATGAAGATTCATCACGTTCAACTGTCAATGCCAAATTCTTTTTGCCATAAGCACAACGAATAAAGAATGAGCCATCAGGGAAAACACCCCAACGACGAATCATGACACGTTTGTTGACACGTTCATATTTTTCTGCCTTGGATACATCGACGGAGCAACTGTTACCAACTTTTTCTAAAACAAGACTATCCTTATTAGCTTGTTGAGCGGCATAACTGGTATGAGTGCATTTGCTAAATACAGGAGTAGCAAAAGTCCATTGCTGATAATCAAGACTTGAGTCACCACGCTTAATAAGCTTCAATTCGGCGCCTTCTTTAGCATGGTTACCAGCAGTGCTAAGAACCAAATTAGCGTTTGATTCAGGATGAATGTGACCTTCAACAGAAAGACTCCAGACTTGATTTTTACGGCTTGAACGTAAGAACTTGGGACTCCATTGAATGATATTGGCATTGGAGAAGAGTCTACCACCAGCTACGTCGATGACATAATCAGTATCAAAGTTGGTAATACATCCATCTTCGCGGTATCGCCACAATTGGCGCTTAAAGTTCTTGAAGTCTAACTTTGCTAAAATTAATTTAGCACCCTTCTTCTTGTCAGAGACAGTAACAAAAAGATTGTCGTCGCACTTTGAGCGAATAAACACCCAGCCTTGAGGGAAGACGCCATATGAGTGAGTAACTAACTTGCGCTCTACATTGTTGTCTGCGAAACGAATAATGTTATTTTCCTGGTGCACACACTATAGTACTTACGCTTATGGAGAGTCCATGTAGTCAAGACAACTCTTCTGAAACCAACAAGATATGAAATCTCTCTCTTGTCCTTTTCAGAATAACGAGTTTCATATCTTCCGTAAAGAATTCTCCAGGAATAATAAGTAGTTGTAGTAATACAAATAGTCCAAACTCCATCGACTTCGACAAGCCCAAGACCGAATTGCTCATTCTTTTTAGAAATAATTGATCCATCAGTTCTTAAAGTCCAAAGTTGGTGAATGTCGTCTTTTGATTCTGAGCTTAATACAAGACCTTTTCCTTCAGCAAAAGCATCTATTGTGATACGTTTAATTTGTTACACGAATGAAATGAAATTTTATTTTTACCTTGAGCGCGCATAACCAAACCCGTTGCACAGTGCACAAGATAACCATTGCGGAAAGTCCATTTGAAAATGCTGCTTTGGTCAATTTCTAATTTTTTCATAATGAGTCTTGATCCTAATTCAGACTTTTCAGGAGTCAAAGCATGGTCGTCGGGGCCACGAATATAGAATTCACCTTGAGGCCATTCAGCGATGGGATGATGAGTGATCTTCTTAGTAGTGGTAGTAGTAACACGCCACTCTTTAAGAACTGCGACGGACCAATGAGTGAGGACTTGAATACCAGAGCGATAAACAAACTTGGGAATCAAAAAGCCCCAGCGGAATTCTTGAGAGAATTTGTGGTCGGAAAGCGTGAGGCGATACTTGTTTTGCTCTTGAGTCTCGATTGAAAGAGCAAGTCTAGAGTCAGAAGATCCGTAAAAGAGATAGCCATCAGTAGTCATGTACCACTTTTGACTAGAAGCTTTACTTTGAATCAACTCTGCGCCTGCAGTAAATGCTACAAAAAAGTGTTAAAGTTTGTCTTCCCAGAATGTAATATTTTTTTGCCACTTACCGCTAACATCAATCACAAGATCCGTAGCATAATTAATTAATTTGCCAGAAGAAAAAGTCCAGAGTTGATAATGCCAGTTTTCCTTGTCCAATAATCTCAATTCGATAGACTTTTCATGTGCAGTTAAGACCAAAGGAGACTCAGTAGTGGAGTTTTGATGGTAAGATCGGATGAAGAACCAGTCAGAGGGATAAGTAGCATATCGGAAAGTGGTTTTTGTAACCGTAGTAGCTAAATCACGGTTAATTTTAGCACTTTAGTAATTCCATATTTAGTAATAACTTACTCTTCTTTCTGAAAACAGGGAGTACAAAGTTCCAGCATTGCTCCTTGTGTCCAGACTTTCGTTCTGACAAGTACAACTTGGAGCGAACAGCTTCATTCTCCTTGACAGTCAAAACAAGGCCTTTATTCACTTGAAGATAGATAGCACCATCGGGAGTTAAGGCCCACTGTTGGTTTTCGTTGTCCTTTTCTTTGCGAGTATATTGACAGATACCAGCACCAGATTTGAGAGCACCTAATGATGATAAACCACAATTATAAATACATAAATCCTCTTAGTCTCAAGAAAAGTACTTACCACCTCGAACATCAAGGACCATTTCTGATGCTTTGTTGACAATGAAGCCAGAATCATATTTCCAAAGTTGACGAGAATAATTAGACTTGTCAAGCTTAGAGGCAGCAACTTCAGCAGCAATCACACCAGTCTCAAGAACAGTCAAGACCAAACCACGCGCTTGACTCTTAACAAAGAACCATCCTTCAGGGAAAACACCACGAGTTTCAGTTTTGACAGTAGTTTCTGTGCTCTTTTTGAAGACTGGCAAAACAACAGTGAATTTTTGATTGATATGCTTAGACTTCTTCTGGAGATGAAGATGAGCACCCTCGCGACTACCAAACCAACTTTCCTTGAACCCAATAACAAAGCTGGGATCATGCTTCAAAGTAATCTCACCTTCAGTAGACAAAGTCCAAGCTTGTGTCTTATCGTTAGAGGCTGATAAAGTGGTCTGAATGATATCGGCACCATCCTTGATATGGTTGTAAGCAATGCCAAGTACAAGACCATTAAACTTGTTGACAATACGATGGGAAGAAGCGTCGTATGTCCAGAGTTGACTTTCATAGTTTCTCTTACGAAGAAGTTCGAGTGTAAGTTGAGTTCCAGAGGAAATAGAGCTTGCATTCTCAATGCTGATATAGAGACCAGCAGCATCAGATTTCAAGAAGAATGCAGTATCGGGGAAAGACCCTGTAGGAACTGTATTAGCTTCGTTTTGGTCAATGCTTGCAGTAGACTCGGCGGCAGAATGAACAGAACGAACATCTAGTCAAATAAGTTAGCTTTCTGATTTCATTATCTTTTTTTGAATTACCATCCTCCTTAATTTGAGTAACAGCAGGAACCTTGACATTTGTGGAGGTAGTGCTCTTGGAGCTAGCACTTCTCTTGAGAGGTTCGTGAACTTCCTTAACGACAGGTAGTACAAAGTCCCAGCGTTGTTCTTTGCGGTCAAGATGACGTTTATCGATCAATTGAAGATGAACATGGAGACCTTCACGGCGAGAGAAAAATGATTCTTTGATACCAAGGATCAAAGAGGGTTTGTTGACCAAATAAATATGGCCATATGGAGAGAGGCCAAACTTTTGGAAGTTGTTTTCTTCCTTTACACTAGTCGATTGAACTTGTTGTACAATGTCGACGCCAGCTTTTGCTGTACCTATATTCAATGCAAATTAGGAACACAAATCACGAAAACGAATTTTAATGACCGCTGTGTTTCGGATTGATTTCCGTTGTGTAGCGTACGAATTACTTACCTTTTGCAACATCCATCACTTGACCAGATTTCTTGTTGACAAGATAACCATTATGATCATAGCGCCAGAGTTGGGCGCTGTAGTCTTTTGTACGTAAAGTTGAAAGAACAATAGGGATACCAGTTTCCTGTGATTCATTGTCGACCATTAATACATAGCCATTACTGTGATTCTTGATGAAGAACCATCCTTCAGGGAATTTTTCGCTTTTATCAAACATATGGTTGGATTTTCTTCTTACAAGCAGAGACTATTGTTTGGTTTTAATGTATGTATAATTTTTATGAAAAAAGCTTTTTTGAAAATATGTATAAATGTTTCCTCTTTTTGTATTATGTTAAAGTATGGGGGGAAATCAATGTTACTCTTAAAGCTAAAGAAGCAAACAAAGAAAAAGGACAAAAGAAAAAAAAAGAGAACAAGAAAAGAAAAAGATCTAATTCAACAAGAAGCAATACACATTTGGCGATTCGATCTTGTTGCCTGTAATGTCCACAAATAAGGTTGCCTTCTAGATAACTATGCCGATGTGATACACGCCTTTTAGCCCACTGTTTACGTTTGACATGCTACTACATAATCATTTTGTGCCTCCTTTGTATCACTTTTCTTTTCTTTTCTGATACATCAAGCTCTTAAATGGCTAAAAAAACAAACTGCAGTAATTTAATAGTGTCATTATAAATGCTTAATTTTTTTGAGATATCGTATCACTTTAAACATTAAAAAAAGAGACAATAACATTTTTTTTTGGTTTCTTGTTTTCTGTAACATTTTGATCTAACTGTTACAATTAAAATATTCATTAAACCCAAATCAATTATGATTATATTTATAAGAACGGATTAGTAAACATAGAATCTTGGACTTTGAATGAAACCAGGAGGCAACTCTGTATAGTTACAAGTGTGTACTACATGACAAAAGCTTAAGGAATTTCCATTATTTAGAGTCTGGCCGTTTCAACAACCATATTCTATTTTTGGAGTTACCAAACCCATGATAATAAAGGCAATTTTTGTTACTCTGCCTCTCTGCTCACGACCTGTTTTAAGAACATGTGTGCATGCCACAAAGTTAAAATAAGCTATTTTCCTCTGCCAAATAAAAAGCAAGTGAAAAAAAGAAGAGATGTTCAGATAAAAAATGATCAGGTTGGAGTCATGCTTCATTATTACTGCAGGAGTTTTGAGTTTGTTTTTTTTTTCGCTTCTTTTTCGAGCTTTATTTGTTTTCATACGTGATTATGGAAGCCTCTAAATATGTCAGCGTGATACAAAGTTTAGAATAAAGAGCAGTGTTTGTTTCATGAGTTCATGAAAACATTTTTGATTAAATTCTAGTAACAAGCAACAATATTGTATATGAATATCATTCATAACCTGGTATCTGCTGTATTATTTTTTGCTTTGCATAGTAGAGAGAGAATATACAACCACATGATTGAATAAGTCTTCATCAGCTATCTTTCTCCAGCTAAGTAAGCGTTATACAATAACTTTATTTTATTGATCTCGTTACAGCTTAATAATATATATTTACTTTAGGTCATAGTGTTTTATTTGTCAATATCTTTCCACATGGTTTATCTAGTCTCTTTTTGGCTCTTCAATGCAAATGCCATTTTTTCCATTATTTCACACGAATGTTTGTAAACAAGAACAGTACAGAAAATAAAGTCAAAGGAAAATCACCAGATTTATTGCAGTAAGACATGAGCCGAGTACCTTCTATTACCCGTTACTTGTAGGTACAAGGATAAGAATAGGGGATGCATTATTATTCTTAGCATGGATTCTAAAAAAGAACGCCACTGGTGAACCATTTGTTCTTCAAGGTCGTCATATCTTTTTTATTCGGATCTGTTCTTTTTTTTCGTTAGTTCCAAATCATTTTTTAGAGCCTTTACTCTAATCTCCTCCGATAATCCGATATGTTCTTGCTTTCTCTTCTTGACTTTTCTTATGAGTGATGATGGCAGCAAATCATTGGTACGTCATAAACACGAAGTTTAAGCGTACCTGAATTTATGGCCAATTAAAATGAGCTCAGAAACCTTATTTTCAAAATTGCTTTCCCGATTCTATGGGACTCAATTTCTTTGTCCCGGTGTAATTATGATCTGTAGCATTAAAATAGGCAGTTTAGACAATGAAGCTTTTGAGGATCGCCTCAAATCGAGTATCCTTTCTCTTTTGATAGGTATCAGTCATTTTGTTATATTAGTAAAGTATAACTTAAATATCCTAATGTAGAAAACTTGTATAAATATTCGTGAGTATTCTATTGTGAACACAAGGTATGTTTCTTCTTTTTTAAATGCTTCTAGACACCAAAATCAGCAAGAAAGAAACAGAAACTATCAAAGCTTGCATACTTGGAATAAGTTCCGTTCTTTATTGGGTTCAAACCTTAGAAAATAAGATCTACTGTGTTGCATAATACAAGAAAAGAAACACTTTCTTTTTATTGTTTTGGGATACAGAAACACTTGTAAGGGATGGTTACAAAATTCACGATTAAAAGATGCATTGATCTTGTTGTCAAAAGATACAGCGGTTGTGCACTGACAAGTCCACAAATTAATTTTTCAAAACCTTATGCAATAGAGCAAACTAAACAGCCTTTCTGTTCAGAAATATTGCAGTCGTTGAATTACTAAAAAAAAGACTTGAAGCATCTACCAATTTTCGAATATCTGCCAGTGATACATCAATGTTTCCAAAAGTACATGTATTGGTTAAAGAATTCCTCCTGGGGCTGTGAAATGCATTGAAAGGATAATATTTATGATTTCGTTATAGAGAAATGTGCTTTATTTGCAAGATAAAATAAGAGAAGAGCTCTTAAGGTATTACTCCAAATTTCGATTATAGAGATTTTTCTTTATTTGTATCATTAAGCATGTCTTGTTCTTTTTAGTAGCGTTTGTAATCTAGATGTTTTAATGATATTTCGTTTTCGTGCGCTTTTGATTTAATACATAAACTCTTCGTTAGGACAAAGTAAATACAACTACAAATTTAGACCTAGCTTAATTTAGGAAGAAAACTTTGCTTAAGCTATGCAGCGTTTATAGGCGTGTCTAAGTAAGCAAACGCTAATTCTGTTTAAGCAGAAGCAGTTGGATTCAAAGTTTTATTTGATGTGAGTATTACTTAAATATTTGAATCAGAAAGAAAAGGCTGAATCTTTATTAATTCAATTTGTACTGGTCAGAAAAGGATTAATCTTTGGCTTGACCTGCCAAAAAGCAAAAAGAAGAAAATAATACATGTTTTGTGCATATGTCAGAACTATTGTCTGTTTTTGATCTATGTATATAGAAAGATGTTAAATGTTACTCTATTTTATTTTGAATTATCTATTAGAAGACAATAACACAAATTGATAAGAAGTATCCAATGACAGATCAAGCGACTCCAAATAGACATTATTACTAAATTTGTAAATTATCCTTTCCAAATAGACTTATTTTCAAAGTTGATTTCTATTTCTTCTTTTTCTTTTTGTTCTTTCTTTCTTCTTGTTTCTAACTGCTATCATGCTAGTCACGACTTTATATAAGATTGCTGTCACATTCGTCTTTGTAATCACTTATGCTTGTGCTAATAATGCGGAAGCTGAACTGGAACAACCTACAAAGCTTCTGGGAGGTAAACAGAATCAGCGTTTTACATGAGATACGTATTAAAACAGAAAATATATGGTAGGTGTATTAAGAAGACCAGAAAAGTGCAAGCAAAAAGTTGGAAGTAACGCAAGAGTTAAGTTGCATTATCGTGCTCGAGCTTGGGGAAACGAGGAATTTTATGAAAACACATTTTCTGAACAACCTGTACAATTCAAGCTTGGTAAAGTATATATACCCAGAAGAATGAAATCCCAGTAAGGCTTAAACCAAAATAGGTAGAGATAAAATAATGAAAGGTTTAGAGCAAGGTATTGATGGCATGTGCGTTGGTGAAATTCGCCGGTTACTCATTCCTTCTGACCTCGGTAAGTCACGCTATAAATGTGTCGTTGATACTGAACTTGTTTTCTTTGTTGCCTAGCTTATGGAGCAACTGGTCTTCCCAACTTGGTTCCAGGTAAATTCTCAGAGCACAAAATAATTAACGTTACTCAAACTTCTTTAATTAGCTAACACTGCTGTCATTTATGAAGTTGAAATGCTTGAAGTTGATTCACCATTCAGGTAAGAAATTATACGATATGACTTGTAAAGTGGCTAAATAATGATAACAATAGAAATCCTTGGTTTTGGGCTGGTCTCGCTACCTTGTTTTTCGCTTGGAGATTCATGAACAAGTACAACAAGATGCAAGCAGACTCACAATCTGCTCAATTTTTGGAACAAAAAGCTCAAGAAAAGAAGTCTGAATAATGCTAATAATAATAATAACAATAATTACCCTTTTTACTTATCTAATAATAGGATTTTTCGACAACAATGTGATTTTTTTTTCTCAGCTTATCATTACCATTGTCGTCGTCATTCTCATCATAACCTCGGCTTACTTGTTCTTCATATTTATGCATTAAAAAAGGAACAGGGCTTGAATTTCATTGTCTCAAGAGTCAATAGGCTTTTTATTAACCTATGAAGGACATACTTGGTCCTTGTCCAGTTATGTTAATCGTGTTGCCAATCTAAAAAAGGCTAAAAAACATATCATTATTTTTTTTCTCCTGTAAAAATCCCGGTATAAATCATTTTTCTTAAGGCATGATTCTAGTAAACTGACAGCTCAAAGCAAATGACATGGCCGCGGGCGGGCGGACTTTTTCTATTTTAATATAAATTGGTTCATTTGTTTTTTTTTCTTTGTTTGTTTTCTTCATCATTTGACATGGCTGCTGCAACATTATCCAATTTTGAACCTACTCCTAACAATACTTTGTTAAACAACGTTAATCTTCCTGGAGCTCCTGTCATTGCTGACGAGGATCAACCGGTTGAAAAGAAAAAGGAAAAGAAGGATAAAAAGAAAGACAAGAAAAAGGACAAGAAGAAGAACAGTAAGAAGGAGGAAGACAAGGAACCCAAGCCAATTCGCCAGGTAAGATGTAGTACATTAAGCGATCAAGTATTTACGTATAGGGTAGGCTGTTGGCGTGATTGTGATTGACCCTGCTACTCAAAAGATCCTTTTGTTGGAAAGCCAAAAAAGACCAGGAGCATACGTACTTCCTCGTGATGATTGTAATGATGAAGAGCATCCGGAAAAGGCAGCTCTCCGTCTTTTAGTGGAAAAGGCAGGCGTCCAGACCACATTTTTGTCTAGCCGCGTTGGATCTTATTCTGAATCTAACAAAAAGGGGAAAATCACAGCACAACACTGGATGTATGAAGTGCATTCACCTAATGTGCTTGAAAAGTCTGATCGTCAAAGAGTATGGGTAAGTGTACAATATGCATGTCATAAGGGATTCGTCTCATTTAATATCTTTGTTTGTTATTAGGTCACATATGAAGAAGCATTGAAGGCTACAGAAGAAAAGAGAATGTCTCATCTTGCTCTTCAAAAATGTTCTCTTGCTCCTAAATAAGAGGGTTGTATAAATAGACAATAAAAAAATCAAGTGGTGTCACGCCTTTTATGTGTAACATTTATTATTGTGCCTAGCGTCTTCACATTCCAGGTCTTCTCTTTCCATATGTGTGTGTGTATGTGAAAATAAAATAAAATCCCATTTACAAAACATCTTTATTTATTTCAATTGCTGATTCCTGGCAATGTAATTACAGTAGGTTGTTGTTGGTATTCTGTATGACGCTTAAGACCCATGCTAACAGATAGAATCTATATTCCACTGGTCAATTTCCCCCTCTTCTTACCCACAACCTACCTCATCCAACATCTTTCTCAGGTGAATATTATCTTCTTCTATTTGTTTTAATCTTTCTTCATTTGTGGCATGTAATTGCCGTGTTTCTTCTAATAACTCTGTCAAGCTTTTGTTTTGGTTTTCTAAATTCTCTAATGCATCATCCACATAGTTTCGACGATTCTTATCTTTTGCTCGAGATCTATGTCATGTATCAGTAACCAATCTGCTTGTTCATGTATATTCTACCTCCAACTCTCTGCAATGATGATGGACGCGGCTACACTAAAAACAAAAGCTTCACTCAGAAAATTAGCGCCACTTTCAATGGCTCTATAGAATACGTTTAGCTGTTGCCATAGTAACTGTGCCTGATATTTATCATGCGTTGTACCTTGCATCATTTAAGGGTCGAATCTTTTCTGTCTTATATCCCAAAAACTTCATCTTCAAAGTCATTTCCAAATGGTGCGATCGCTAAGAAAAGAAAAGAGAAAAACTCGAGTTGAAGCCATATTCATGTTATCTTCCTTTGCTTACCTGAGCTACACTCATACAAAATTCTCTAAAAGTGGGGTGTTGCTTTGCTTGTGTCTTGATCGAGTTTGCAACAGGTTTTGCTAGCGTTCTATCGAGCAAAGATAAGCACATAAAATCATACTATTTCCGTTTATTACTTGACAAGCAAGGAACCAATTTTTATCGCACTCATAACAATATTGAAGAAAAAGAAATGAATAATAAAAAAAAAAAAGGTAATTGAATGCATGCACACGAACTAAACAATAATGTACTTTTAACAAGGGTTGTTCTTATTGGGTAGGATATTCGGTAACTGAATACACTTTTTTCCTTTTGACTCAAAAACAGAGTCTTATTTCATCCATAGATAGAGGCTTAGAAGAAATAGTGTAACGCATTTATCTTGTTTATTCTCCCTTTCTTTCTTTCTTTCCTTTTGCTCTTATTGTTACTAACAATAAAGTATGTCTGCATTTATTCTCGAAAGATACGCCCCCAATTGAAGTTTCTGAAAATACTATGCATTTGTCAGGATATGAAAACCATGTCAGAGCTGAACCTAAAGTTCGTGGCATAATATGAATTCTTTAATATTTGTGCTTCAATACTAGAACCAAAAAATACGTGCGGCAAATAAAATCATTTGAAAATAAAATACTAGAACCAAGCATGCAAAGAGCAACAACCTTTGAGTTAAATGTTACTGGTGCCATAAATCAGTCAAAGCCTCTTAAGGACAATAACAGAAGCATCAAGCCTATTTCAGAGACATCCGAGAAGATTGACTGAAGAAGTGATGATGAGATGCAAACGTAATCATTGTCATGCTCCCAATAGCCTTGAAGATTTGATACCTTTTTCTCTCAGCTTGAGATAATAAGTAAAGATTAAGTCTATTTTTATTGGAGATAGTTATCAGAAAATGATGCATAAATATAACTGATCTCTTTGCTTAAATTATCTGATTTCATTGTTCAGAGATGAACACATTAATGTAAAACACATAGCTGACTTTTTTCTCTGATAAAAGATACATACGAGTAAATAACATGCAATGAATAAGTAAAGAATAAGCGCAAATGGCTTGTTTTTCTTTATTCTCTGAATGACCATGCATCGCTATGCAAAAGGTGTACCACAGTTTATCAGACAAAATATCTTACTATGGGCTTCTTTTTCAAACAAGTATCTCAAGAGAATCTTGTAAGACTAATGGTAAGTTTTAAGTTTGGACTATCGCATAAAGTTGAGATGTAAAAATATATTAATAAATTTTTTCTTTTATTCTACTTTCTATACTTTTACGCTACATTATACTCTTCTGTTTGGTTGAATAAAATTTAGGCTGGACATCATTTAATACACTGGAGTTGACATTTCTCTCAAGATAAAAAAGAGAAAGACTTTGAAATTTTATAGCCACTGAAAGAAGAATCATTGATCTAATGGTGCCTTGCTCAACAATGAAGAGTTATGAAGAAAACTATGTACTAAATTAAACTAACCAGTATCTAGAAAAGAAGACTTGTAGCACTTAATCAAATCATTTATCCATTGAAACTGTATCCTCAGTGTTTATAGAGTGAGTGGATCGATTAATAAGTTATATTTATCCACTCATTCATTCATCTTATAGCATTGGAATAAATCTCAATTCCAAACGTACTACACTGTCTTGCTGACCAAAGATCGTAGAAAAGATCCATCATGCTAGCTATTCTCGCCTAAAAACACCTTTTGGTAAGTATCAGAAATAACGGTCACAAAATCTAACAATTTTATGGGTGAAATAGGTGGGAGCTCTCCATGAGTCATTGTCTAAATGATCTGAGCCAATTCCATCACATCACATCTATAGAGCCTCATTTGTCAATGATGTACATAGACGGTCTCTCATAAAAAAAATTCCTGTTTGTCTTTCTTTTCTCCCCTTCCTCCCTCTCTCTCTCTTCCATCCTTTTTTAAAAAATGTGTGGAATTTCAGCCTTGATTTTAGCTGACCAGAGTGCATCTGCCTGTCCAGACCTTTTTGAAAGTTTAGGACTTTTACAACACCGAGGACAGGTAAGAAGTCAGTTCATTCATTTCATGCAAACAATTAAATTTTTGTATGCAGGATGCTGCAGGTATTGTTACTTCGGGTCCAAAAGGCCGCTTGTATCAATGCAAGGGTAATGGCATGGTGAGAGACGTATTTGAGGAATCCCAACTTGCTCGACTCATAGGTAGTCTTGGTATTGGCCATGGTAATATTTCATTATTCTATTTCTTGTATTACTTACACCGTTTATAGTCCGATACCCCACTGCTGGATCTTCATCTACTTCTGAAGCACAGCCATTTTATGTCAATTCACCTTATGGCATCACATTTGCGCATGTAAATATAGAGTACATTATTCATTTCGTTTGACATTTATCCTGATAGAACGGAAATTTAACAAATGCTGATGAACTTCGCATGTATTTAGATAAAGTTGCTCATCGTCACATCAATACTGATTCTGACTCTGAATTACTTTTAAACATCTTGGCGGATAACCTACAAAAGACGGGAAAAGCCAGGTAAGTCAACCTACTTAAACAAATGTATGTCTAATGTTTTTGATAGAGTGAATGAAGAAGATATCTTTGCAGCCATCAAACAATTACACCAACAATGTCGAGGTGGTTATGCCTGTGTAGCCATGATTGCTGGCTATGGTATTATTGGCATCAGAGATCCCCATGGTATTCGTCCTTTGATTATGGGTAGCAGAAAAAACCCTGCAGGATATGATTATATGTTTGCTTCTGAAAGTGTTGTCTTGGAAGCACTTGGTTTTACTAATTTCGAAGATGTGAAGCCTGGTGAAGCTATCATTATCACTCAAGGCGGCCATATTTCTCGTTGTCAATTGATTGAAGGTCAAAAGATCTCGCCTTGTATCTTTGAATATGTCTATTTTGCTCGTCAAGATAGTATCATGGATGGTATTTCTGTCTACAAAGCACGCTTGAGTATGGGTGAGGCACTTGCTGATCAAGTTACCCGCTCTTTTGGCAAAGATATGGATATTGATGTAGTCATTCCTGTACCTGATACAAGTCGGGTTGCAGCACTGCAGCTCTCTAAAAAATTAAATATTGCTTATCGTGAAGGTTTCAATAAGAATAGATACGTTGGACGTACCTTTATCATGCCTGGTCAACAAACAAGGTATGAATCCTTGTAGATAATGCTGCTCATTCTAACTGTTTTATTGTTTTTAGACGCAAAAATGTTCGTCGTAAACTGAATGCAATGGCTTTAGAATTCCAAGACAAAAACGTCTTACTTGTAGATGGTAAAAGTAACTTATGTGATAAGCAAGTTGTATTGACACTGACTAGACTCCATTGTAAGAGGAACAACATCAAAAGAAATCATTCAAATGGCTCGTGAAGCTGGAGCCAAAAAAGTATACTTTGCTTCTTGTGCACCACCTATTCGTTTCCCTAACGTCTATGGTATCGATATGCCTACACGTCACGAACTTGTTGCTCACGAAAGAAGCGAACAAGAAGTAGCAGAAGTGATTGGTGCTGATAAAGTAATTTATCAAGACTTGGATGATTTGGTTCAGTCTGTGCGTCGTTTTAATCCTTCCATCGAAACATTTGACACTTCTGTATTTGATAAGTGCTACATTACTGGTGATATTGATGAGAAATATATGGCACACCTAGAAGGAATTCGTAATGATGATAATCAGTCCCGTTTAAGTATGGACAGTGATTGCGTTGGTCTTTACAACAGCTTTCAAGGTAAATAAGAACCCCTTTTTATGCTTACACCAAGGTAATCGGGTACTTAATTTTTCTTGGTGACTTTCTAAATAATAATAATAATAAAAAAAAAAAAAACGCGCACAAAATAATTCTCTTTTTTCATTTACCTGTAAAATATGGGAGGCAAGCTACCTTTGACAGTTGATCCCTCACTAGGCAATCCTAGTAGCAAGATCTTTTCATTAATTCAAAAAGATCAAGAGCCTTTTGACCTAGAATCCTGTCTTAAAAGTATGTTATCCTTTCGTTTTATACTTTACTAACACGCTTTTATGGACAGACAGCGAGTATTCTAGTGAATACAAATATGCTTTTGCTAAAACAACAGCTATTCCCTATCCTAAGGCTTTGTCTAGATCTATGCAAGGTATGCAAATCATATCAGACAAATCAAATCTGACCTAAATCATATAGTGACAAAGGCCGCTTATAAAGTTGGTGTCTTACAAGCAATCAACCGTTTTTGGTTATCCACCAATACTGGCCTTTATTTGTGGGATTATTTAAATAACCATGTCTTCAGATACGAATGCAATGGCACTATTCAGAATGTAGATCTTATTACCTTTGATGACCATCATGAATTACTTGTTTCTACAACTGATTATTTGTATTTGCATGCACTCGCAATCGACAAAGACAAGCTACATATTGTATCCAATGCAAGCATCAAATCATCTGGTGTTGTTATGTCTAATATCGTTACTATCAGTGATACTAAGCGAGTATTCATGAAGGGCAGCGACGGCCATCTTTATGAGCTTTCTATTTCATTTGACAATCAAGGCAACACCAGTCAACATGGGCTTGTTTGTCATACAGAAAACCCCCTTATGTACTATATGCCTTCTTTCTTCAAGTCAGTCCCTACAACCAAAGTTAAGTGTATTGCTTTGGATAATGATACTTTGTTTGTGTTGCAAAGTGACTCATCTATCCATGCCGTCAATATCAAGGGCACACTCTATTCGCCTGTTCATCGCTTTGAAGGCTCTAATTTAGCTTCTATCCATGTGGTACCTCCCACTGAATCAAGCATAGTCAGAATCATGGCTGTATCTGAAAAGGGAGATCGACACTATCTCAAATATCAATATCCAGAATTTACTCTTTATCATACTCGTTCTGCTCCTTCTTTAGCTGGATCACTTCTATTTAATGGGTTGATGAAAGAGGAAACAGAGGTATCTTTCTATCAACAAGGCGTATTTGGTGCTGTACTATCTAAATCTGAAAAGCAGTTCTTGATCTGGAGTTGCCCTCATTTGATTGAATCGGATCAAGGAAAGGTAGGTCTCGTTTTGGTTACCAATACTATCACTCACACTGTTATAGAAACTTTTAGAAGACTTGTATACAGAAGCCTTAACTAACAAAGTATGGGGTTTAATTCAACGTCCTCCAAATTCATCAAGAAATCATTTCAAACCAACATTTGCATTTCCTGAAGATACTCCTACAGAATACTTGGCAGTATCTGACATTGGTCTTATTCAATACATTCAACGTCGTCCTGTAGACTATTTACAAGAACTTCTTCAATCCACCAATTCAGCAGCAAACGTACTTAACTTTAGCCAGCGCTTTGGATATATTGAAACAGACTGCTTAGCTTACATGTTGGCTTGTTCACGAACTAAGCTCATGCCTGAAGCAGGTCTGTATTTGAGACAATCCATCAGAAGAGAAGAAGGTCTGCTGCTTTATTTTGCTCGTGTTGTTCAGGATATCTGGGGGATGGATATTTCTCAGAAAAAGTAAAATTTATTCTATTTTATTTTATTAGAGAAAAACGGCTAATATAGTTTGATAGAATACCTCAAGACCAACTCGCAACAGTTCAAGATCGTCTTAAGGCATTGTTGGAAACCATTTATCGCGTTGGTATTCCAATCAAGGTAAGAAAGAAAGGATGATTGGTTTGTTGCTTATCTTGTATTTTAGAATGAATTGCTGAATCTTATTACACGTACAATTGAATCAATTTCATTTGTTTGTTTTGTTCATAATCTCGAATGGATTCAGATCAAATCAAGCTTAACATCACTCACTACACCCTTCCCGTTTGCAGACATGGTGTCAACAGAGAAAGGCATTCAGCTTGCTGATGAAATCGTCCTTGTTTCTATTCAATATTCTGATCTGTCCAACTCATCTAACAACTTTAGCTTTATTGGTAACTTTTTGGAATCAGAATGTCTTTCGTATTTTGGGTATAACAACGTTGTTTACTACAAGGGCTTAGAATGCTTACAATCAGCTCGCAATCACCCCAATGAAAAGAAACAAGCTTTATTGCAGGCACTACATCACTTTCAAACCATCATTGAAGCACTGGATATAACTGTCGTTGAGGACTTAAGCCGAGATATATGCCTTTTAGAAAACTATCTTTGCGCTATTCATTTGATTTTCGCTAAATATCAGACGACAGATGCAGCAGCGCATGAACAAATCTATGCTACTCTATTGCCCATCATTCAAAAAGTAGTTTTACACCAAAAACAACAAGCTCACGCTGTCTTGATGGACACATTAAAATTGACTATGGACAAGGAGTTCCACTACAAAATTTATCAATGGCTTTTTGATCAGAAGCATAAACAATTGATGATCACTTTGGAAACACCTTTACTTCTCGACTTTATCCAGACTGAAATCACAAACTTGGCAGAACGTTATGCTTGTCTGAAGACGTATTACACACATCGTGAACAACATGAATTAGCTATCGACAGTCTCTTCACTTTAGCAACACAAGTACCTCAAGTGGTTCTTAGCCATCGTGTTCGATTTCTCAAGACTGTTTGTGATGAAGTGTCCTTGTTGCCAGTATCTGATCATACCAAACAAAAGGCTGCTACCATTCAGCACACATATAAAGTGGCACAAATTCAACTTGATGTGCACAACATACTAGCCAACCAATCCTCTACAGAAGCTCAACGAGACCTTGCAAGTGTAGCTGATACACTCTTGTCTGCTGATAAGTTACTAGAGATAGTTTATGATCATGCTTTGTATGAACCTGCTTTATGCTTGTTGAATCTTATGGAAAGATGCGATTGGGAGTTTGTCAAACGTGCTTGGACAGGTATTACCGAATCATGTAAGTAAAAAGAGAATAACAGACATGTTGTCTAAATTGGTTTGATAGGTTCAAATGAAAAAGAACTTAAATCAAAGGTGATTGAACTGACTAACCGCCTTTACCCATCCATACCTTCTTTCCCTGTTTGTAAGTAAATTGCTGATTTTATAGATTGCTTGTTTACTCAACTATGCTACTTTAGATATCATTTTACAAATCTTACAACAACATTTTAATGCCGATTTTGCTTCTGATACACTTATTGATGCTGGAGTACCTTCAGAAGTTGTTTCTGATGCAAAACAGGCTGTTTCTTCACATTGAGCACTATATTTATTCTTTTTTAATGAAAAAAAAAACTCAAATTGCTTCATCTTCATCTTAAAGAACAAACAGAAACATTGTATCATATCATTTATTTTCTAAATAAAAATGAATTTGTTTATACTGAAAGAATATAAAGCATCATATAAAGGGTCTCTACCTACCTTGATTGTTCGTTTTTAGATAGAACCACTTTTAATTAGACAATTTGTTGGTAAATTTGTGTTTGACAGCCAATAAAAGAAAAGATGAAGAATAATTCCAGTTTTTCAAAAATAATGCAGAGTTAAGCGGCCCAACTTCTATCCAACCAATCAAAAAGCTTTGACCTGAACTTTCTAGAGAACTGATTTCAAGCGGTGATGATTAATAGACTAGGGCTAAAGTCATAACTTAGGTTAAAGATTATGCCTTATTAATAAACGATTATATGGGCTACTCTATGGAGCATATTGCCAAATTGCATGTGTTGTGATGTAAGAGAGAAGATAAAAACAAAGAAGTCGATTAGAACTTGTATAGGTTTATTATCCAAAAATATATGTCTCTGTTTTTTAGCTCTTCATTCTCTAGGTATTTATATATGAAGAGATGTCGGAGTAAGTAGTAGTAGAGTTCATGCAAATGACTGAGTCTCTATTATCATAGACTACTTTAAATTAATTAAATAATGTAAATTATTGATCTCGGTTATACGTCTTGATCTATTAAAAGATACATTGTCTTATTCAGTACAAGAGGTTCTTTTATGCCTATTTCTGATGTAAATTGATTATGATGTATTTTAGTATGTAAATGAAGACTTATTTAATGTCAGATCATCATATGCATATAGATTCTATATGTTCACAACAGACTTATTGATTTGACCATTTTATTAGTGATTATATCACACTTGCGCAATGTCCAGTGTAGGCGAGTGTTCATGAAGACAATCAGCTATTGTAAACTCAAAGAGCTTACGCATGACTGATGTCAACGAAATCGGTCGATAGTTGGACGGATCAGAGGGATCACCTTTTTTGTGTATCGGGTATACATTAGCAAGACGCCAGAGAGAAGGAGTATAAGCCCATTGATAACACAGGGAGAACAGGAGAGACAAAAGCGGGGCAAGGTCCTTGGTCACGGCCTTCAGCATTTCTGCTTTCAGGTGATCGCTTCCAGGTGCCTTCCGAAGAGGTAAACGCTTGATGTGATCCATGATCGTGTCTGCTGAGAACATATCCAGGTTGGATGGCAAGACAAAAGGAACCAAACTATCACAGGAAAGTGGTGGGGGTGGACGAGATTCTGATGGGGGCAACAGAGAGCCAGCATAGACCGAAGTCAAGTGAGTAGCCATAGCATCTACTGAAGCTTTAGGACCATCTTTGTGAGCATAAGTACCGGAACAATCACGTCTTCTTTTCATACGAGAGAGGGTGCCAGTGGCTTTAGAAAAGTCTTGTTCCAACTGAGCACAGAAGTTCTTCCAAGAGAGACGCTTAGCTTTAGCAACAAGACGACGAAAGTGACGATGTGCATCATGATGCAACGACCACCAGTAAGCTTTGTCAACACCAGAGGCATGACGCCACCTACTATAACAGCGATCGCGTTCTCGAGCTGCTGATTCGATATCAGGAGTCCAGTACTTCTTCCACCATTTTCCAGACCGATGTTGTCTTGCACCAACCGACCCATCCAAAGCCTCGTAGAAGCACCCATTAAGAGTAGCATTCAACTCGTCAATATCAGGGCGTTCAAGCGGTGGCGCAGAGACCAGCTGACTCAGAGTAGATTCCAGAGGAACTACAAGCGAGCGAAACTTGCTTTGGAACAGTGCCAAAGGTTCCTTTTCCCGCAAGCGAGATAGGTTCCAAAGGCGTCGTGGAGCAAGACCGTCAGAGCCAGCATGAGCCCCAGATCCCAAAGTAGAATCATGGTCGAATGACAAAGTCATCAACCGGTGATCAGACCCAAGGGAGAGATCAGATTCTACTGCGACTTGAGCACCACGCATATTCCACGAGGAAGTATTTGTAATGAACAAATCGATGATACTACTCATTTCCATACCACGTCGAAACGTTGTAAAGGTGGGCACACCACGACAAAGAGTAGTATTCAGCACAGCCAGGTCTCGTTGTTCAAGCCATGCACGCATAGCAAGACCACGCGAGTTGGTAGCGGAATCACCAGTGAAATCACCAAAGCGAGCATTAAAGTCACCACAGAGGATAGAGTCAGAGTTGAGAGGAATAGAGGAGAGAGCGGATAGCACCAGCTCATTAGAGAGACTGGGTGGAAAGTACGAACAATGCACATTGACTGCTCCCATTTTGAGTGAGAGAGTATATGCATTGAAAGACGGCAACTGGGTGACAGGAAAAGGACAGGAAGGAGAGACAAGAGCAGAGACACCACCAGAACCACGGTTGTTTGCACCAACTACCTTTGATCCATATAGATGGTATTGCGACCAATCTATAGGAAGATAGCCGGCAGTAAGCCAAGTTTCAGTGATAAATAGAAGGTTTGAGTTGAAAACATGGGATATAGCATCATGGATGGTCGTGGTTTTTAGGCCATTCGCATTCCAGATGCTAATAGAAAAGGAGCGGAGAGGGTTGGTTGTTTCTTGTGAGTTTGATGGAATATTCATTAATATTCCATTTCAGACTCATTGTCTGAAGCACCAGCTGACTTGAACAAGAAAGCAGCCGATTTAGGGTCTTGTTTCTCCAAACGAGCACGAGCAGCAGAGAGAACAGTCTTGAGATCATCGTGATCAATCCAACCCAACTCCATGAAAGAGCGGGCAAGAGGACCAACAACGACAGGGCGAACAAAGGAGAGAGTATCAAGTGCACGATCATGCACAAGAGAGTGCATTTGTTGAGCACGATCATCAACAGAGAGAGCAGAAAACTTTGGATCAGCCAAATGTTTGGGATCCAATGGATCGAAATCCATGATCAGTTCGGCACCTGCCTTTTGCATGACAGATGTGAATTTCTCCACATACTGTACATGCATCAGCACACCAAGCACACCAGACGCAGGAAAAGAGACATCCAGGATACGTCCAGTATCCACACCGGAGCGACGAAGACGAGAGCGGACTTCAGATCTATTGATCTTTCTTGAGCGTCCTAAATATACGTACTTAAAGCCCTGTGGGCCTTTAGCAGCAGGGCTCACAAAGGCACGGGCAGCAGCAATGCGTTTCTTCTGCGAAACGCGGGCAGGACGGGCAGGGAGAGAGGCAGGCTTAGCAGCCTTGGCTGCCCAAGAGGAGGCATGGATAGATGAATCACCACTGCCTGGGTGTGTGGCAGTGGGAGTGGGGAGAGAGACAGAAGAGACCTGAATGCCGCCTTCGGACATTGAAAAATTTGACTCGAGAGTCCGGACACGAGAAAGGAGCTTGCTGTTTTCTGACTCCAGAAAAAATTTTTCCTGTTCAAGGATGGAAACTTTTTCTTTCAGAGCTATAAGATCTGAAAAAAGAGTTTCGTGCTGCTGTACCTGTTGTGCTAGGGTCAGCACAAGTTGATGCAACTGCTGGATGTCCAGGTGAGTTGCCATTTTTGACGGATGGTGGTTGTTTTGGATGGATGGATGATTGTTTGGATGGATGGATGATTGTTTGGATGGATGGATGATTTTTAGACGGATGCACTAACGGATGAATAGGATGCAGCGTTGGATTTTTTGACAGTATGATCGAATTTGATTGGTCAAAACCAAAAAAAGTGATCAAAAAGCGAAAGAAAGGTGCTCGTTTAGCTCAGGTTAAAGATTATATTTTATTAATAAACAATTTGTGGGCTACTCTATGGAGCATAATGCCAAATTGTATGGACAGTTTTCAAAAAGAGAAAAAGGAGAGAGCGAAAAAACCTGACAGAAAACAGACAACAGGAAAAAAAGTAGAAGAGAAAAGAAACAGAGACAGAAAGAGTATTGTATTGATGCATGATTCCAAAGGCATGACCAACGGCTGGGAACTTTGATAATCACTTACCACCGTGGCAGCGCAGAGGAAAGGCATGACAAAAATAGTTCGTCTATGACGAGACCAGAGGAGGGAGCCAACGATCACCAGGATCTTGATCAGGGCGGATATTTGCAAGAGGATGTACAAGTACATCAATTGCATACAGTAACTGAAGCAAAGCAGACCAAAAGGAGGAGGACCAGAGGAAGCCTTAGTTGGCAGTTGATTCAGAGCATAGTCCAGACGATGAACACCAGCAGGAGCAATAGGTAGTGCATCCCATAATGCTGGGTCAAGCGCCTGACATGACAAAAAGTGTTCACGAGAACAAAAGCACCAGAGAGACAAGGACATTCTTCACGCATGTTTGCAAAGCGACCAAGACGCCAACGCACCAAGCGACTACGAGAAGTACGAAGCATGGGCAGGTAAAGGATAGGATCCGGCTTAGACGTACAAGGACGACAAGCACGGAGAAGGACGGAACGACCACGAGCCGCATGTCGCACCATTTGGCGGTCAAATTGGCTCTGCCATTGTCGTCTAAAGTGAGTGCGAAGTTCAGCATTAGAGACAGGCTGTGGGTCCGGTAGTGAACGGTACAAGACATTCTGTTGAAGAAGCTTGACCAGGCGAGGGTACCGTAGTTGATCACACAAAAGCACTATCAAGCAGTCATCAGGGAGGTATTGCACACGCAAAGCGAATTTGGTGACAAGGATGTTGTACCTATGATTCATGGCAGGAAGACAGGTGAGGTGTTTTGCAACTTGAAACCAAGAGCCACCAACAAACATACGGACCAGGCGATTCTGCAGATCATCTAGGTGTGTCATGTCTGCCGAAGCAAGACGGGATATAGCCAAACCATACTCTATCTTGGGACGAATAAAGCAGGCATACAGCCGAGAGGACAAAAGAAGGGAGAAACCATTGCGGTGAACACCGACAGAGGTTAGCAGAGCCATGGTCTTGATGGCCTTAGCAGATCTCAAAGAGATGATGCCAGGTCCATGGATGCCTTTTTCTCGAAAGGGTACACCAAGATAGATGAACTCGTCCACGAGGGGCAGAGATTCGCCATACAATGTCAATCGAGGGCCATCACAAGGTGAGTTTAGAACTGCACACTTGGCCGGACTCCAAC